GTGTCAGTATTTCCGGAATACTTTCAAAAATTAAATTGAAAATATCTTAGTAACAATACGCATGTTTAAAGTTTTGACCCCCCTTGTTAAAGGGGTATGATCCGATTTACAAAAAAAGCGTGCCAGATGAAAGGGGTATATAAATATTTATTATAAAAAAATAATAATATTGATCCATACATTTTTCCAAAAGTTATATAAAATATAAATTAAATAATATAACATATAAAATCGAGATTTTTTTCACGGAAATCGTACGTTTTTCTTTAACTTTGATGTCCGTTTTCACCACGAAGACAAGTCCAGAGGTCAAATTTTTTTTTTTCAAATTAAAGTATATTACATAAGCTTTAATTTAAGATATATATAAAAGTGTCAGTATTTCTGGAATACTTTCAAAAATTAAATTGAAAATGTCCTAGTTTCAATACGCATGTTTAAAGTTTTGACCCCCTTGTATAAAGGGGTATGATCCGATTTACAAAAAAAGCGTGTCAGATGAAAGTGGTATATAAAAATTTATTATAAAAAAATAATAATATTGATCCATACATTTTTCCAAAAGTTATATAAAATATAAATTAAATAATATAACATATAAAATCGAGATTTTTTTCACGGAAATCGTACGTTTTTCTTTAACTTTGATGTCCGTTTTCACCACGAAGACAAGTCCAGAGGTCAAATTTTTTTTTTTCAAATTAAAGTATATTACATAAGCTTTAATTTAAGATATATATAAAAGTGTCAGTATTTCCGGAATACTTTCAAAAATTAAATTGAAAATATCTTAGTAACAATACGCATGTTTAAAGTTTTGACCCCCCTTGTTAAAGGGGTATGATCCGATTTACAAAAAAAGCGTGCCAGATGAAAGTAGTATATAAATATTTATTATAAAAAAATAATAATATTGATCCATACATTTTTCCAAAAGTTATATAAAATATAAATTAAATAATATAAAATATAAAATCGAGAATTTTTTCACGGAAATCGTACGTTATTCTTTAACTTTGATGTCCGTTTTCACCACGAATTCAAGTTCAGAGGTCAAATTTTTTTTTTTAAAATTAATGTATATTACATAATCATTAATTTAAGGTATATATAAAAGTGTTAGTCTTTCCGGAACATTTTCAAAAGTTAAGTTGAAAAGATATACTTTCTATACGCATTTTTAAAGGTTCAAACCCCCCCTGTATAAAGGGAAATGGTCCGATTTATGTCGAATGAAAGAGGTATGTATAAAGTATTTATCATTAAAGAATAGAATTGATTCATGCATTTTTTCAAAAACTTATAGCAACATAATGATAAAAAATGTAAAATATAATATCAAGAATTTTTTCACAAAAATAGCATATTTTTCATAGGGTAGTCATTTTTACCATGAAGACAAGTCTAGAGGTCAATTTTTTTTTTCAAATTAAAGTAAATTACATTATCTTTAATTTAAGGTATATATAAAAGTGCCAGTCTTTCCAGGACATTTTTAAAAGTTAAGTTGAAAAAGTTAATTTTTTGTAAAAGTTACCATTTTGACACCCTTCCTGTGGGCTTGTATTTGGTCAAATGTTCACAAAAATATATAAAATAATAAGTAAATACCTAAGGTATCTATAAAAAAAAATTATATTGATTCGGTCTTTTTTAAAAAAGTTATGGCAATTTTAAGTAAAAAAANAAAAAAAAAATTATATTGATTCGATCATTTTTAAAAAAGTTATGGCAATTTTAAGTAAAAAAAATTGAAAAAATGTCGAAAATTAGCGATTTTTAAATTTGTAATTTTTTGGGGGATTTCCCTCGTTTACGGAGAACAAGGGAATTTTTTTTCTATTTTTGAGGGTAATGTCTTCGACTAGATACGATTTGGGATCTTTTGACGTATTGTTCATCAAAATCGGTCCATCGAGAGCTGAGATTAAGTAGGTAATGTCCAATCTGACCATACTATTTCGATAATATTTATACCTTGTAGAAATCAACAAACAAAAATAATCTATTAGTTTGTCAATATAAACGTATGATACTAGAATAAAAAATTCTAGAAATTAATTTTTGTAATTTTGTAATCGAATGAGCCGTTTTATGGAAAAAGTACTAAAGACAAATATTATTGAAAATTTAATTCAAAAAATATTTTATCATAAGATATATTTTCCTATCGTTAATACTTTAGGATATAATCGCAAAAACCTATGAAAAAATAAATACACCCATTTTTTTCATTTTGTTACCAAATTTCATTAAGTATTAATTATTACTTTATAATAAAGATCTTTAAATTAAATAATATATCTATATATATATATATATATATATTTAATTTTTTATTACTTTTTAGATTTCTTTTCTACATTAATTATGATGTAGTATAATATAATAAACAAAATATTATTTGTATAATATAAAAATAAAAACATATTTGTTCTTATTACATATATTTTAGCAAAATGTTATCTTATCACTATTTATTTAAATAATTACAAATTTCAAATAAGTACAAAAATATATTAAAAAATTTAATTGAATTACATAATTGAAAAAGAACAATTAAAAATATTTATACCACAAAAAATCTTTAAAAAAAAAAAATATATGCATCGTGTAATCATTAAACATCCAATGAGAAAAATATTCATTAGATCTTAAATAAAAAAAAAAAATTCAAAAAAACAATTTTTATGATTAGAACAACAACATAAAAAATATAATGTACAAAATCAATGATAGAAACGAAACTATTTATTAAATTGAAAATTCTTGAACGAAAGTTCACGGAAATTATTACCGACTTGAAAGTTGTTTATAATACAACACTGTTGATTTTTCAACAATTATAAGTCATCCGCAGAGTATAGTTCAATAAAAATTTGTTTAAATTAAATCTATAGTCTCTGCGGCAAAAAATGTAAGAGTTATAAGGTAAATTGCTTGGTCATGATCTATCAAAATTAAATGTTTAGATGAGTTCATCAATTGAATCTAGATCTTTTTGATCGTTTTTTCTTAGAAACTTTCTTTGTACAGCTATTCGTAGATAACCTTTTATTTTTTGTAGGATTATCAGTTGGTGTATCAAAATTATTTATGCCATCAACATTGTGTAAATAGTTCGATGTTATTTACAAATTTTTCTAGTTCGATTGTATTAATTGTTTTATTAGACATATAGGAGTCTATAATTTCTTACGGAATTCTTTTGAGCAACACAAACGGATCTATAAATACCAAAATTATGAATTAATATTTTGATAACAATTTTATACAAAATAAATCATTTTTATATAAAAAAGTAATTATATTATTACAAAATGACGAAATCTTTTTTATAAACACCATTGGAACTTTAAAAAAGAATATATAAAAATAAATATTACTATGATAATTTCATAAGAATTCGTTTGTTATTTTCAAAACAAAAATGAAAAATATGTTTAAAGTAACGTGGTTTTGCTATTCGCTTAATAGACTTAGTGTAGAAGGGTTTCCGAGGAACTCCTTTAGGGTTTCTTGTCATAAACGCAACTAGAAAATAAGAAGGTGATAAGCCCCTCAATTGACAAAATTACCCCAANAGGTGCTACGCCCCTCAATGGACAAAATTACCCCCAACATTTTTTTAATTTACGTATGTTTTGATATATCTTATAACTTATAATACAACAATAATTTTGTTGAAATTTTATTTTCTTCAAAATTTTAAAATAGCCATTATTCAGCCTTATCTTAGAAAAAAAATTTGTGGGTCGATGATTATTTTAGAACAAGTACATATTAAGTTATTATTTCAACGAAATTATTATTTGATCAAAAATTATAAAATATGTCTAACCTAGTTGGACATTCTGTATAATTGTTTGGGGTAAGAAGAAAATCCAATTAGCACCCTCCATAATGTTAGTTAAATGTTAGATTATTTTATGGTTTAAGTGTTATATGTATAATTAAGTGACTTAATTAGACTAAATTTAATTATTAAAAACTAAAGCTCTATGAAATATACTTCATTAATTTATTATTTGAAACATTAAAACAAAATATAACTCTAAAATACATTAATACAAAATTTAAAAATATATTATTTATATATTTTTAATACTAGTATAAAATGAATGATTGATTAGCTGTTACTATCAAACTATTATATATAATCTAAAAATGGAATTCGATTTTTTTTTATAAGAAAAACAAAGGCGTTATTTGGGTGGAGACAACTAGGCTTTTTACCCAGTCTAAATTTTCAATACATATTGGGGCCGTATAGTGTTTTAAATCGCAATATTAGCAAGACACAAAATATCAAGAGTGGGGGGCAGCTGACATACTTAACCCACTCATCCTATGCACATGTGTATATTATTATAAAAAAAATGACACTTACTTATATGATTGACTTTGTCGGATGGTATTTCCACATTAATTGGATTTGATTTGTTTTCAGTAGATATCTCGACGTTTGACACGTCAGGAGTTTTATTCTTACGATTTGAATTAAGAGTATAAGAATTATTTACTTTGTCTTAATATTTATTTGTTAGTCTAAGTTTTTTACGTGAATCGTTAACGTCGTCGAGATGAGCTCTCTTCTTTGATTGAAAAGTCTTGGAAGTTTCAGGCTTTTGAATCCTTGAATCCTCGTCTTCATCAAATGTTAAAAGATCTTTATAAAATTTTATAATTTTACGTTTACTTGGACGTTTGCCAACATAATGAGGATTTAAACGTATGTTGATGTCGATGACAGGAGTTCTATTCTTTTTTCGATACATCTTGTGGGTTTCAGAATTGTTAATTCTTACATTTTCTTGTTCACCAGAATTATTTACTATTTTGTCTGCATTAGTTTTTTTACTAAACATATAATAGTCTATAATGTCTTGTGGAATTCTTTCGATTAATACAATCGGATCTTTAAATTCAAAAATTATAAATATTTTTTTGATTAATATTTCATGTAAAATATATAAATTGTAAATTAAAAACAAAATATATTAATATAAAANGATGACAGGAGTTCTATTCTTTTTTCGATACATCTTGTGGGTTTCAGAATTGTTAATTCTTACATTTTCTTGTTCACCAGAATTATTTACTATTTCGTCTGCATTAGTTTTTTTACTAGACATATAATAGTCTATAATGTCTTGTGGAATTCTTTCGATCAATACAATCGGATCTATTGATTCAAAAATTATAAATATTTTATGTAAAATATATAAATTGTATATTAAAATATATTAATATAAAATAAATTAATCTTACTCATATGTTTGACAGCTTCGGATGGTATTTCCACATTAATTGAATTTGATTTGTTTTTAGTAGATATCTTAGCGTTTGTCTTATTGCGAGTTTGATTTTTACGTTTCAAAATTAACGCATCAGAATTTTTTACTTGTCTTTTATTAATAGTTGTTTGTTTTTTAGTAATTTTCTTAACATGGCCAACATTAAGTGTCTTTTTTGATTGAAACGTCTTGGAAGTTTTAGGCTTTTGAATCGTTGTATCTTCGTCTTCATAAAATGTTAATAGATCTTTATAAAATTTCATAATTTTACGTTTACTTGGACGTTTTCCAATATAATGAGGATTTGAACGTATGTTGACGAGAATAGAATTTGATTTTCTATGTCCAGTTTTTAGATGGCTTAAAGTCTTTTTGGTTTTCTTTTTCATANTTTAGATGGCTTATAGTCTTTTTGGTTTTGTTTTTCATATTTAACTTTTCGTGCAGAGATATAAATTAAATATCTGACTACAAAAAATCAAATATTAAAGAGGTTTTGGGCAACTTTTGTGGGTTTTTCGGGCTTAAGAAAATTTCCGTGTCACACCTAAATCGCCCGTGACTATTAAAATATATTAACTTAAACAATATAAATTTGTAGTCGTGGAAACAAGAAGAAAAATTTATATAAAAACAAATAAATTGGAATAGACAATCGCTTTTGCATTATGTAAAACGAAAAATACATTGGCCATTAAAACTTTTAGCCAGAAAAATTAAAATTATATTTATTGTTGTAAAAGTTTGTAAAATTTCCATTTCCTTCATATAAATTTTTTTTTATTGTTGCATATTATATTTTTATAAGTGTATTTGAGATATTGAAATACAAAAATGTGTAAATCAACATAAATAAGTTTCAAAAATTTTAAGGTAGATAAATTAGTTATAAACTCACGTGAAATTAACAAAATATAAAGGGATGACATAGTTATTATATGAATATTTCTCTTATGAATAATGATTAATTATCAGTCTTATCAGTCATTCTAATTTGATCAGATATTGATTCTTGTTCTAAACCAGTGGTCGGCAACCTTTTTTAATTCTCGGGCCACATTTACAAATTAAAAGGAGTTCGCGGGCCAGATAAAAAAAAAAAATTTATAATTACATTATTTATTATGCAAAAAAATACTATCTAAAACTTAAAATAATAAAATGTATAAAATAAAAATTACAGTTTTTAATATAATTATAATATGAAAGTATGAATGTAATGTATTGGTAAAATGCTTAATGATATTCAATTAAATTAGTCGATTTAGAATTTAAAGCGGGCCGTATTCAATAGCCACGCGGGCCGGATACAGCCCGCGGGCCTCCGGTTGCCGACCACTGTTCTAAACCATTTAATTTCTTGTAAAATAAAAATTATATTAGAATTAAAATTTTTTTTTTAAGATGTAATATGCAATTTATCAGTCATGGAGTATTTTTTATGTTGGTATGGACCGTTAGTATTTTATAATAAAAAAATATATTTTCTATAATTCGAGTAAAAAGATTTTAATTTTGGCAATTTAACTTTTCTTAACTCTAAATGGTAACTTGATAACTTTATTTTTATCACTAAAATAATCCGGAATAACGTTATTTTTATATAACAATATGTGTTATTCAAGGAATAATACAATTTGTCTGAGTTACATAAAGAAATTATTTCATAAATTTAATTTACATTTATACAAATTAGTAAAATTGATTTCAATTGCTACAATTTTATTAGTGTAAACATTATGATACGCTCACTGATGGTTAAGTTTGAACGAATGTTTCGATGACTTATGAGTTCAGGCGTTCCGTATAGGCAAGCTAACTTTCAAGTCCTCAGCAAGTGACGTAGACGCGCACTGTATTTACCAATCGAGAAAAATTTTGAAACGGTACTAGGGACTCAGGAGGAAAGCAATGACGGTGGGCATAATGTAATAATTTACAAAAAAAAAAAAAGTTGAAAAAATAGTACCAGGAATTCAATTTTGTTGAACTTTTAACTTTTGCGAGGTAAATATTTGACTTATGACTTTTTTAGTAATAACTTTTTTATGTAAAATATTCATATCTACAATTTTTTTCTTATAAACTTTTATGTAAAAGTCATAAACTTTGAGATAAACTACAATTATTGAAAAACTGCCCTCATGATTGAATTTTCAACCCTCTTGAGGCACGGCTTAGGGTTGACCAAAATTAATGAAATTTGACACAAATTATTTTTTTATAGTTTTGAACAAATTCCCGGGTTAGCCTGTTCAAATTTAAAGAAATGAAAATTAAGGACCACCCTAATGTTCACCCATCTGGGATCTACAGCAAACAGTATGACAGTGACTGATTGATCCAACACATTCTAAAAGTATTAAGAAGCTATAGAAGTGTAAGAAAATCATTATGAGGCCATATGATGATAATTTGAGTTTCCAATTAGGTTCTCAATTTTTTATTTTTTTCGTCAGAAGCAGTTTCAAACGGGTTTTTAAAAGTTGTATTATAAACTAATTTACAGGGGAAAATTTTGGTTCGTTTTCTTTAGATTTTAAGTTGATAAGTAAGAATTATAAAATTTCTTAATTATATTGGTATAATATTTACCATAGTTCGTAATATGTATTTATCTTTATATTACATCAATGGCATATTTACGCTTTTGGTTCATGGGGGACTAAACCCAATGTACCCCCCTCCCGTTCTTATGATCCATAGTAGTTGAAGGTAGTGATAAAGTGATTCTCCTCACTATTCTACTTTTTAAAAGTTATTTAAACCACCCATACAAAATTTCTAAATACGCTATTGTATAACTGGGGTGTTATTTGCAGGTCATAGAGAATACATTAGCGTATTTATAATTTTATGTTATCAATATAGCCCCTGAGGTACAATTTATTTAAATTCAACCTGGCAACATCCAAATGATTAGAACACCCGCCATCCTGTCCAACAGTTTCCTCTAAGATATACGAATATCTCGTATATATATATACATATACGAGATATTACTATTATCATAGAAAAAGTACATAGTTAGTTAAATATTAACTTTTTGAACATTATAACATTGAACATAATTTGTTATACGAGTAATTAATAGGTTATTCATAGTTTTCTGTATTAATAACAACATAATATTATGTCAACTATATAAATAATTTATAAATTTTTATTTAATAAATTTGGTAACAATTTAACTATTTAAACACTTATAGATATTAGGAAAAATTAACAACGATAAATTGAATCCTATATAGGACTTTTAGTAACAATACAATAATAATTTAATATGTAATAGGACATTGGTAGTTTTTATAAAACCTTTAAAATAGGTTTATATGTACACTGTACACTTAATAAATGTATTTAAATATACTGTATAAATATTCAACTATATTAATATAATATAGTTGTAACAATTTACAAAATCGTTAATATTTAATTTCATTAAATAAGTTATATTAAGTAAAATTAGCATATTTTATTTTCCTATTTAATTATTTATATTCAACAATTCCTTCGTCTTTAAATATTCTCGAAATTCCAGAACCGAAAAATACAACTGCCAAAAATGCATATAAAATACCATAGATCAAGAACTGGAATAAAAATATAAATAGATATAAATATATTTATGTATACATTACGTTAATAAATAGTTAGTACACCGAAAAAGTTTAAAATTTAATTCAAAATATTCTACCTAAAAATAATTACGAGAGTTTACAATAAGTAATTATTGAAAAATGGAACATTTTTTTGTTTGCTAATAAAAAATCAATATTATTACTAGTGTTATGAAAATTAATTGATTCTTTAAATGAAAAAATAATCATAACATCTGTTGTTTTTTTATTGATTTTTAATTAATTGTAAATTAAGAATACTAAAATATATAAAATAATAAATAAATGCTCACCTGTTGCGCAACCGTTATCTTGATGAAATGACCTTGAATTACTCCGTAAATTAATATAGTGTTGATACACACTGCCAAAAATGTATTGAATCCAAAAATTAAACCATAGCATTTCTCACTTAATCGTTTTGCAACTTCTGACCTTTTTAAATTAAAATACCAACTTAAATATAATCGAAAATGTATAGATTTTTCTTTATAAAATGAAGCATTAAAAACAAATTTTTTGTCAGTACATGAAATTACATAATATAACTTTTTTAATAGATGTAAATCGTTTAAACTTTAAATGAATTTTTAATATGAGTTTGGAAGTTAGAATTAAAAAAATAACTTAATTTAGTACTGTGATTCAATATTGTATCAAAACCATTGAAAACAATATCATGAACAAATATTTTAAACATTTTTATGAAGTATAATAAATGTAAATATTCTCTTCGGATAAATATTTTTCTTATGTAATCACTATATAATGATAACTTAATTAATATATGTAATAAACTTACTCGGCAATCGTTAACATTGTTTGATACATCATGCCATAAATGATATAAAAAGCGTATATTAAGTATAAATTTCTGTTATATGTACAACAAAACAGCACAATACAGGCAATGAATGATCCAATAGCAAAAAAAGCATCTCCTACTAAATACCAATTCCAGTTTACTCTACTTATCATATAAGCTGAAATAGCACCTGAAAATTACCAAAAAAAAATTCTAATCTAGTAGTTATTTGAACGGTTTAATTTAAAATGAAATTATATTTATAGTTTTCAATACGTTTAAATAGAAATATTCTGTATTAAATATTTATTTAGTAGTTTTATAATGGATGGAGATGTAGATATATACGGCAATTTTTTCTTAATCTCGTTAAATATATATTTATTGCTCTTAAATTTATATTTTGACGTGATATAAATGAGAAATTACCTGTACTCCATCTACTCAACGTAAATACTTTACTGTTCTCCAAAAATATTTACACATTTAGTTTAAAATTAAAAAATATTGAATAAAAACCCAGCACAGTGGGGTCGCGGCATAATGGAGACGTTGCATAGTTGGGTCCAGTATAGATTTAATCTGACAGTGATTAAAATCACTATCATAAGAAACGCTTCGATGCAAATCTGTAGATAGTGTTTAATTTTAAAAAATTGATGGATAATTACAAAAACAACATCAACTTCTATTTCCTTAATTATACCCAGATTAGTAATTCTTTTAATTATATATTTTTTTTATATTAGATCATATTAGCTACAAATAATTAATTCTTATTATACACATATAGATAAATCATTTATAAAAGTGGTATTTTATATACATTTATAACCATTTTTTATATCCATTAACTTGGTAATTATTCAAATTACTAAAATAATCTTTAGATTGACCATAATTTATAATTTTCCAGGAATATTATTAAATATTCCCTAAAAATTACAAAGATAGTCAGGAAATTTGTAAACAATTAAATATTTTTCAAATAGACAACACTTAAAATTCATTTTAAATGGTAATAAAAAGTTATATTCAAAATTTGTACTAAATGGTCCCTTTAATACTAAAAATTTAAGTTTTTAAGAATTGGAAAAACTATTTTGTCCTATGAAGCAGAGTTAAACCTTTTTATTCGAGCAATAATACTAACAAACTATATATAAATACGTCCTTACTTGTTTTATGTAAGTAAAAATTCCATGAAACTACTCAAAATTTGTTTGCATATGATTTAAAATTTATCAAAATTATTTTTTCTAAAAAATGTTTTTGTTAATTTAATTCTAACATGTTTACTTACCTAACAAGGTATTAAGGGATTCCGCAAATCCATTGTATAGTGTGAATTCGTCATCATTATTTTCTTCTAATATGTATGTATATAGGACGTTTATGTATGCATAAACCTAAAATATAATTAAATTGATCCTAATAACTAAAAATATGATTTATAACATTAAGAAAACAAATAAAATGCAAATAAACACAATGATTTATTGTTTTTTTTATGTCACAAGATCTACATCATAGGGTTTATATTTTAAGCAAAATTTTTATTCGCTCAATTATAAGTTATTAATATTTATTAACAGAAAATATTATATAAGGCATATCAGAATGTTTCTTATTAATATCCTGATTAAGATAAAGTATGTCGAATGAAAAAGGGATTATTAAAAAATATTATTTCTCATAAAAAAATTGTGTTGCTCCATACACTTTTCAATAAGTTATAGCATTATAAAGTTAAAAATGTAAAAAATAAAATCGAGAATTTTCACACAAAAATAGCATGTGGTAACCATTTTCACCGTGAAGATAAAATAAAGTCCGAAATTTGTTTTTTTAATGATAAAGTATACTACATTAGTTTTAACTTAAGATATATATAAAAGTGTCAGACTTTCCAGAACACTTTCAAAAGTTAAGTTGAGAAAGTTAATTTTTTGTGAAAAAGTTGTTATTTTAATTCCCCCCTGTGGGCAGGTTTAGGGTCAGATTTATAAAAAAAAATATACCAAATGATAGGAAAGAACTTTATGCATCTATTAAAAATATATATATATTGATTTGTTCAATTAAAAAAAATTATGGTAATTTAAGTAAAAAAATTTTAAAAAATTTGAAAATTAGCGATTTATAAATTTGTAATTTTTTTGGATGTTTCCTCCATTTACGAGGAACGAGGGAAATTTTTTCAATTTTTGAGGGTAATGTCTTCGACTAGATATGATTTGTGATCTTTTTACGTATCGTTGAAAGAAATCCGTTCGGTGAGAGCTGAGAAAAAGTGGTAACAGACACAAAAAAAAACAGATCATAGTAATACCAATATCTTCTCAGATTCGCATCAAAGCTAAAAGGACGAGTAAATAACTTGATAATCTAAAGTCGAAATGATTGTAAATAGTAAATATAAAAAAATAAATCCTGAAGCTATTTTTATAACACCCTACAGTATTATAAAAATGGCAATAGGGCATTAGTTTTAAAAATGTTTGTAACAATTTTACCTGTAAATAACCTCCCATAGCTATAGCCCACCAAAAACATAACTTTATAACATACGGATCGGAATATGATTGTTTGAAATCATTATATAATGTTTGTACCACACTATTATATTCATTTTTTTCTTCCACTTTAGAATTGTCCTAAAATTTAAGAAAACTTCTTTAATGTAGAATGTAAATTTAAAACTAAAATTTCATTTAACATAAATGCTCTTATAATTTAGTGCACATAATTTATATAAAATAAAATATTTTTTAGCACCATAAAAATAAATTTTACTTTATCAACGTTAGAATTCGATTCAACTGATACGCTTAATTTAGAATTTGTGAACATTGATGGGTTATATATGGTCGCTGTTGATTGAGATATTGTGTTGTTACTATTTTTTTTCCTTTTGTGGAAATAAAGACTTTGCTTAACTGGAGGTAGTATAGTTGCCCATAAAGCTGTAAAACTCATTCCTAAAAAAAATATATTTAATACATAAATTGTACAGAATAATTTATTAAAAAAAATACATGATAATATTACAATATTCCGCTCATCACTAATATAATGGGGTCAACCCACTAAAAAGTAAAAAAATTAAAGCAACTTTTTAATTTTTCATATTAAGAGGATCAGGAATAATTTTATGCGAAAATTCTGTACTAGTGAAAGAAAAACATAGATTTTTTGTAAAGTAATTTCTGGTAAGTTTTGTCTTTACGGTAGAGAATTCTTAGATAATATCTTAAATTGATTTCTACTCAACACAAGAATATATTATGAAATAAAAATCTTACCAAATATAGACAAATATACTATTAAATTGAATGGCGGTTTTCCAAAAATTATAGCTAAAATTTGAGATACACAAGAAGAAAAGAATTTTCCAGATAATGTTGCCGCCCTTGCATGACCTGTTATTTTTTGATAATGTTGTTTCTCTTCAATCATAGCATATAAATACCCAAATAGTGCAACTTCAGCAGAAAAGAAGAAACCATAAAACGCTTGTCCAAACTGGAAAATGTAATACAAATTTTCTAAAAACTTCACAAATTCTGTTCATCTTTTTCATTTTGTATACTCATACCAAAATAAAATAATATTAACTTAAACAACGATCTATATATTTTAGACAATGATTCAGTAAAAAATGTAATTTAAGACATTGGTTAATTTAACATGTAAAACGAACATTATTGTAATTATATACTATTGTTATTCATGTAATAACACCTTTACGTCCTTGCAGGAATGTCAACAAATAATAAAGTAATTTTGTCAACAGTATTTAATCCAGTTACTCATAGTGAAACAATATGTATCATAAATAGTGTATTTCTTATAAAATACAATAAACAAAATTAAAAACTGTGTTCTTCATGAAATAACCTTTACTTTAAGAGTATCTGGGCCTTTCTGGAAATTTATTTTTTAATTTAGAACTTTTTTTACTTACTCATAGACTTTGATTTGTTGCAATTTCATAAAATTATTATTTAAAAAAAATTTTTTTTTGTTTTTCAATGTTTATAAAACTCCCTGAAGAAAAAGTTTAAATTCAACACTAGTTGTCAACTTTATCATTTACCCTAATGAATAGACAATGTTTTCTAACTATTTATTCTTTCTTAAAATTATATTTACATCAAGAACCATATACTATAAATTATTTAATCTATATACATATTTAGTTCACTTAATAAGATAGTATTAAACTATAAAAAAATAACAATTTCTTGAGAGATAATAGAACAAAGTACTTTAAAATAATTATAACCTTCAATTGATGAATTTAATAATTCGATGATTAATTAATATGTAACACTATGTTTTTTTTCTGTCCGTGATTTTTTTATTATAAAGTATCTATTTTCAATTATTAATATTTACCTGTATTCTAAGTTTTGAAGGGCGATTAGCTATGGCTATATAGTGAATTATTCCACCAAGTCCATCCACTATCAATACTGGCTTATATTTAACATAATCAGTTACCAAAAATATAATGATTATTAAAACAAACATAGAATATGATCCCACAGCATAAAGTTCCTTAGGAATCTTAAATACATTAAGTAATTAATAAGATATAAGTAATTATATTATGTTTTTATTGAAAATGAAGCAATTTTTTATTACAAATTAATTTTATTTAAATAATAGACAATGAACATACCTGTTCAACTGTACAATTTACATATGGACTAGTCATATAAGCCGCATAAAAAGGTTCAATAGGTCTGAACTCTCTGGCAAATGCGAACACACCAACAAACAAAGAAATTTTTTTCCAATTTTCCATTTTTTTGGAACACAAAGAACTATTCAACAACACATTATTATTTCAAAAATTAATTTATACTGTATATTAACCGATTTTTTACATACATATTTTATGAAAACATGTGAAGTATACTATAAAAAATTGTCCATGTATACCAGTCTGGAAATATTATGTAATTAAGTACTTAATCAAATAATTATTATATCAATAGCACTACAATTAATAATCTACATCAAATGTATTTTGGTTATTTAAATTTAATTTTTCCATTAAAAGAATCAAATTTATAAAATAGCAATATGTATTATAAAACTTCTATAAATTCTCTAAATATATTTATTTAATTTCACCATTTTTCAGTTGATATATATTCTATAAATATAGTTATTAAATAAAGAAACTAATCTTGACGTTAGAATTACATTGATGATAAAACATTTTTTAAACTAAAAAATTTATTTAAAAAATATAATTTCTGCAAGTCATAAAAGTATACTAGCAAAAGCAAAGTATAACGCATTTCGAAAACGTTAGTTTTTCACAAAATTATACAAGTTATAAAATTGAATTTAACAGGGAGCTAAATTTCTAAATAATTAAATTATTTCGATAATTTAAATATGCAAGTTTAGCTGATCTAATCTTTTTCTGTTTTTTTAATTTTTGCACTAATTTGTAAAATAAATTTTTGTGATACACATTAACTATTTCTTTTATAACTTATTAACTTTTTCTATCAAAATATATTTTATCCGCAGTAAAATTTATTATTAAAAAAAACATTAAAATATGTCTGTATATATTTCCATTATATATCAAAATTTAGTCTCTCTCTTACTCAAAAGTATAATTTTGCGAATCTTAATAATATTCAATTACTTAAATGTTATTGTGTATTTCTGTATATTTATATTTAAATGCATAATTTTTCTCGTAATTAATATATTTGCAGACAATATATTTTGGTATTTATTATTAATAACAATTAATAATGCATCGTTAAAAGTCTGGAATGTATATCTAACTCAATTTTGTTCATTTAAATTATTAAAATGTTTTACANAGACAATATATTTTGGTATTTATTATTAATAACAATTAATAATGCATCGTTAAAAGTCTGGAATGTATATCTAACTCAATTTTTTTCATTTAAATTATTAAAATGTTTTACCCGTAGCATCATAATATATAAAATTAATATTAGTGTCAATAGTATTAGAGGGTATCAAAAATGCAAATTACTTCTCGGATAAATTAAATTAACTTGTGACCCCTAAAATACTAAAAAGGTATTTCTTCATTATTATTTTATGTTTTTAGACGTTTTATTTTTATTTTATTCTAAACAAAAACTGGTGACAACCATAAACTTGGAGCATCAAAATAATTAACTTATTCTAAGAAATTTTCTGACATTACTTAATCATTAAGTAAGTGTATCTATGGGCATAATATTAATTAACATATAACAACTTATTAATATTGTATCAATTCTTCTTCTTCTTCCTCACTTTAATCGCAACTACTTGGGGTCGGCCACCCTTATTCTAAAACTTCCACTTGACACGATTTCCCCATCATCTACGCTCACATCAGCTGTCCTCATATCGCATTCAATAATATCCCTCAATCTCTTTTTTGGCCTTCCTCTATCTCTTCTTTCTTCAACATTCATTTCTATAACTGTCCTTACAGCTTCCGATTCGTCTCTCCTCATAACATGACCAAACCATCTAAGTCTATTTTCTCTCATCTTATCCACGATTTATGCTTCACCTGTACTCCCTCTTATATGCTCGTTCCTTATTCTATCTTTTCTAGTTACTCCACTCATCTATCTAAGCATTCTCATATCTGCTACACTCATTCTCTGCACTACTTTCTTATCAACCGCCCAAAACTCTGGACCATACATCATAGCTCGCCTTATTACAGTTTTGTATAATTTACCTTTCAGCCTCATTGGAATTCATTTATCGCATAAGACGCTAGATACTTCTTTCCACTTCAACCACCCGCACTTAATTCTGTGTCTTACATCCTCGTCAATACCACCACTCTTTTGCATAACTGACCCTAAATACTTAAAACTCTCCACCTCTCCAATCACGTCCTTGCCTATTGTCACTGACCTCCTCATTTCACCTACCTCGTGTTCTCCTCTGTCAAACTCGTACTCTATATACTCTGTCTCACTTCTACTTATTCTTAAACCATTTTCTTCAAGAGCTGATCGCCACACATCTATCGCCACACACATTTGATTAATTTCCTAGTATCAATTGAATAATTAATTTATAAAATAAAAGCAATATTTTATTATTAAATATACTTTCTAGAATTTTAACTTCAAATAGGGTAAAGATTGGGGCGTATGTATGAATGTATGCGGTTTTTTTTATTAAAATATAACGAGCATACAATGTAAAATACGAAGAAAATAATATTAGTGTAAACCTATATATAATCAAGTACGGAATCTAGAAATTTTCTATGGGAGTACTAAGAAAAAGTTTTTGTTCTGACAGCAACCTAATTGAACTATTTTAAACTATTTATATGGAATTCCTATATTAAATAAATTGTTTAAAATTATTTGAACTAATTAGGTTATTTAAAATATACTTTTAAGTATTGTGGGTGATTAGTTTTTCTTTTTTTCAATTTTCTTCAGTTGATATTTTTACCCATAAAATTTTAAATTTATATAATTGGTGTTTAACTTAATAGCTTCATCCAAAATACATTTAAAATTACATAAGGGATGACGTATATATATATATGTACATATATATATATTATTTAAAATCCAGTTCTTTTCGTCAATTAAATTCATCAAATTATGTCAGGGGTGGACTGACTGGATGGCAAACCACCCAAGAGACAAAATATTGTGACTGCCTTTTTCAAAATAAAAAATATTTATATTGCTCTAAAAAAAATGACGAACAAAAAAATGATGTCAAAAATCAATTTTACAAACCGAATTACTCTAACCATAGCAATACTAATTGCTCTATTAACAGTGGGGACAATTGTCCCTTTGCCCTCGTAGACAGTTTGCCCTGCATTAAGTTTGTAGTCGACATTCTTACTTTTATAACACTTGTACCATGGAGAATTCGACTTAATTTATAGTTGTCCTAATTTAAAAAATATAAAATTACAGAAGTTTACTTTAAATGATTTGATTAATATTTTATATAATTAAACCTTTTGCTAAAATATTGCTATTACATTATACTACAATATTTTATTATTAATTCTAATTATTTATATTATCATATTAAATAGGGAGCTAAAGTTTCCTGTTTTTAATTTCGTATGAAATCTTTCATTTCCATAAAATTTACGAGAACACAATTAACTAATAAGTATTCTATTTTAAAAATAACAGTTTTTTCTTAAACATATAAAATAAATATTTTTAGTATGATTCGTTTATAGTTATACCTCAAAAATTCATATTCTTTTTCCTTTGAATTTTTTTAAGAAATATATAATAATATAATAATAATAAACAATTTTAATATTATTTAATATAGCTGAGATGTAACACTTACCTGAGTAAAAAAAAAATATATATATTAGTAGTAGAACTTATTAACTGTGTTTTTAATAACAACACTTCACTACTAAATAATTTTCATCTAGACTGACTGACTTTTATACATCATTTGAAATACTAATTTCTTAATCCATATTATTAATTATCAACGCTATTGTAAATAACGACTAGAGTATTTTGTGAAGTATATTAGTTAAATTATTAACTAATAAATAAATAAGAAAGTCAAGAATTTATCTTGCAGCGAACAACAACGATCTTAATCCGGACAAACCGTACTGAAATCTTAATGTGTCGGATAAATGAGTGTGTGTGCGGTATAAACCAGTTTGTGATTACCACGTTTTATCGTTTAATTTGAACAGAAGTGGGAGAAATAGCTAGAACAATTATTAGTAACTCCTTTGCATAACTACATATTAAAATGCGATTCATTGGTAATGAATTTTATTGATGAAAAAAGTAAGTGATAAAATTTACAATAACAATATTGCCTAATAAGATGTTGAACTTTAGTTCACTATCTACAGAGTGATCCATTTAACATTGACCGGCAAATATCTCAAAAACTATTTATTATTTTAATAATTTTTTTTTTTAATTATTTTAGTTACATAAAACTCTACAGTTTTATATGCAGTAGAGTTTTATGTAACTAAAATAATTAAAAAAAAAAATTATAAAAATAATAAATAGTTTTTGAGATATTTGCTGGTCAATGTTAAATGGATCACTCTGTATAGTATTGTTAAACCCTAACATTATATTGAAGTATTAACTTTTATACTTTAAATGTACCCTTTAACTTAAATAACTAAAAGATAAAAATTTTTAGCTGTATAAAAGTAAAGTTTTCGAATGACACTCAAAAACTTTGATTTTAAAATAACTATGAAAATTTATAATTAATTATCAGAAATAGAAAATTTATTAATAAAAAATATATTTTACCTGTTTAGATTACTTTAGGTGTAAGCTATCACTTCGTTCCCTTTTAATTACGCCTTAGTGTTATGTTATTTTTCTATAAAATAAACAAAATTGTAATCTTTAAAATGTGATATCGAACAATAAAAATATTATTAGCTTTATAAATAAATAAATATATTGTATACACATACTTAATAAACTCTAAAAAGAATATTTTTCCAAAGAACCTTATAAGATAATTTAAGTAATTAAAAAATATAAAGTTCTGTAATTACTATAGATATTATAAACACTTAAAAATGTAATTTGGAATAAAAAACGATCACGTGAATGTTTATAATGTTAAGAATGTTGTATTTTTTTCATCTGAACTTTAATACCTTTCATAGTAATCTAATAAATAGTTTTAGTGCTATGATTTATTAATTTATAATTTAGTACTTCAAAAAGTCTATAGTTTTGAATACATGTATTATTATCTATGGAACTTTATCAATTAAAACAATAATTAGAAGCCGACTATTTCAAATGTCTTTAGCATGTGTTTATACAAAGTTAGATATAAAATTTCTTATTTGTATTATTAATCATAATATTTGTTTAAAATTATTGTTTTATATCATTTAAGACGTATAAAGTATGTCATTCTAATTTACTGGCTTGGAATATGGAAAACCTTTAAATTTTTTACTCGCTATTTTATAATTTGATAATCGACAATTTCATTATTCAAACTCGATCTTAACTGTGAATTTAAACAATTTAAACACTTAATACCTTTTTTTTTTTAGCCTCGATGTTTAAACATAATTTGCTAAATTATCTCAAGGAATCGAAGTTTATCCTAAGAGTCACCATCAATGTTTCTATCATGAATATTTTTATTTCTTTAGAAACTATTAGAGAGTACAAAATTTTCTAATAATCTTTGCGTGATAAAATATTCTATAAATCTAAATTTTAAATTAAGTATCAAAAATTTTAAAATAATTTACAAAATTCAATAAAAACAATACTTAATATTTTTATGAATTACTAATAATATATACATTTATATTTATTATTAATAGTTTTTTAAATAGTAATACAGTGTTATAAATCTCTAATCGTTTTATTTAGCGACTTTTTATTTTTTTCCATCCAATATTGTATATAATTACCGATAACTATTTTTATTAAGATCTGCTAGATCAACTTCTATGTACTAGTAATTACATATCTTCAACAATTTATTTTTCACTTGTTTACAATTTTTGTTATCTTAATTCTTTGACATAATTTTTTCTTATAATCTTATAATTATCAATTCAATTAAGTTTGCCTTACCTTATATGTTCATAGGAAATATTAAAACTGTGTTCATATTCATATTCTCATAATACATAAACCATATTTTGTTACTCCATTTTTAATTGGATTATGGTGAAATTATCTAATTTAATTAATAATAAAATATTATTGTTATTAAAAAAAATAGGTTACCATTTTAATTTCAAAATCTAATTTGTGATATTTAAAATATGAAACAAACAGCAATTTGTAATCAAATTATTTGTGTTAATAATTAGAAAAAAATTAAAAACTATAAACTATATTAAAATGAAAAATAAATGATAATGTATAAAGGATTCATCCGTAATATACATTTCAAAACGCTAAATTAAAGGGCACATCGAAAATAAATGCGAACGCTCTATTTCGTTAAAAAAATAAATTTTTCTATGCTAAAATTCCAGAATAGGTATTTTAAGTGTATAATTTCTCGTTCACAAACTTACCATCTAATTTCAAATATTTTGTACACCAAGAAATGAGCTTAAAAATTCTTGCACTGTAGTTTTTCCCTGCTACCTCTTTTATCAAACAAGTATATCGTCTATTCTCCCCTTAAAACTTTTTTTTTTCGAATGATTAGTAATGAAAAGTAAGTTACAGATTATAATGATATAAAGAAAAAAATATTAATGATAATAAAAATAACTGCATTTATCTAACAGATAAAATAATGACGCTATTGAACAACATGCAACAAAATTTGTATAAAAGATTGTCACAATTTTTTCAATGCTTTAACATAATACGCATTGTATTATGGCTATTATATAAATAAACTTGAATCTGTTATCAATACAAACAACATGACTTCAGTTTAGGTAATGATTTAAATTTTTGTTCCAACTATTTAGCTTTTTTCCATTTACTAATAAAAAATGTAGCGAATTTTTGCCAATTATTCTAAGTAACCAGATCTATCTGAACGCGAAACACATTATTGCTTTTAGTTAACCACCCAGACTGTTGTCAATGTAACACTCGATAGCTAGAGACATTGTAAGCCTACAAATAATTTTAATGTCATAATTATTTTATACTTATGCTGAACAAATAGACTTTATAAGACATCACTCTGAAATTAAATTGAAGTGCTTATAAAGAAAACTGAATAACTTAAAAATATCTTGGAAGATGTCTTTTGGTATCCTGGCAACTGGTGATTTGAATCCTACCGGTATTATAATTTCTATTCCACAAATATGGAAATGTAATTCAAATATTAGCAATTAATTTACTTTATTGAAATTATTTATCTAAAAACAAAAAGAGATAAAAAAAGGAATAATTGCTTTTTTCTATTATTAATTATTTAATAACGTATTGACACAGAATATCGAATTTTATCTAATTTTTTTAAATTAAATTATAATTATCATAGTATTTTATTTAAAAATTTTAAATCTGTAATAGCACTAACTGTGATACTTGTTAAATTCAATTTGATAACAAAATAGAGAAAAATAAAATAATACATTAAATAAAAAATGTTAAAAATAATTTGACGTTTATAACTAATGACTCGGGGGCATTAAGGGAAGTTGTAACGGCTCCGCGAATCTAAAATTATAATATTACTAAACTTTTCACATTTTACTTGTGAAAATTAAAATACGTATTAATATGGTATGTATACATTATTCTTGATGATAATATTTGTTTATACAATAAAAATTTCCAAGTACAGCCGTAACAACTTGACATTTTACTGACACCGCAGCAATAATTAATAAGACCAGAACAACATTTTCTTGATACATATTTATAATTGGCCGTATAAGAGGTTGCAACTATATGTATTATACTATAGTGGATCATACTGCCTGCTAATGTAAAGTTCAAAAACACAATTAACTTCTCACTGGAGTAAATTGTTTAAAAAAATTCAATACTTTAATTTACTATATTTTTTTTCTTCTTTGCAGTTAACAGCCTACAAGATTAAACCGACAAACATATACCACACTATCTTTCTCTATTCTCCGACAGGACTTGCTAATCTACATACGATCCTCCACATATTTTTCCTACCTTAGTCTTACGTCTTCTGGAGAACCACTTCATATAAAGGAGCTTTCCTTTCATCACGTATGGCCAGCTCAACAAAGCCACCTCTTCTTTATATCATCGACTATGTTTGGTTTCTGATATAACTTTGTAGTATCCTTACTATGTCTAATTCTCCACTTTCTTGTATTCATATACAGAAGCTAAAAACCTCAAACTTTTTTTCAAACACTATAAGTCTATTTTGTTGTACCTTATGAAAAGTCCACTTTTGGTATCCATATATATGTACGATTATATTATAATAATAAAATAATCGAGTTTTAGAATATAAATATGTTATAATAGTCAATAGCATATTCAGGAGGGTTAGGTGTTTTATTTCCCCCCTTGAAATGATAAATTTGGATTTTTTTTTCTTAATGAATGAAAACACCCTTTTTAATCATTACGGATATATTAATTGTTACGATTAAAAACAATGATTCATCACAATAAGAAAAATATATTTTATTTTAGTTAACATTTTATGAGAACGAGAAATATTAATAGCCTTTAAAATTATTATTTAAATCAATCAATCTTATGATTCTTCAAATTAAACATTGAAAATTGACTATTTTAGTTTGAATAAATTAAACCGAACTTATTAAGTGAAAAAATGGAGGGAAATTTAGTTATATAAAAAGATAAGAAAACAAATTTGTTTATAATAGAAAATAAGTGATAAAACACTAGCTATATGTTTAATGACTACTATTTACTTCAATCTTCCATTACGAGGCTAAGTTATTAAAGAAACACTAATGATTTTATATTTTTACATTTTGAGGAGGTACATTTTTAAAACTCTAATTTCAAGATCTTTCTGGATAAAATGATGCAAAAATGGAAATTGAAATATACTTAATTAATGATATCTATAAGAAATCTTTAATTAATACCTGCAAAGCAAAAAACTAACTTATAATTTTAGAATTCTTTATTAAATGGAAAAAATGAAATTTTAGTCGTTGTTAGAAATAAACATAGAACTTATCTAAAACATTACATTATTTAGTGTTCATTAAAAAAGTTTTTCTAATCGTTTAGTAGAATTATATACGGTTAAATAAAAAATATAGTACCAAATTTAATTTAATTAAATTTAACTAAAATAAAACCAATAAACGTATTATAGGACATATTTATTTAAAAAAATTACAATAATAACAAAAATTGATTATTTATTAGTAATAAATTATTACAATAATCATAGGAACAGAATAATTAAGATATTCATGGTTTTCAATTCACTTGCTGAATCTTAAAGCAATTGCTAATATTTATCTAAATGCTACTGTACACAATGGTAAAAATTAATACAAATTATATAAATAGAGTGTGAGTAATAGCTCAATGGATAATTTTCGACAAATATCCACAATTAGAAAAACAATTTAATAGACATTGGCGACTAGATAAATTGTAGTTAGTTAATAGTTGACTTAATCGGATTCATCTTCGTTGTTATCTAAAAGATTTGTACACGAACGGGCTTTGATTGATCTAAAAAAGATGTATACTATTAAAAATAATAAAACTTAATCTAAAGCTAAATAAATAATTATTTTATTATTTATACTAGAAAATTATTTTCCGTAAATTTCAGTGAACATAATTTCTTTTATTTTAAATATTTCTTATGAAACAATATTAACTTACTCGTTGGGTGTTTTATATCTTCGACAAACGTGAAGAGCAATAGAACCACTTTTAAATGATTTAAACAATGTTATGGCTTCCGAATGAGTCAGATCATGACAAAAAGTACCGTTAACTGCTAAAATTTCGTCCCCTGCAATCATCGTTAATAATACATTTTTAACAAAGAATCCTTTTCATTTATATTCATAAAGTCAGAAAGTGAATGTTACAAATAACATACCTGGTTTTAGTCTGCCGTCATCAGCTGCTTGTCCATTGTCCAAAATACTTTTAATAAAAATTCCCATCGCACCTTTAGGCGAATCCTTTCCGCCAACAATTGTGAAGCCTAAACCTTTTTTTCCTGGACCTTTTTCTAATACAAACGTGTGAAATTTGCACACTATTGTTTTAGGTCGTCTCGGTAATGTACAAAATGTTACGCAATCAGGCCCAACATATGTAGCGTCGCTATCTCCTTTAAGGTATACTTTGGTGACATTCTTCTTATTTAAAGACTGTGGTCTTGAAGGTGTCGGAGGTGTTACACAAACTGTTGTATGGAAATTTCTATTATATTTTTGTAACGTATTAGAACAGTTTAATTCATTATTCTCATAATCCACCAACGTTTCAGGTAATCTCGTCTTAGTTTTTTGTTGATATTTTGATTGATTGGATCTCCGTGAAGCTATTACTAATGTAACTGGACTACTGCCATCGTTAAGAATTTTATCAGCTTCAGATGAGTTAACTCCAATCAAACGATGACCGTTTACACAGATGATATGATCACCAACCTTTAAATCGCTTGTTCTAAAAAAAAAAACATTCACTTAATTTCAACTATGTAAAATATTTTATAAGTTCATTAAATATTTAATTTATAATTAAAAAATTTTATTTGTCATTTGTGTAGCTTTAATAGCAAAATATCGCAGTATATACTTACTGGCCGGCTATTCCACCTCGAACAACGTTTATAACTTCATAACCGAAACTACCTCCAGATTGAACTTCTTTAATTTGTACACCAAGAATTTGTTTTGGATGATTTTTATGTAAGTGAATTGTTCTATAATCCCAGTAATCACAGGTCGAATTTTCCCTGGAAGATAAATTTGTAGTAACTGAATTGCCATCGGAAGGTAAACTAAGTGCATAGTTTCGTTTTATAACATATTGAGATGCACTCCTGAAGTTTCGATCTGGATTACTTAAATCAGGAGACGGAGTAGTCGATTCATTAGGCGGATCATTAATAAGTATCCCACTGTCATCATCTTCGGGTGCTGTAGTTTTGTCTGTTGGCAGTTCAGTAAGGCGTTTTCGGAATTCTTCTAATCCCGGCAATGCTCCATAAGAAAGACTTCGTAGTTTAACCTAAATCCAAATAGAATAATTTTTATACTAAATATATAGTATAAAAGGGTGCTACTTATTTTACGAATTTGTTCATTCTTCTAAGTGCCTACATTTTTATTGATCTTATTAATACAAAAATTATAACTGTAAAATTTGAATCAAATCCGATATAGTTCATACGTGATTAAAGTTCTAATTTTATTGATTTTTTAAAATCACTATTTATTATTGTCAATAACTTTTTGAATATTGAAAATTCAAAATAAATATTAGAAAACAATAATGTATAAAATATAATAGTTGTCTACAAATTTTTTTTCTCTATTTTCGGCTAAAACTAATATTTAATGCTCAAGAAGCAAAAACCCAAATAATATAATAAAAAGTCTAAAAATTCACATAATTTCGACTTTCATAAAAATTTTACTTTATTTTTATAGGTGACTCAATTAATATAATTTTAGTTACTTTATTTTTATATATCTGAATTTTAATTTATAAAATATGTTATTTTAAACTAGGGCTATTTTTATTTTTTGTTAAATATAGTGTCAACTACTTTAATCGGTGTCTTCAAATTATCAACTAATTTAGTTAGCTCTAGTAAATTATTGTGCATTTAGAAAATTTAAAAAAATGGGAAAACTTTAGCAAATATTAAAATCTTAAAATCGTTTTAAAAAGGTTAAAAATGATTTAAAAATAATAAGATTTGAAATTCTGGTTCAAATTAACCAGTTATTTTCTATGTTGGATCATTTTTTAATCTATTAAAAAATGTATGTAAACATTTAAAAATATAAAATTAGTATCTTTAATAGGAATAAGAGTTTTTTTATATTAAAAAATATCAAATAATTTTTTTTTTTTATTATTATTTAAGAGAAATTTAGCGGCCATCATAAATATAACTTTTTATTGAGCCATCTTAAAAAAAATAAAGTTAGAGCTAAATTCATCATCATTATCACCATAGACTCTATCCCATTTATTTGAACTCGGCTCTACCTTAGCGATTTGACCGATTTTTACGTCAGCTAGACAATCGGCACCTGTCGCAACTTCATTATAGCTAAGGGAACCAATATGTGGACTAATTATGTGTCACTATTAAAGTTCCTGTTTAGTCATCCGTCAGGAATTCAACAACTAAACATCAGCTCAAATGCGGCCATTGAATGATCTACTGCACCACACTACGCTCATATAGCTAAATTCATATATAGGTCAAATAATAACACTAAAAAAATTCTATTGAGGAATTTGATCTTCCTATGACCCTGTATGTTATAAGTTACATATAGAGTGTTCAGTAAGTAAGGAAACTGATTTCTATTGTTCTAATTGTTTGTAACAATTTACCTGTTTCCTTACTTATTTAATACGCTGTATATTACTTAATTTAAAATCCTACTAAAAATATATTCATTCAGATTTAATTGTTTTTAATATTACTCTAACAAAATGTTTAAGTACACTGACTTACGAGCCCTGTCAAATAATAAGTTTAAGAAATGTTTTTGACGAATTCGATTTTTCTTATCAATTTTTGTGATCATTAATAATATTAGGGTATCATCTAAATTAATTTTGGTTAATACAATTTTTTAAACTATATTAAACGTTTTTTGGCGGTGAATCATTTAGTTAACTACCAAATTTTCATACGTAATATATTTTAAAACATATCGTAATGAATATACAAATGAATAGTTAGTCAAAGTAAAAAAAAAAAACAGTTGATTATAATTTCTTATCAACAATATTAGTTGTAATTATTATTTTTAGATCGTTTAAAAAACATTGAAGTATATGTAAGCTTGTGAATTACTATTATTAAAAATACCTTATTTCTTGGGGGTGGTTCTTCAACTGCTGAAGAGCTATTTTCATTTTGGGAATGAGCTTTATTAGGCGAATTTTTATAAAGTTTCGCTAAAAATCTTTGAGTGGATGACTTAAGGTATTTATCTGATAAAGATTTTAATCTGCTTGGCTTAGTTTCTTCTTCATTTTTTTCCGTGAGATTCCCTTTGTATATTGAGTCATCATGACTATTGTTGCTGGTAGCTGTAGGTTTAAAGTGTGTTAGACCTGTATGCTTGATTTGATCCAATAGCGGATTTCGTTTTTCTTTAATTTGTTGTCTAGTTCGTACGTTTTGCACTCGAATAGTGCGGTCTCGTACATTATAACAGCTGACATCTCCATTACAGTCTATACTCTCTAGTCTTGTCGCAGAAGTATCTAAAACAAGTTTTTAAATATACTTAATATTAATTATATTATTTTACAAAAAATTATAAAATATGTAAAAGTAGAATACGTTTTTAAATTTTTTTATTTTGTTAAAGTAAACTTAAAAATAATTATTTAAGTATGTGTACATTTTAAATGAAATATAATAATATTATCGTAGAGCTAATAAATATAACCTGTATATATTGCAAAAGTAAAACGAGGAATAATAATGAAACTGTGAATTTTTAGAATCACAAATTATAACAAAATATATTATATTTTAAATCTTATAATACAATAAAAATGATAGATTAAATTTATTCGAAGACACTATTATAGAGGACAGTGTTTTATTGTCACTAAAGTCATATTTTATCAAACGTATAGTATAAAGTATGACTAATTTTTTAATATGTTCAGTTAACAGTTTTTCAAATTCAGTTTGAAACATGCGCTAATTATTTATTTTTATTCAAAATAGAATAATAGTTTTTCTTTTATTATCTATGTATAAGTAAACGGAAAATATTTATAGCATTAATTCGTAATATTGTGTTATGGACTACATTTTTAGATCCAATCCTTGTAGATTTAAGAAACGCACTTTTCAATTCACGAATGCAAAAATTTAAAACATGATCCACTTATGTTTACATTTTATTTTTAATAATTTTGTGCACATAAACCATTAATAAAAACCATAGTGAACATTTATTATCTTAGTTTTAAGCGATTTTCAATATATAAATTATTTCTTGGGCAAAAATATTAAAAACTCATCACTTAATAAGTCAAGAATAAAATTCTAAAAAACAATTCGAACACATTGAAAAAATGTTTCAATTAAAACGTAGTTATGATAAAATACATATTGTACATACAAAATTTCAATTTTTTTTAATTTCAATGCGAAGCTGGAAAGGTATTTTAATATTACAATAAAAAAGTAAATTAGATTATATATAAGGAATTCATTATGTTAAAAATAAGAAAATTTTAAAACCAATAAAGCCACGGTATATTTTTTGTATACAGGGTAATATTAAATTTAAAAAAAAAATAATTTATTTAAAAAACATAAGCAAAACAAGATCTTTGTGCAAGGAAAGGTCAAAAAAAAAAAATTGATTTGAGTTTTCAATATCTTGCTTTTTTTTGTTCAAGTGAAACTAGGAGAACTTATTCTACCAGTTGGAGAAGGATATTAAAGAGATAAAGTAAATTGACCCTCCTAAACTTTTTTTATACTTTGATATTTTAATATATAAAACGTCCATAGGAGATTGAACATTTTAGTTTTTGTTCCAAGATCTGTTATTATTAATAATAAATTTTATACGCTCTCATTTTGTTTGGAATGTTTTCCTTATTATTATTATTATTTTGGCTCGTATGAAATTCTTACATTATAATCGATTAAGTTTATCAATTTTGTGACAATTTTCCTGTGGATCCTCCCTGCTTGCAATTTACGCTTATTATTCTGAAAGAGTCCTAAATATTAGATCAAACAATGACCAAGTCGACTCGGGCTGTAGTTCTGCCTGTGTTTAAAAATAATATAAATAGGTCCACTTTTCAAAAGTATTTAAAAAAAATTACAAACTATTTTTTCTATTTGTATTTATAATTATATCAATAAAAACAATATTACTGTGTTCTTATACACGTAGTTTAACTATAACCATCTAATATAAGAAATCTACTTTAGGTAAAATTGCCAAAACTACAAGAATTCCAAAAATATCAGATATAAGGCATAGCCAGCAACATGAACTAGGAAGTTGGAAATAATTTTAAATTTTAAAACTCTTCTTTCTGTCTGAAAATGTAGGATAAAAATGTTTTTCTTAAAAAAATTATTTACCGATTTTTAGTATTGCTGAACCCGCTTCCCATTTTTCACTCAATTAATCATCAAAAAATATAAATTCTTATACTAAAATAATACGTATTAAATATTACAATAACTAATATACCAAAAAAAAATTTGATTAAACGCTCGAAAATCTATTTCAAAGTAAATTATAAGCTGTTTGAGGTCAAAAACAAATTATACTACAGGTTATCCGCATTCCTAAATGATGCCGTATAATGAATTACCTTAATGGACATAACATCATAAAAATGTGATTTAGCGCAGTAATCACCAATCGAATTTGACTTTCTATTCGTTAGTTCATTGAACAAGGTGGAAATAAAATTATGAAGTAAAAGTTTCACGCTGATTATAATTTTCATTAATATTATAATTGTATAGAGCTTATTAATAGATAATTGATTGGGTTGGCTCTAAAAATAAAATACAAGTGGATAGTTTTGAACAAGTTTAGGATAATAAAATTTGATCAGTTAACCTATTTAAAAAAAATTTCTATATCTAGAAAAGGATTAAAACTCAAATGTAAATAAATTCTACGAATTAACATATTTTTAAGTGCCATTTAAGTGTAGGACAGGAATTCATACAATAAACAAAAAATACTCTAATCAACCGAAAAACAAATATCAAGAAAATTAATTAAAAGCAGGAAGTCATTTTAATAAAAACAGTGAATATCTAACAAAAACAAATTTTAAAAGTTTAAAAATCTAAAAAGCATTACCTTTGTAAATTTTTAGATTAATACACTAATTTATTATTAGCGGATTATTAAAATGTCAACGTTTTATAAATTTGTTAATTTTTAAACATGTGAATAAAATTTTAAAAATTAATCGCCGTGTATTGGGAAAAAAATTGCAAGAGATACTAAAATTTATATTATAAATTTACAATCTCTTTACTAGATGTTGGCCATGCCATCCAATAGAATTTTTAAGATATTTTCACTTCTACCTACAACATTGTATATTGTTCGTCTATTATATGACCTAATTTCCAATCTGACGAATGTTTCAATACGTTAATATAAAATTAGTAAATGTGTTTAAGTAAAGAAGATTAATTTTATAGATACGAAATAATGTATAAGTTCGTATTTTCAAGTTAGTCATGGATTCTCAATATATAGAAACATAAAAATACAAATATTAATTATTAATATTTATTAAATAGTTTGTAAGCATTGAGATTCTATTTTTTTTAATTTTCTTACATATAAAGAATTATAAAAAAATCAATAAGAAATTTTTTACTTTGTCCCTTTTAATAATTAAAAGAGTAGAAGAAAACATTTTTTTTTTGGTTTTAAGCTAATTAATATAACGGAAGAACCTCGGTAAGTTATTGATTGAAATCATGCTGACTGAAAAAAAATCACTAGACTTTGACCTGATATTTTTTTTTAATTTCACATTCTCATACGTCAAAACAAGTGTCAATTAGAAATTTCTTTCTACCTTAAAGATATAATTCATCTTTTTAATCGATAAGTTTATTGCTTTTTCTAGCCCTAGGCTTGCACAACACAAACGCGTAATAGATATTCAATAAATGCAACACTTATGTATTTACTTAAGAGTGTGTATATGATGATATTTTTTAAAATATCGTTGATCTTTTAATAGGATATTATGTTATTTTATCGAAATTTTCGTAATCTAGAAAAATATTGGATTTAATGATAAACCAAGATTTAATAAATATACTTTATGAAAGCGACAAACAGATGGCATGTAGTGAGTAATTTAAGGGAAAGCAGAGAATTAAGTAATGCTAAATGACTTACGTATTGATAGCTACAATAGCCTATAAGGATTTACACCTAAGTATTTATTTGGAATTCTACTGTACACAAAACAATATATAAGGTAATGAAAGAACAATAATGTGAAAATTTTGAGATAAAATTTCGACATTAAAAACTATTTGTTTTTAATTTGATTTACCGTTATTTTCATTTAAGTTTCCTATCAATAAATGTAGTAATTGTACCATTATCATTACATATGAAATTGAAAGTTATAAAATAAATTAAATTTAATAGTGTTACTAACCTAGTCTAGATCTTCTGGGTCCTTGAGGTATTTGATAATATCTTCCGGCAGAATAGTCTGGTACTCCTGTTTCATGATTTCTAATTGGTGATAAACTTAGTAAACGAGGCGATGCATCTTCGCCATTTTTATGAAACCACTTCATCCTTCACATGAAGTATTTTTCTAAAATGAAAATAAAATATCTAGTTAAAAATACACAGTTACATCAAGAATTGGGTTCAACAACTTTAGCGCTTTTAAAATTAAAAAATGATGATGATAATAAAATAAAAACTATTTTAAATTGAATAATAACTTTCTGACATCAGAAACTTAATATAGAATTTGAAATCGAAATGTTTTCTATATTTTTAATAATACAAGTTTATAAAATTAAGTCTACAAACGTTATTAGTTTTAATGTTGATGACGAAGTTGTGTCGCATGCATATACATTAAGCCTCTAGTTATTTTGTGCAGATGTTTTCCAAGCACATCAATTAATAATGCACAATAAATATTACCTATGATGAATAAAATATCTATTTTATAAAAAAACAAATAAATATATATACTAAAATAGATATCTTATTCAATACTTGTTATTAAAAAATGTATAATAAAATATTATTAACGTTAGTATCATAATTTTATTAAACAGATTATAAATAAATCGCCAAAAAAATGAAACAGTTCTAAACCATATTAATTAAAAGGAGATAAAAACATCTATAAAATACTTAAAAAACAAGATAGAAAGAAAAATATATAAGCAAGAAGAACAAAGGAAATTACAGTAGTTAGATATTTAGTATCGTAGACTTCTATCTATTTGAAAGACCACACAGATCTTAGTTTTAAGTTTAACTTTCAAAATTATTAAAATAAATAACAAAGTTGTGTCTCAATATGTATATAATTAAATTTGTACGTCTACTGCTTAGGTCATTTTTAATAACAATCTCGACGTAATTATTTTTAATAAGTAGTAAACCTCACTAGATATTATCAAGAATTTGACATATAAACTAGTAATGAATAATATAACAGCATATACCATAAAGAGAACCATATGTCAAAATGTATACAAATGAAGATTCATATTCACGAGTCTAATCAAACACAGATGGTCATGAATATTGCTGTCGTAAAAATAATGAGGAAAACATATTTTTTATTGATTATGTATTAATTAAATATTGTATCACACGTCAACTAATTTTGTTTACAAAAGATAATCAAATGTTCACTTCAGTTATGAATGTATACATACATAATTTAGCATAACTGAATATCAATCAACAAAAAACATATTTCTACAATTTTTTTTAGTATCAATTAATCCGAAATAGTTAAATTTATTTTTATAAAAAAATATCATAAGCTTTGTTTAATCTGTTCAGCGATTTAAAATGAATCACCTATATAGGTGTTCAGCAAGAGCGTGTTTCTATTGTTCTAATCGTTTGTAACAATTGACCAGTTTCGAACATATTATAGTTGCCCAATATGCAGTTTTACTGTAATGAAAATATCTAAATTAGAAGATAATTCATAAAATTATTATTTTCTTATTATTGTTTAATTTTATTATTATAGTTATTATTATTTATTCTAACATTAAAATAATATCCTATCAAAAAACTATTTAAAGAATACAAAATTAGTGTACATGAAAATTAGACAAAAAAAAAAAAATCATCTTTGATTTTTTTAATATTCTTAAAAACCATAGGCAAAAGAGGTAGAGTGTAATCAAAATAAAATAAGTACTGCATGTAATTCTAAAAATATATAGAAATTTATTATTTATTTCATTTTCTAAAATTTCATGGGGTTAGATTTAGCAAGTTTAAAAAAAATAATCTTTGAATTTATTAGCGTATACATTTAGCATACTATGATATAAATATTATGATCACAAAAAAGGAAGGTTTAAAAATGTCAACACTAAGAGAAAATAAATATTTCTATGTTTTTTCAAGAACGGTTTCTTAATGTACTAACTCCTTCGAAAAATATATAGTAAGCTAAACAGAACGATTAATTCTTTTTTTAATAGTAAAGGTACCCTAATGTGTTTTCATTCTGAAGAACTTACTAGTTATTTATAATTTAAAAATTTTTATATCATTTCGAAAGTCAATTTTTTTAAATATTTTTCATGGGTATAAATAGAAATTAGCAGACTAAAGTCCTATAATTTTTCGAGACCTATTTAATGTCGCACTAAGTAGAAGATATTTAATATTGATCAAAAAAAAAAAAAAACAATATCATTTGATTTTTGATCAAAATGAAGAGCTTGCTCTTATTTGCAGAAGAGAAAACTTTGAAAATGTGAAATACTTTTGCGTAATCATAAAAATAAGCCACCTAGAATCAAATTATTTTATACTATAACAAATTAAAATTGTAAATGTTGTGTTTAATATTTTTACATGTTTAATTTACTTTTTAAAGCTTGGTTGACATTTTTTACGACTTTTAAATATTTTTTAATTTTATTATATGTAAAATCCAACGGCGTAGTTATGGTTTTATGCTAGGGAGGATAACACAAGAGAATTTTTCACTACCCCCTCTAAATAAAAAAAATTGTATCTTTATAATGTTAACAATTTTATTCTGGAGGTATCTATCCCAAACATCCCCCCATAACTACGCCACTAGTAAAATTCATCTATTTTGTTGCTCTCTCAAAATTATAATTATTGTTTAACACGTTATTTTAATTATATTTTCAGCTAAATGTCTATTTATTTTTATTTATGACATCTCGAATATATTTTAAACATAATATAAAATGAAATATTAAGTAACCATCTATAAAATTTACCAAAATCTAACAACCATGACGTCAAGGAGCTAATTACTAGCTAAAGGGGCTAAGCCCTTAAGCACTCACTAGATGTTCGAACTGTCGAATAGTAGGTTACGCCAATGCATATTCGTATGTATAAATTATATAATTATTTAATTAATAAAATTAACATGCATTAAAGTTATATCGAAAGCAAAAAAAAGTGTATTGTTTCAAAATAAAATAATTTAACATGCATTTATTTTCAACTAAACCGTCTTTCCAAATATGTATTATTGTTTTCTTGTTTAGTTGTTTTGACAAAAAATAAGAAAACGTTTACAATTGAACAAAATTTAAAGGATATTGAAAAAATGTGATTAGCTCATGATTTTAATTAAAACTAAAAAAATGAAAGAAGTACAGTTATGTGGATAAGATATTTAAAAACACCTGCGTCATTAAAAAAAAACTACTACTAGCTAATAATTAGCTAATATAAACATACTCTTAATTATTAAGAGTACGTTTATTTTCTATTAAATCTAAGACATCACAAAAACAGTTTATGACGACGATTGTCTTTTGCATTGTCACTTGTTTACTATTGTAAAATAACATTATGATAATATATTAACGTTATCACTAAGATAAAATTCAATTTACATAGATATGTCTATTTTAAAAAATTATTTACGAGATTCACATTACCCCAGAATTATTAGAAATTTTCTACTTCTAATATGTGATTCTATTATTATTAACAGAATTATTCAGATTTGTAATAAGTGTTATGTGATACTAGTAAATATTATTTATAGTACCAGCGTTAGAATTTACAAAACTTCAGACAAATAATAACCTCTGGGCACAAAAGAAACCAACAATTTACTTTAGAAAAAAACAAAACAAACTATGAATTTTTATAAATCTCTTTTTGGATAAAACTCTCGAATAATTTTTAGGTTGTGGTCATTTAACATGTGAGAACTCTGATGAATTTGAGTTAAAAGAAATTAATTTTGAAAAAATAATTAAAAAAAAAAACATGGTACTTCAATTTCAATAAGATCATTATTAGCAATAATAATAATTCAGCAATTACACTTGGTAGTGTTATAAATGTATAAATATATATTACCAATGTATGCTCGCGTTTATGTACATAAAAAGGGCTGGAAATACGTTATGTTGCTAGGATATGCAGGTGTAAACCAAAAATAATAATACTAATTCAAGCAACTGGTGCTATGTTCCTTCAAGTAAAACAATGATGTTCGTTATGATAAAATAATGAATAGGTTCTAATATGAATAACAATGAATACTTAATTTGTGTTTTCATTTGCTTGATTGTAATATAAATATTTATAACTGTCAATAGATTATAAATAATATTCGATACGTACAGCTATTTTTTTACTAACTAATGAAGTGCCTGGTATTACCGTTACAAAAAATATTGATTATTGAAATATATAAAATTTGAAACTATTGGTTCATAAACATCCTCAAGTATTTATTTATTTCCCTGGCTACTTTCATAAGAAACAAATCGAGGGTCTAAGATTAAATGATCATTTTATCAATTTTTATACTTTTTTGAAGAGCAAAATTAAATTTTCATTTTCCATTTAGGTTAATGAAAAAATATTATTTTTCTTAAAAATTTAATGACATTTAATGTTACTGAAGGTACAACGTTTTTACGTTAAAAAATATTTCATATATTGGTTAAAATAGACTAATAATCGAAAAATCCCAATTTTGGTTAATGTTCTTTTTATTCTAGACTCATGAAATAAGTGTTGTCATGGTTTTTGTGGAAAATATGCTCCAACTTCTTATTTTATTGACTCATTTATATTTGTTGCATAAAAGCCTACTAAGTTAAAACGTCATAAAATGATGTCATGTTTGTGTAAAAAACAAAATTATTTACTAGGTACTCAGTTCGAATAATATCTCAAATGAAAAACAAAAATATTCACGACTTTAGCCTTTTTTGAAATAAATAACATACTGAAATTTAAATAATTATTTTACATTTTTTCAGCAATTATGTATTTTCTTTTGTTACTTACTATCAATGATATAATTGCAATTAGATAAATGGTTTCCAATTTCCTCATTCCTGGTGCCCATATGATAATAAATATCTAATAATTATAAAAGAAATAAATAACAAAGAACAACAATAGGTACTATTGTTTTGAGTACTTCATTAATAAAATCAAATTATAACATCACACATGATGGATAACTCATGGTCACCATTAGTACACACAATAAAAAATCCTACAATACAATATCATAACTTTTATCGTTAAAATTTTATGACATATATTGTATTTAAAACCACTCATTTAGAAAATACTTAGTTTTATTCGATTATAAACGACAAATGTGTATAAACTATTGAAACAGGGAATTGATATAATAATATTTGTTGTTTATAATAGGATTATATATTATAGTATATTACTGAAAAATAAATAAATCAAATTGTTGTATTTGGATATTAGTACACATAAAAAACATTTAATTATTATTTAGTTGAAGATGGTAAAATAGATAAACTGAAAGTAATTAAAATATACATAAAAATAATCCAAAACTCACCAAGTTATTGACATCAACTACAATATTATTTAATCACAGTTGTTGAGTATTTTATCATAAGTTTTAATGTATTCCCCAAAACCAAAATGTGGAAATATCACTTACGATTTGACGAGAGAAAAATTACTATTACACATACACGTACAGACACAATGATAACACAAAACTGACTAACGTGCATCATTCTAATACTCTTGTATTACCTATGCAAGTTACTGAGTAATGCGACTTTAGAATAGAGGGGGCAGGTATTAAGCAGAGACAGACTGTTGGGCCACCAGTCAATGACACGATATTTTGACCGCAATATACACCATTGGATTTAAATAATAATATGTAACATTCATTTTTCATAAATTTTTGTTTTAAGAAAAAACAAAACAATTTTTCGTAATACTACTCCAATTTTCCCTTGACATATAAAAAACAATAAACATTATTTTGCTCTATTTAGTAACTTTCGACGTGTTTTAATCTACTATCGGTTCAAATGAAGTACTGATTTACACTACTTTTATTTATCAACACAGAATAATAGTGTTTTTACTTTATGGAAATAGAAGAATACAACAAGAAAAAATTAATTTTGATTTTATTACTGATTATATTAAAACATTTATGTTTATATTATCTATTCCTAATGAATTTGACACTTAAAATAGTTGAACTATTATAGACAACAGTACAAGGAGTATTAATTTCAAATTAGGATGTTTTATAAAAACATCTTTAAGGATATAAAACAGGCACATTAAAAAGATGACCCAGATTATTTTACTATACAATATTAATGATTCTGTAATATTCAGGTTTGTAGGCGTTCTATGAAAATGTCAAGGAACTATTATACAATAATAAATATTTGATGAACTGTAAATGCTATTATGTGACATATGAATAAAAAAAACCCCGAGTAATTTTGAGATGTATTTTGTTTTTTTTACAATTATATCAAGACGCCAATAATACTTTTTTTACATCCCAAAACTGATTAAAGTGAAATTTAAACAAATAGTGTGTTTAATTCTCCGATAATGAAGAGACTACGATTACTAGAATGACAAATTACAAAATATGTACGATGTTAAAAATACATAATAAAATGGTAGAAATAATGGAATTATGAAATATATTTTCAAATATCATTTATTTTTAATTATTATTTCTCATAAAACAAGTATCATTTAAGTATGCGCAACAATATATATTATGTACATTATTATTTAAAAAAGAGAGTATTTACAATCAGGAGCTGTATATCCAGCTCTAAAAGAGTATTTTAGTAAAAATAAGTTTAGTACAAAATATTAGTGAAATAAGCGCCAAATTGAATAAATAAATAATATAACCATTCTTAGTTAATTCGTTTGTGACATGCTTTACAGTTTCAATATTTTTTACAGCTGTTTTATTTGTATGAAAAATTATTTGATTTATCAATTAATGCCAAAATATGTAGAAATCGCATAGAAACGTATTTTTTCACTAATTATATTAAATTTATAACTTTACCATAATTATTCTCTAAAATTATTAATAAAAGTGACACATGACTAATTATTACTAGACTATTACTAGTACTTTAGGTGAAATTTTAACTTATTTTCCAAATAGTTTTACAAATTTTAGTCAGGTTACCTTATTGATTATAAAACATTTAACAAAAGAACTATGTGTATACAAAAACATAAAAATCCAATGAGATTTTAATAATTAAGAATTATTCTTTGTTTAGCAGTATAACAATAAATCAATAATTTTTTTACAAAAAACTCTTGAGCTGCTTAATTTAAAAAATCGAATATAAATCAATATTTATATCATAAGAGCTAAAAAAAATTTTTTATCAATATAACTAGGTCGTTAAGCTCAATGTAATAGCCAATGGGTACCAATGTGTGCCACGTTTATACCCACATCAAGTAAAAATGCGGGCATGGTCAATTCAAACGCGGAAGTGACTGGTGAAATGTGACATTTTATTACCTACAACATTATCATATTACTTTAATATTTTGATACCTATAAATATATTCCACTTTAAATCACTGTTCACAGCAATAGATATCCAGGTATATACAGAAAATACACAGGTAGTGTATGTTTAATGGTTATTATTTAGATTAATAATACACAATTACAATACAGTATAAATATTAAATAGCCAATTGCAAACAATTGTGTTCAATCCCAAAAAAGGTATTTAATATATTTGTAAAACCTAATTTTTGATTTTTATATTAAATTTCTATATTAAGTAAATATTTAATTTATACAACATTTAGAAACTGAACTACCTTTGTATTAATGCTAGGCATTTTGAACGGCCTAGGAGATATTCTCACTGTTAAAATAATGTTAAGCATTATAATACAGTTACTGGATCATGAAGTGATCCTTCAGGGTATTATGCCATTTTTCAATTTACCCGTGATATTAAGTGACCATTTTATGTTAATCTTAATTTACTATAAAAACCTACACGTAGATGCCTATAAAAATTTGCATCCTCCTTAAGCTATTACTTAGTTACTATATCATAAATGTATAATCTATTTAAGAAAAACATTTTTAAAATGAGCACCCAATTTTACATTATGACTTTTTATATTTAATTGATTGTAATTAAATATGTCTTAATTTAATTAGAGCGAAATTTTTGTAACCCAACTCATATAACAATAGAAACCCGTTTCCTGACTTACTGAACACCCTGTATATTAAATTACATATATATTACATTATTTTAAATTATAATGTAATAAATTTTACCTCGATTGATTAAAATAAAACTTAGTTCAGAGCCAGCTAAGTTCTTTTAACTATTCGTTGATCCTAGGCATTAACTGAAAAAAATTTTTTTTTAACATGGGTAATGATCAAAAAAATATTTAAAATAAATTTTGTAGTTCCTAGACAAAGTGCCTAATGGGGATAATAATGTTCTGCCTTGGTTGTACATAAAGTTAATCATGTTTAATATAGAATAAAGAGAAATATTTTAGTAAAAATGTTTTACTATATAATAAAAAATTAGTTATTAACTAAAGTACTTATATTTTTGTTTAGATAAAATAAATAAAATATCTTTATTTTTTAACAGAGAAAACTAAGTGTAACTAACTTAAACCTGCTGATATAACTGCACCAGTATATTAGATAATATGTGTTATCTAATAACAATAAACAATTTGTTTTATTAGCTGATCTTATGGTTTAAATTTTGCGTTAAAATTATCAACAAATAGTATTGTGCTACTTAGAAAAAAGTGTTAATCATGAGTTATAAAAACATAACTTTAAAATGTCTGTTTGATGAAATAATAAGTCATAAAATAGTATATCATATTAAATTATTTTAAGATTCATATAGTTTTACCAATATAAGTCATATGATTTTTTTGAATCACGCATGATATAAACTTTTTTTTACTTTGACAGAGCACTCTATTGATTATCCAAAGAACCGTCGATTTTTATGTCGATATAAGCGTATACATACGATCACTTTTACTTAGTACAATTAAAAATTACAAAATAATTTATTTACGACAAAAATCAGTTCATTTTGATTTTTATAAAATATTTTTGTTGAACGAGAGATGGTTTGTGATACTTTCTAGACAATCTATATACAATATAAACATACAATGAATCAACATACAACAATGAAAACAAATTATTGTCGTTGTCGCATAATACAAAAAACTTGTCACGTTTTTAACATAGCTATGGATATAACGATGTCCAGAATAACCAAGTAGGTACTATAAGCCCACATAAATGAAACAAGAGAAATTTGTTAAGCACATCTATTGTATTTCTAATTTTATGCGCATATATGTTTGGGTGAATACTAAGACATTTAAAAGTTTTAAAGCCAACAAATAAAATTGTCAAAGAACTTTCATACATTTCAAAAGTTGATACGAGTTTAAAAAATATTATACATCATTCTTAAATAGAAAAACAATAAATTATAAAGATGTGTATTTTATAAAAACAGTCATAAAGTGTTTTAAAAAATTTATTTGAAGCTACGATGTATAATTATTAGTAATAGTTATATAATAGTTATTTGTATGTATTTATGACTGCGCTTTTAGTGAGTCATTTACTTTTTATTATTGTTTTTTAAGATGAAGTAATCCGAAAAATTGTAATTACAAATAAAATTAGCCACAATTGATAAATTGTTATTATATCAATTTATGTAAATTCAAAATCAAATTCTTTAAACAAAGTAACTTTTACAAAATTGAAATTTAGAAGTATATAAATCAGTTATTAATTTACGGGGGTTTCAGGAGGACATAGATATTTTTACATTTTTTAATATGTAAGGTAATACTGATGCGTAATTCAAGTAATTTTATTCTTAGAAACTCCCAGAAAAATATTGAAAATTCCACAATTATAAATAAAGTACTAAATAAAACACAAATAAAATTTTTAAACAAAAACTTGATTGTAATTTTACATTGAATAATAAATTTTTCTAGGCCATAATTGATAATATCTTAACAATAGAGATAATACTATGAGTGAATCACTAAATCTGGGAATAAACGATTTTTTTAAATAAAATTATAAACATATATTAAAATGAAAATTATAAAACTCACCTCAAATCTTTAAAAATAATTATTTTTTTTAGCTAGAATTTTTTTATTAAATTTTATTGTGAAGGGATGAAATGTTATTTTTTTCATCCCGTATTTTGTTTGAGGGCCACTTCCCCTATAGAAAATCTTGTTCCGACACAACTATTTGGATTAAAAATACAAAGGTTTTTGGAGACGAGCAGGGAGATAGCTCATGAATTGTACATCATTTTTTTTATCATCACTTTTTTAGAAGTAATATACAACAAAAATTCTTATCATTTTATAAAATTAATTGGTGATTGACGAATATAGCCGGCAACTATATGTAAACACAAAATAAATTTTATATTTAAAGATGTCTTTAATCAACAGGGTGACTCTATTGCTATTAATTATTTTTACACCTTTGTACATTATGCTATAGAAATTTATGTTATAATGAAGGGATACTTGATTAAAATAATTGCATAATTTTGATAATTTGTCTAAAGCGCTGTATTTTAACTTAACGCAATCTATTTACATAAATGCCACATTATGTCTACCAAACTTCATGTTAAATTGATAAAATATCACGGAAAAATTTTGTTTTATTAATGTAAATTACAATTATAATTAACTAATCAGAATACTCTAGTTACAAGAATAATAAAATAATCATTGAAGACACAATGCATTTAAAATATTAAATTTCACTGCATTAATAAATAATGGAACTCATAAACATGTGAATGAATATTAACTAATTAATTAAAGGAAAATTTATAATAACAGAGTACATTAAAATATAAAAGCTTTACTTAATTTTAACATTTTTCAATGATTGCGCAACCACAATTCCTTTATTAGTTATTGTCCATGGAATTCCCTTGTACGTAGCTTGATTTGCGTCATTTGTTTTTAAATCCTCTGCTACTTGATCAAACACTTTTAAAACTTTATCGGGAGATCTCATGTAACCTTCAACACTTATAATATCGCCAGGCACTGCACCAGCTGGGGGTTCCAATATTTCGACTTTATCAGGTGTACTAGCACACATTACCATTGCTTCAGAAACGACTCCTCTAATTTTAGATGGTTTCAAGTTGCACAACAATACAGCCATGCGATCAGACATTTTCTCCAAAGGAACGTATTTTACCAAACCACTCACCTACAAAATTATTATCTATATATTCTGTACATCATAATAAGCTAAACTGGACTAAGTTATATCCGCGGAAAAATAAAAAAAGTTTAAAGTATTTTTACTAGGGTTCCGTCAATGATATCGATATCGCAAACTTTTTTCATTTTTCCCACAAAATCGATTATTTTTGAAATATTGCAATAATCGGAGAAAAAATGTTTGAATTTTGGTCACTGTTATAAAATATATATTATTTGATATTAGTCAAAAAACAGTTCGTGATAATTTTGTTAATATTTTTGTATTAAGATATATAGAATTGAGATAAGACGAAAAATGTATTTATTGATTAGGTTTTTTATTATGGCATTGTTTTTATTCCTATTTTTAACAAAAAAAAATAATGTACGAATTAGAGAGAGAGAAATTAAAGAATTAGAAAATATACAGCAACAACTGGTTGAAATTCAATCTGAAAAGTAAAATAAAATTGTTGATCCCCTCCCACAAAAAAAAAAAATTCCTATTAGATGAGTAATGATTATGATTTATTCTGTAAGTTTAAATTTTATTTTTATAAAGAAAAATAATAATTTTCACTTATGATAAAGCAATAAAAATATATAAACAGTATTTATAAACTTTTTTTTTATTATTATTTAAAACCAAAACATTGAAACTATAATACTATTATTTAATAAAGAAGAATTTCATACATTTAATATAACAAATATATAATGATACAGTTTTATAACAAAAAAATGTATTTCTTCATAATAAAAAGTAATTTGAAAATATTTGATTATCGTTAAGAGATATAGATATTATTTATATTAATATTATTATTTGATTAGGTTGGTATAAAGCTGTTTGATTTTTACAACTATGGTTACTTAACGTTATTCGTGAAAATAAATAAAATTATGAAAACATTTGAATATTAAATATTAATTTAATTTTTGAATATATTTATATAACATGAATTAATTTTTAGTAATATAATAACGCTCAAATTCAGTGCAATATCGATATCCAAAAATATATCATTGACGAACTCTAATTTTTACTATATGCAATTTTATTATTATACTACTACATTATATGTTATTAGGTAAAAAAAAAAAAATTTTAATAACACAACTTATTATACGTACAACATTTCTTGGTTTTTCTTCGCCGAGATCGACTATTTCAACGTATAGTGAATCAGCATTAGGGTGATTAGAAGCACTAATTATTTTCCCTACTCTCAAATCTAATCGACCAATATCTACAGGACTATCATTTTTTTGGACATTTGTTGCTAAATTTTAACATAAAAATAAAACATAAATTGATTTGTCTAAAAAAATATAAAAAGAAACATATAAGTATCCATTCTATTTTCCATTAATACTTTATGTGGTACAGTTTTTTTATAATTAAGGTGCTGGATACGGAGACGTATCAGACATTAAAAATTATAATAGACCTTAAAGGTGAATTATTTAAGTTAAATGCCTTATTTATTTCAAAATATTATGTATCATTTAACAGTGGCAGTGGTAAATGTTTTCTTGGTAGTTCTTGTATTATCTTTATAAGCAACACACGAAATGTATATAATATACAACAGTAAAATTTATTCGTATGAATGTATTTAAGTCCTTTCAAGATATAATTAATTAAAACTTAAACATTCGTATTAACTTACCACCACCAGTATTATTATTCTTCTGTTTCTTAACTGTGTCTTTACTTTTTTTTTTATCAGCAGTACATTTATCGGTAGTAATTTTGTCTTTATTAACAGAGACAGATTTTTTCTCATTTTCTTCAATCTGATTTCATGAAAATTGATAGGAAAATATTTGTTTTATTAATATAATTTTTATAAAATGAGTGTGTTAATTTGCCAAATAAATTTAAACCCTCTCTCCCCTTATCATAAAAATAATTCCTAAAAAATGTAAATATTTTTTTAATATATTTCGGCTTTTTTTCAATCGAAAAATAATATTATTTATTAACAGCAACTTATCATTACAATAACATACGTTAAAAGTTACAAAAGTTAGTAAGTAAAGCTGCAATTAAATAATGTTTAAATATTTTTTATCACTCTTGAAAATGCTTATGGACAATCTTAAAACTAAATTTTATGAATATACACTACATGTTCAAAAATATTATTTATTTTCGGCACATTAGTAATTCAAAAAAAGCGCAGAAACTTTTATTACTGAATTATAGGATTAGGGTTGCCACTAGTTAAAAAATTTGCAATTTCAAAACTTTTTCAAACAATATAAAAAAAATGTTCATATCTATTTTTCAAAGCGTAGATGAAATCTTGTAAAGGGATGTGATTTCATTGACTAAATTATACATTTAAATAAATAAACCCACCATCGTCATAAATAAAAAAAAAACATTATTTTGGAAATGTAGACACATATTTTTAAATTACACTTCATAAAATTTATTTTTTCAATTTTTTTGTATTTTAAAATTGCTATAACTTTCTAAAAATGAAATTTTAATAGAATATACAAGACATAACAAACTTTCAATTGGTATGTTTTTTTTTTGTGAAAATTCAATGTAAAACCTAAGTACAGAAAGGGTTTGAACAAGACTAGACAAATTTTAGCCAGGAGATGGATATACATAAAATTTACTTATTTTTGCTACCCTTCAAACAAACAAAAATTGCATAAAAACCAATTATTTTTATTTTAAGAAAATTCTATACACCATAATAATTTCATGACTAATTACGGTTAAAAGATTTTTTCAAATTAAATGTAAAACATTAATAGGACGGTGTTATAATCACGCTTCAATGTTATCAATCATTCAAATTAATCAAAACGATTAAGATAAAATATAATTTACTAGCATCCCAATTATTTAATTTTAACACTTACTTGATAATTAACTCCATTGTTAGATCTTATTTTTTTTAATTTCTCTAATTCGGTTTGTATCTGTGATTTTAATGATTCTTGCTCTTTTTTGAGACGTTCACATTCGACAGAATATCTATTTGCCAGTTCTTTTTTGTGCCATTTCACCTGTTATATATTCTTTGTTAGCGCAAAATGAATTTTCCAAATGAATATTAACGAAAATAAATTTTAAAAGGACATAAGACTACATTTGTAAAAAATTAAGGGTGTAGCATTCTTAAGTGAAACTATAATTATTATATTAGATATTTTACTAAAAAATGTTTTCAATAACAAATTAACAAAATTTATTGTTGATTTAACAAAAAATATTTTTTAGTGACGGAAAAAAGCAATCACACACTCCCGTACCGTATAAATATTATAAATAAATAAGGCACCACAACAGAAATCTTAAAAATGTTAAATATTTCCCTTCAAACGTGTAATAAAAAAACTTGAGTAAGTATAGAATTCATCAGTTAAAAAAAAAAAAAAAAATGATATAGAACGACGTTGAAGATATAAAAGTATATACAGGGTGTTCAGTAAGTCAGGAAACGGGTTTCTATTGTTCTCATTGTTTGTAACAATGACTGTTTTACTATTAAATACAAAATAGCAAAAAAATAATCTATGAAACATAATTACGTTTTAAGATTTTATTACATACAAAAATATTTATTAAAAATTAATTTTAAAAAATTCTGAAATTTTTAAATAACCGTAAGTATTAACTCATTTGAATAATTAATTTAACTAAAAATATATTAAGTTGAAATTTACACCCCTAATTTCTCATAAGTAACTATCTGAGAGCTATATAACAACAAAGTCCTAATAGTCTTTTTCAGGTAAATTAAAATTTTGAAAGGAAGGAAGGAAAATTGATATATTAATAATTTTTTTTTTAATGTTAGAATAAATAAATAAATAATTACAATCTGAATATTATGTAAATTAAACTAATGTTTTTCATCATTTTTAAGATTTAGAACTTTATTGACATAAATTAATGAATGTATAAATTAAATATTTAGATAAAAAAAACATAATAAAAATTAATCAAATATGTCGGTATGAGTTTAAAATCAATTTAAATAATAAAATTGTTTTCATGCTTGAAATTTAAATATGGTTTAATGCTATTTATTAAAAAAAGTTAACTATTAGAAATATTTACTATTTATTAGTTAAAACAATTTATAGAAAACAATGAAATAATAATTTCTACAAATGTTAAATTAATGTAACACAGTTCAGGCCTAAGGTCTAAAATTATCAAATTTAAATAAATAATAATAAAACCATTACTAAAAGCACATATGTAAAGTTTTAAATAAAATATCATTACTGTACAAATTGTAAGACTCAATAATAATTTAAGTATACTTAAATAATGTTTTTTTAATAAGTAGATATAAAAACAATATGATTATATACCATTAAATCAGCTAGCATTTAAATGTATAGTGTAATATTTATAATAAGTTTTATCTATTTTATTAATAAAAAATTTATACGATTAGATGTATACATATATTTATAAGTATATAATTTTTTTTTACATTAATGAGATTCTTATTATATAGTGTCAAAGTAAATTACAGCGCTGTTGTAACCATGTGCTAATGTTGTTAGAACTGGATGACGTCCCAGTTAATTTTCTTGTATCGTTTCTACTACCTTGTTGAGCTGGTGTTTTTCCTGCATTAGATGCTTCAAGTTTTCGTTCTGTTTTTCCTTTGATATCTCTTGCTAAAGTAGTAAACGCTTCTTCTACACCTTGGCCAGTTCTTGCACTAACTTCTAAAAATCTAACACCATATTCACAAGCTAGCTGTTCACCACGTTCCTTACTAACCTGTCTACTACTATCCATTTCACATTTATTACCTAATAACATTTTTTCTACGTCTGCTGAAGCATTTTCTTCAATATTGCGCATCCATGTACGTACATTATTAAAACTACGTTCACTAGTAACGTCATAAACAAGCATAATACCCATTGCTCCTCTATAATAAGCTGTAGTTATTGTGCGAAACCGTTCTTGACCAGCAGTATCCCAAATTTGCAATTTGATACGTCGCCCATCTAATTCTACAGTACGTATTTTGAAATCAATTCCAATGGTAGATATAAAGGTTGTAGCATTATATGCATCTTCTGCATATCGAAAAAGAACACAAGTCTTGCCTACTCCGGAATCACCAATGAGCAACAGCTTGAAAAGATAATCATAGGTCTTCGCCATTATGAACAAATCAAATTAAGTATTGTAATGAGCAATAAGCAGCACTGTTTTCTTAATTCTATGATGAAATGATATAGTTTTAGAATTGTTGATAGTAGTTTTCCTGTTTATCAAAATGGATTTTGATAAATTTATCATGAATATCATGTATACACAAAAGGATTGTTGGTTTTTTTTTGCACTAAGTGTAAGCCCAGTGTAGGTTGATGTAATAATTTATTATGCACACAAAAGAAAAGAAAAATTGAAAACTTCTTATCAAAATTTCTTATCAAAAATTACAACTACACATTGAAATCTTACACCTTCGTACACCGACATAAAATATTATTCAAATAGGATTTAAATTGCATCAAAATTAAAGATTTAATTTCCAATATATAATTTATGTATTAAATCCATTATGAATAATATCTCCATTTAAATTAATATACTATATTTAGTATTTATTATAACCTTACCGTTTCAATTAAACGTGCATGGATAGTTTTGACGGTCTTAAGTTTGTTCACAGCGTCCATGTTAATGTCACGTTAAAATATTTCAAAGATAATCAAAAATGTATTTTAGTATTAAGATAAAATATTTGTAAACAAAATAATCTAGAAGTTAATCGTAAATTAATATCTAAGATTATGAAGCGTGTTTAGTGCCACGAAATAAAAAACGAAGATTTCCTATCACTAAAAGTTATGTATGAGATGATGAATCATTTAAGTGGAGGGAGGTAAAACAACGGGTAGAAAAAAAGGGAGTATGGAAATGGTAAAATACGTCAAGTTGACCATAAAATTGTTCAATTTATACTGCCATCTAGTGGTAAAAATTTAAAGGTTTTGAGGATGTACGTTTATTGTACTTTCTTAATACGTAAAATGTAAATAAAAGGTTTTATGTGCTTTAGATTTAAAATATACTTTCTTTTAACCTAATCATTGATTTATCACAATTGTATTTGCATATCTAATTATTTAATCATTAATTTACTTATTTATCTAGTCGGATTAGAATATAAGGAAATTATTTACAGGTCTCAATTTAAAAGTATTTCCTAGACAAATAACCTTAATTTTATTTCATATGTTGTTTAAAGAAAATATTGTATACTCGTTATTTTCAATTCAAATTTAAGTCTAAACTATGATATAGATTAGAAAAAATTCGAAAAGAAATTCAGAATCCATTGAGACCTCCTCAAATTAAAGTTGCATTTTATCGATTTAACTATGAATTAGTATTGTTTTATGAAATAAATTATGCTTCATTAAGTGACAATTTTTTACATTTATTAATAAGTATAATATTTAAGTAAAAATACTATGGAATGAAATTTTTAACTTTTATTCCATTAAACAAAATAAACATTTTTCATTAAAATCTAGAAATTATGTAAACTTAATTGTTATTTATTTCTAATTACTTTAATGTTTTTGTGTTTAATTTCACGACAATTCATCATTTGTATAATTAAAACAATAAAATTTTAAGAATAACCCTTTAAAATGTTACGTATATTAAATTTCCAAGTGTAAAATCTGAATTACATAATTATTTTAATACGGCGCATATTTTTAATTAATTGGCAAACAGATTGCTGATCAACCAAATGCCACTAAGTTATTCCTACCGCAAAAAATATTCAAATGATTGTTTAACAGTATTTTTTACGGACTAAACAGATGATATTATTGAATAATAATGATGCTGAGTTAACTATTTTATTAGTTGTTTAAAACGTTCCAATTTCCACGATATAATTTATTCCTTATCATCATATTCTTATCTAATATGTATTAATAAAGATCGATTTTTTTCTATATGAATATAATATTAATAATGCCATGTTGCAAAATTTGAAAACATAAAAAATAATCACCAATAGTAAACCTTTTCCTTAAATTTATGTTTAACGTGGCTTGAACAGATACTAAAATAAATTTTCCAATCTTAACGAAGTCCGATTGTAAAAATATCGATATTTACATTTGAATTTTATCATTTTTAGTACACCTAACCTACATAAAGATAATTTGTAATGTGTTACTTCAAGTATTAACGTTTTACAGTATTTTAATTTTAAAAACTTATTTTAGAAGTGAGAATAAATCTTAGGTGAAAAAATGGAAGGTTCTGAAACTATATCTAAAAAGTATGTATTCTTTAAAATTTTAGCTTTGATGCAAATTGAGAATTAAATTTACTATGATTTTTTATATTTTTTTGTGTCTGTTACCACTTTTTAAAGATATGAAGTCATCTAAAGCCACAAAGGAACCTATCTCTTAAATAATTATTGATATAAAAAATACATAGGATTTTATTTTTCAATAGATTTTTTCACATTTAATATATCTAGATAATAAAGTATTATCTTCACAACTTTTGACAAAAATATAAGCATATTTTTACATAATGAGTGCCATAGTGAAGCGAAGTTTTGTTCAATTTATTTATAAATCAAGATTGATCCATGTTTCTTATTTGGCACAAAGGTATAGTAACAGTTCACAGAAACACTGGTATCGGAGTGAATGTTACATGATAAAATTTACCTGTTGTGTGCTCATATCAAAGTATATATAAAGATGCAGTTTTCAAAAATTTGATTATTTTGTAGAACTTTAAAAATATAACATAATAAGTAAATAGCAGTAAAATTTAAAATATTACTTTTTAATTAAGATTTTTTCTGAATTATACAAATCAAATAATGAAGTATCATAAATAACTATGTAAATGTTGAAATCAAATGTTAATTGTGTCTTATATAATTAAGTAGATAGGTAATTGTACAGTAACATATGTTTATCTATTGATTTCTATGTTACAGTAATATTCATAAATTATTAACTAGGTAACAATAAAAAATGAAGGTAGAGATTATAATGGTGTAATTTATTGCTACTCATAGCCTTAATTGTTTTTTTCTTTAATTATAAAACCCTACTATATGCGTTCACTCCAGCCAGTTTTGTTTAGTAAATTATACATAAAAAATATTTGCAAATATAATTTTTAGTGAGCTTAAAAGACGTTTAAAGGCTGAACAAAAAGCAAAAGAAAAACTTGAAAAAGAATTGGCTGCACCAAAAAAACAACAAAATGCTAAAAATGAAAATGATTTATCTGCAGCTACTAAAGCTCTGGATATAAGTCCAAATGTATGTATATTTCTTACTACTCTATCAAATTTTGATTGTGTAATAATTATATTATTGTATAATTAATTTGTATTATGATAAATTATAATAAATTATACTCTAGTACACTATGACTATTTATAGGAGTTCTTCAGTTTACGTTTACAAGCAATTGCTCAAATGAAAAAAGATGGTGATGAACCTTACCCTCATAAGTTTAATGTTACATCATCATTGGAAGATTTCATAAATGAATATCAATCACTCAGTGAAAGTCAAATTTTTCATGATAAAGAACTTAGTGTTGCTGGTACTATCATAACAAGTTCTTCATATTAATGTTTAATTGTCTAATTTATGATTTTACTGAACCCAAATGTTTATATTCTAATTAATTTCAGGGCGTGTTCACGCAATTCGTGAATCTGGTCCAAAGCTTATATTTTATGATTTACGTGGCGAAGGCCTAAAAATACAAGTGATGGCAAATGCAAAACAATATTGTTCTGAAGATAGTTTTTTTGCAGATACTTCAAAGATTAGAAGAGGAGATATAATTGGTGTTACAGGAAGTCCAGGAAAGACTAAGAAGGGAGAGTTATCAATTTTTCCAAAACATATAAAATTATTAACACCTTGTTTACATATGTTACCACATTTACATTATGGTTTAAAAGACAAGGAAACTAGATACAGGCAGAGATATTTAGACTTAATTATTAATGATAATGTTCGGAATAAGTTTATAATAAGAGCCAAAATTATTTCATATTTTCGACGTTTTTTGGATAATATGGGATTTCTTGAAATTGAAACACCTTTAATGAATATGATAGCTGGAGGAGCTACAGCTAAACCTTTTATTACTCACCATAATGATTTAAATATGGATTTGTTTATGAGAGTTGCACCAGAACTTTATCATAAAGTAATTAAAAGAAATATATATTATTGTTTTTTATAGAATGAGTACTATGAATCATAACCATGAAAAAAAATTTTAGTTGAGTCCTTTAATGTACCAATAATTAAAATTCTTATACATTAAAAAAGCTATCTGATTAATTATTATTTAAATACTAAGTTATTTTGAACTTAAAATCTTTAGCTTTCTATTTATTAACAAAGTCTAATAAAATTTTATAACTTTGGATCCTGACACAACTTTTGACAAAGTTTATTGAAATAACCAAATGTTTTTTTATGTAAATTAAAAAAAATTATCTTATATTTTTATAAAACTCTTTTTTTTTTTTTTAACAAGATGCTTGTAGTTGGTGGTATTGATAGAGTTTATGAAATTGGACGACAATTTAGAAATGAAGCAATTGATTTAACCCACAACCCTGAATTTACTACTTGTGAGTTTTATATGGCATATGCAGACTACAATGACCTAATGAAAATAACAGAAGATTTATTATCGGGTATTAATTTTTTTGTGATTAAAATATTACTCTATTGTTATAAATATGGTATGTCTGTAATAGGTCTTATTAAAAGTATTTTTGGCTCGTATAAAATACAATATCATCCAGATGGTGTAGACTCAGACACCGAACCAGTAGAATTGGACTTTACACCACCATTTAAAAGAATGTACATGTTCCCTGCTTTGGAAGAAGCTTTATCAGTAAAATTACCAAATCCATTAGATTTGTCTTCCCCTGAATCAAATAAACTACTTGAAGAATTATGTTTAAAACATGAAGTAGAATGCCCACCTCCTAAAACATCCGCAAGATTATTAGATAAAGTAAAAAATTTTAGTATCTTTAAAAGTATAAATTACTAAATTTATCACAATTATAGCTGGTTGGTGAATTTCTCGAAGAAAAATGTATTAATCCTACATTTATATGCGATCACCCTCAAGTTATGTCACCCTTGGCAAAATGGCATCGTTCAATACCTGGTTTAACTGAACGATTTGAGTTGTTTGTTATGAAAAAAGAAGTTTGTAATGCTTATACAGAGTTAAATGATCCTATGATTCAAAGGGAACGTTTTGAACAACAAGCAAAGGTAATCCACTATTTCATGCAAATATTCAAGGGTTCTTAATATGATCCCCTTTAAAATTGAATGACTAATGTAGAGCTAAATGGTAAAAATTAATACAAGTTTAATGTGAATTCTCTTTAGTCTAAATAAAATTTTGTATGTGTACATTACACTACATTTTATTTTCACCAAGAAAATATCTACAGAGTTTATGACAATTACCTTTTTTTCTGGTTTGTTGTGATCCTTGACCCCTTTAGTGATAACTTTTATAACATCCTAAGGTACATCCTGGCAAATAGATTTGTATTCAAGAATATAAACACCATATTCTATTTGCTGAAAAAAGAGGATATGGTGTACCCTATCATTAAAGTTCACGAATGGATGACTGTATGAAAACTAGAAATTTGCCAGGTTTTTTAAGACCTAGTACTTTTGTTTGCAGCTTTTATTCGGTACTTAATACATGTATTTACTTCTTGGAATATCTCTAATGGGAACCAATTTGATCCACCTTGAAAATATTTTTGTATTCTGTATACTAATAAAATAAAATAATTATGTACAAATCATTTAATTTTATTATTTATGTGTTTTGTCTTAATAGTTTTTATAATTATAGGACAAGGCTGCTGGGGATGATGAAGCACAATTAATTGATGAAAATTTCTGTACATCATTAGAATATGGTCTTCCACCTACAGCTGGCTGGGGTCTTGGAATTGATCGTTTAACTATGTTCTTAACAGATTCAAACAATATAAAAGTATAAATTTGATTCTTTAAAATTTATCAAATGTTATTTAAACTATTTATAATTTTATAATTAATACAAAAACATACATCATTATTATTTTGACAGATAACTTGATAACAATTGAGGAAATTGAGAAGTCAAAATATTTTTAATGTTTATTAAAAACTAATAAAATAATATTTTTGATTTAGGAAGTGTTGTTCTTCCCTGCAATGAAACCTGATGATCCTAATAAGCACAAAGATGATAAAAATGAAGAAGAAAATCCTAAAGTGTCGAATTCTTAAATGTAAATTATATTGTAATAAATTAATACTTATAAAAATGTTGTGCTTTTTTATTAATTGTTCTTAATTCCTAGGATACTAAGTAATTAAATAAAATTTTGAATACTCCAATTTCAATGAAGTTGAGTATTTTGATGACAGGTTAATAAAAATACTAAATCATTTTTTACGGAAAAATTTTTTACATAAGATAATATTGATATATTAAAAATGTAATTTTTACTGAAGTAACTTTCAACAATTAATGACAATGAATAAGATATTATTGCTACGCAATTTTAAAAAATAACTATCTAGTTGATATTGGTTAATTAAAGGACATGTAAAAATAAGTATAAAAATTAATTAGTTATATTAAGTTCTAATTAAGACCATAGACAAGTATACCAAGATAAGAACTAAATATTTATTTAAAAATGAATTTGATATGTTTATTATCACTTTTGTATGAATAATGCGACTATGTTTATTATCAAGTATTCACCAGAGAAATTCATATTATTAGATAATAAATGTTATCAACTGATAAAAAAAATTATTTTCATTAGATAGAACATGTTTTATGAATGTTTCTTGGATTTTACCAAAAAATTTTTAAAACTGTATTTTTCTTCAAAAATTACTCTATTGATCTATTGGAAATCAATATGTACTAAGTAAATGTTTGCCATTTATATAATTTTTTATGTACTTTTGTAATTTTTTTTCTTTAATAATTTTAGTACATACGAATCAGTATTCACAGCATTTGGAAGTTTGTTGATATAAATTTTACTTTTCACTATTTATCAGTATTTTATATACTTTAAGTACATTATATTGTTATAATTTTTTTTATAATTTTCTCAACTTCTTAGATTAAATAATATGTGTGAAATTTTGAAATAAAACTATTTAATTAAGGTAAGGAAAAATATTTTACTAACTACTTTAAAAAAATATGAGTATAATTATATTCAGTGTTATTAAAGTATGTGTATTTTAACAGATTCAACTACAAATAAATAACAATGACAAGTAATATAATACCTTTATATAAGTTTAAACCTTTCCATTTTACTGTTTTAAAAAAGAATCATGATCCATTACTTCGACCATTAGCAAGAAGTGGACACCGTGTTGTTTGTAATGATGCTTATTTATTTTCATATGGAGGATTCAACCCACAAACAAATGTTAGTTCATGTTAAAATTCAAATATTAAAGTGAATGGTGTAGATTATACTTGTGATATTTGTAATATTTATATTTATTAAAGTATACAAGGTACTTAGAATATATGAGGTATAAGTTTCATTTAAGAAATTTTACCTAAAGTTTTTGTTTTTCACAATACACTTTGTAATATAAAATCCTTTTTTATGATTCTTATGTTTTTTAAAATATTTTTCTAAATAGATATATTAATTTTTAGTCTGACTGCTTACTTAATTCAATTTCTTTAAAAATATCACTTATATCCTTTGGATTTTTAGTGCAACATATACAGCATTAAAGTGTACTTCTTTTAAATTTAATTATTTTTTTTTTTTAGCATAAAGAGTTGCACACCATTGTAATATTATCATTTGACAGTTTTGATAAAAATAATATTTCATAGCTGGTTATTGACAAGTTAAAAATATTTTGAATCATTCCTCATCTAATTTTTTTAGATAATAGTTTTTTATTAAATCTTACTATGTACCTTTTGTTATTTTTATTTTCCTTATATGTTTATTTAAATTTTATTTAATTTTTATTAAATTAGATTGTTCTTTTCTATAGGATACTACAGGTGTCAGATTGTCATCAGCTATGCGAGAACTTTGGAAGTATTGCTTTGATTTAGGTGAATGGAAGAGAATTACTTGTAAAAATGTACCTCAAGAATTAGCTTCAAGTTCAGTTACATTATCTGGCAATATAATTATAATATATGGTGGTACAGGAGTTCCTTTTGGAGCATTTTGCAGTAATCGAATGTATTTAGGTATACATTCTTAAAATCTAAAATGCTTCAAATAATTTCTCATTCGATATTTAGGGAAAATATTTATGTTTTTAATTGTTATATACATTAAAAACATTTTTAAATTCCAGGCAATTTAGCAAATGAGTATAGAGAAATTGGAATGGAATTTGAGGAATTGCAAGTATCTGGTGAAATTCCAATGCCACTATATGGACAAGGAGTAGTTATGGATGGAAAATATATTTATTCAATTGGTGGTACATCTGGTTATGAATATGAAATGGATGTTCATCGTTTGGATCTTAGTACTAGAAAATGGGAATTACTTCACAAATCACGTGGAGAAGTACATGAACCTGAACCTAGATACCGACATGAAGTTGTTTTCTACAAAGGTCGAATATATATATTTGGTGGTGGACGTGGTGGATCTTTAAATGTTTATTATGGATTTTCGGTTAGTTTCTTAGTTCTCTCATTACTTGTTTTAATTGTGATAAATAACAATTTTTGATGTATATTATTTACTAGAAAATACATGTATTTGATGTTGCTTCAAAAGATTGGGAATTCCTTCCTGCCAAACATGATGTAAGAGTTCCAAGGCCAGGCTTTCCAGATAATCGGAGCTGTCATAGTTGTGTTCAATGTCCAGATCAAAAGAATTTAGTATATATTTGTGGTGGATTTGATGGTTTTCGATCTTTTAGAGATGTATGGCGATTCAACCTAGATACTCTGCAGTGGGAAAAGTTAACCAGGTGTACTATGCCTAAACCAGTATACTTCCATTCTACAGCTGTTACACCTTCTGGTCGTATGTGTTGTTATGGAGGTATTGTATCTGACCAAGCAGATGGTAGTGGCGGTAGATCAAATGATATCACTAGCGCTTGGATAACTATACCTAAGTTAAGGGTTATATGTTGGGAAGCCATGTTATTTTATTTTAAAGATCAGATGTTTAAAACTAGTGACGAAGATTTAAAAAAAGTTGGTTTACCACAAGAATTTTATGAAAGAATAATCGATGGTCGAAGAAATAATGACAAAATCAATAATAAATAACTAGGCATGTAATTTAAAAAATATATATTGTTATATGTAAATAATATTTAGTTTTTATTTTATAAAAATAATAATTGCTGTGACAAATTAATGTCAGTTTGTTTGGTCAAAATATACAAAATTATCTTAATCATCAGCATTATACTGGTTGATCTTTTTATCATAATCCACTTAATTACTTAGTAAATAAAAATAATTTAAACAATTTTTTTTTTTTGGTTATCTTTAGTTACACATTATTCTTAAATTATTAACTATGTGATCCTTTTTAAGTTCATCTCTTATGCTTTGTAAGGATGTCAACTTAATTTTTCAAATGGGAACACATTTTAAATTTAATAAAATATTTGAGTTTTTAATTTAATAGTAAGTGCATTTGAATTTATAATACGATTTTATTTGCATATTACATATAAAACTTTGAAGTTTCGTTTTTAAATTAATATACATGTATAATTATTTTTACTCTGTACGTAATTGAATAGGTTATGATAAAAAAATCATTCTGTATATTCAAAAAACTGGCTATTATAAAAGATTCAAAAGTCAATGTATCTATGATTAATACCTTTTTACTTTTACAATCTTTTTTTGTCAAAGATCATAGTTACAATACAAATTAATGACTATAGAAACTATAGATTTAACACCCATTGAAGATGAATATCTTCAATAACACTTCTTTCTTTCTAAATTTCTGGGTATGATACTATTAAGTTTTATTAAAATATAAAAACTTGAATAGAAATCAACAAAAATAATATTAATATTTTGCGAAATATAAAGAAAATAAAACATTGGTAATTCTCTTTAAAAATAATACAAGCACATCATCACAGAATTATTTGCTATAATAAAACACTTTTAAATTTATTTACAAATTCAATATCTATAAAATATATAATTGTACAAATAAAATAAATAATCATAATTATGTCACTCTAGATAGGCAGTCTGTAAACTTTGGTATAAGTGCTGATTGTGTTTCTAAAGCATTTATGACTGGTCTGATTGTTGTGGATGATCTGTAATAATTAAACAAACTTTGTTAGTAAAATTACATAAAAAAATATATAACAAATGAAGTCTATATATTTGATTGTAATTATTTATTATAACACATTTTATATAATATATCAATATAATAATATCAAACTAAAAAAAAAAAATAAAATTTAATTTGATTTACAATTTATAAAAATATTGTTTAATGAAAAATCAATAACTTGTAAAGATCATATAACAATTATATGATTATAATTAACAGAATATGTATAAATGTTTTTATAATTGCATACAATAAACAATGTTTTTATGAAAATATATCATAATTTATATAAAACTATATTGATAGTAAATTGAGTGTCAAAACTAATTGTTTTTTTTTTATAACTTTCATAATTAATTTTGTTCAAGAAAATAGTTAAATTAAGAAAAGTAAACCAATAAATGATTTTATGTACAATGAACTAGTCAGTTTATTAAATAAAACTATATAAAAAAAAAAAAAAAATTCAACGAGATATCTATATTAGTTAAAGTAGTATTTATAACAGTTTTTAGATTACATTTTCCATGTTAATTGTTTCATATATAATGCATAGTGCAAGATAAATAAAGCAAATTTAAGAAATCAATTAATTTTACTTCACTATATCTCTGCTGACAAATATATAACGTATAAAAGGCATAATGAAATATTTATTTTACTTTTAAACTTTGTGAAAGATAAAAATAAGTAAAAATGTGCAATATACATACCGATTATGAGCCATATGACTTTGAACTAAATGGCCAGCTGTTAAGGCAGACATAAGTGATAATTCCCCTGCAAGAACTGTAGCACAAAGAATACGTGCTAGTCTTTTGGCATTTTCACCAGGTGACTGAGAGTTAGGCCCACGAACACCTAGCATTTCTAAACATGCAGATTGACCGGGCAATGCTGTTCCACCCCCAACAGTACCAATTTCAACAGAAGGCATAGTACATGATACATAAAGATCATCTCCAAAAGCTTCCATTAATGTCATACAATTACTACTAGCAACGTTTTGTGCTGGATCCTTAAAATTAACTATAATTACACTACAATTCATTCTAAAAATTACTTTACACAATATATTACCTGTCCAGTAGCTATATAGATAGCTGTAACGATATTAGCAGCATGAGCGTTATTTCCTCCAATACTACCAGCAATTGCTGACCCCATTAAATTTTTACTTATGTTAACGTCAACTAAAGCTCTAACTGTAGTTTTTAATACGTCTGTTACGATTTTAGATGGTACAACAGCTTCACTAACAACATATTTTCCTCGACCTTCAATCCTGTAAAAAGAATCAATTGATGAATTGTAATATTTAGAAATGTCAATTTTTATTAATAACCAATTAACTGCAGCTGGCTTTTTATCTGAACAAAAGTTTCCACTTAAACTTAAGACATCCATATCTGGAAAATACATTCCGATAACTTTAAGCGATTCCTCTGTTCCCTATCAAATATATCAATTTAATTAATAATAGTACATATTTATTAAACTATATTCATAACAAAAATACTATTTTGTCCATAATTACTTTTGATAACATATTCATTCCCATAGCATCACCAGTAAATGCAGTAAATCTAATAAATAAATGTCGACCAGCAATACGAACTAATAATTTGGTCAGTCTAGCAAATCTGCTAGTAGAATCAAATGCTGACTTGATAATTTGGAAGTTTTCTGGATTATCCATCCAAAGCTTAGCTTCACTAAATGATTGAATAATGAACTAATATACATTTACTTTGTTATATATTAAAAATTATACCTAGCAGTGGTGACTGATGAAAATCGAACAACAGGCCCTCTTGTCATACCATCATCAACTACTCTTGTTACAACTCCACCACATAGTGTTAAAGCTCGACAACCTCTATTAGTACTAGCAACTAAGCATCCTTCAGTTGTAGCCATTGGTACTTGATAAAATACATCATCTACGAGTAAAGGTCCTGCTACCCCTACAGGTACTGCTACATAACCTATGACATTTTCACAATTTGTTCCCAATACCTATAATGAAGATTAATTTACCAATTAATAAGTTGGCTAAATTTAGAATTTTATTGGTTTACTTTTGAATAATCATAACCAACATATGGCAATTTTTTTAAAGCATTTTCTAAATTATTTTCTTCAGAAATAACTTTTCTTCTTAAACCAACTCCTCGCTCAGGATCATTAACACATTTTTCTAACATATAGGGTTTAATATAATTTTTTTTTATTAACATCATAACTTCAGTATCATTTAACTTTTCAGCAGATTTCTAAACATACATTTTAAGATGAATTAATATATGAATTAAAATAAACATTAAATATTTCATTAATTAATAAGAGGCAAATAAAGAAATTATGTAAAAATGCAAAGTTACAATATCTTAATAATTTTTTTTCTAACTTATCCAAGTTACAAGATATCTTATTTTAAAATTGTAATTTTTTTTAATGATACCTGAGTTTTAAAAATTGATAAGCACTCATCAAATGATCTTAAAATAGAATCTTTTTCATGTTCATCATTATTTCCAATATCAGTTTGTACTATTTTATCTAACAATTCACTATTTTGAATATAATTATCTGTTTGACTTTCTGAGTGTTGAGTTATTTTTAATACATCTCTTATAAGTACATTTTCTGCTTGGATTAAAAATAAAAACATTAATTTAACACATTTCACAAATACTTGGATAAAATAATATTTTTTATAATATTTCAAAAATTTGCTTAAAAAATGATATCTGCATACTTGATGTGTTAAATAATAATGGTTGGTTTACTGATGCAAAATGATTCGCTAATTCATCTCGATCACCAAAAAACCAAAACCACACAATCATAGACAGCAAAAGAATTAAAATAACTATATGATCAGCACCACTAGCCATCCAACTAAGATTAAAAAAAAAAATATTTTGATCATTAATGTATATAGATAATGATAGTAATTGATAAACAAATTGTACATACTGTATAATAGAGTTTTGAACAGAACGTTGATTATTCTCTTCAGTCTCATTGAAAGCTGCAAATTTTGTAACTTGAATTCCAAGCATATTATCAGTCTCTGTTTCCATTCCACTTAATGCCCAACGACTAAAAGTTACAATGTAAATAATATAAATTAAAATAAAACCGGATATCACCCTACTATTCTTAAAAATAGAAAAATATTATGGGAATACATTCTATTGTAGTAATATTTATTTAAATAATACTTTTCTTATGTTTAGCAATCTTTAGTATAATACTTCAAAGAACAAATAGTCCAAAAAATAGTAATAATAACAATAATAATGAAAACATACAAGTATTGAAAATATAAAAAAGGATTTAAGACGATAGGTCGTGTTTCTTATGTAAATCCTAGTCACTATTTTTAGAAACTATGAAAAGAATCCTTACCTCTGAGCATGAACAATCATAACACCAACTGACATTATCACCTTCACACGTTGCGTGATTGGATCAGTTTTGTGATCATTACAAATAGCTGTTATTTGAGACCTATCACCCCAAAATGGCATGCCATTTTCGTCTCCTCCTCTTAATAACTGTTAAATAATGTAATAGAAGTTTTTATTATCTTTAATTTTCCTTTTTAATGAGGAAAATTAACTTACATCTAACACAAGTGACAAACACGCTGGATAAAAACTCATCATTACAACATAATTTACAATAAATGACATACAAGTGAATAAGCACAGTGTTTCTAGACGTTGAACACCTGAGAGCATCCCAACACTAATAACCAAGCTACATACAATTGAATCTAATGAAAATGATGGACCAATCAATGACATTCCTTTGGATATGTTGTTTATGACATCAGATTGTGAACAACCACTTAATGCAAATTGTGCTAATAGACTAGCTTTTTTTAAGTTTACAAGTAATACTAATAGGAACAGGAACATAGCATCTCTAAAAATTAATAGTATATTAATTAATATAACAAAATGAAACCATTATAAATAACTTAAATCTCACTTTAAATCTCCATTTAAGTAATGAATTACAATAGTACTAAATACAAATGTTGAAAACACAGTGAACATAGCAGCTATTCCTATAGAAAAATATATTTTAAAAATTAATTTTTATTGTTAACCATATTATTTGTAAAAAAAAAATTATATGAATAATGATAAATTATGTTTAATCAGCAATTTAGTAAAAATATTTTTTACATAATCATTTAAAAGAAATTGTTAGTTAATATTTATAATTGTTAATAATTAAATGCATCATTTTTCAACAATTTTATGGAATTCCTTGAGATTTAATAATTTTTTTACATTTTTAACCTTGAAAAGACAAATGCCCTTAAGAAAAAAACAATATATTTAAGTCCCTTCAAAATGAATTGAAAGAAGGCTATATCAATCAGAGAATTATAATCCTTTAATGACAAAACAAAATAAAAAGCTAACAGTAGACATTACAATGCTTTTTTTTACATTGACCTTGTTAATTAATGACTAATTTCTTAAAATCAATGCATTATTTTCTAAAAAAAATTCATCAATAAAATTTTTATTTATATTATTATTACAACTGATAGATATATTATTTCATTTCTAAGTGAAAAAATGATTTTAAAATAATTTTGTTTTCAAAATCCTATGTAATAAAAAATTTAATAATTTAATTATCTTTTTAATAAAAACAAAAGAACAATTTTAAAGAGTGGTTCATAATTATTAATTTTATTATTTTATTAAAAGCAATTGACATTTTTACATTAATGGTTTTTTTCAAATTTAATGGCTTTTATTCGATACTACACTTTTAATCTCTATTTTAAGCACAATAATATTTTATAAATAATTTGTATTATATAAAATAATAAATAAAGTATATATTACCCAAGACATATTTAGATTCTAATTGTCTAAGGTTATTAAATTGATAGTAACAATATAGAACTGCAATGCATCTAATCAATGTCATAAAAATTACATCTATGGCATGTGTTTCATCCTGCAATACATTTTTTCCATTATAAATAGTCCATTTTTTTTATGAATTGTACGATAAAAATGTCTTACATCAATTTTTGAACTATGCAGAGGTATATTTGGAACAGCTGACAGTATTGGGTCTGGTGTTTTGTCCATAGATAGCATACAAGCCGTGATGGTTAAAACACCCACAATCACCTCCCATGGATGACTGGCACAGCCTTTTCCAATACCACCAAAAATATTATCAAACATATTGGTGAGATCTAAAAAAAATTTAATTTAAAAACATTTTAGAATAAATTCTTCAAATAAATATCTATTGAACAAAAATGAATAAAAAGTAATTATTGAAAATTAATTAATAGTAGTATTGAGTTAATATGTTTATATATAAGTCTATATTTAAAAAATATTTTATATTTTTATAATATATATATATATTATTTTAAATCTGTGGTTTAACTCTATTTGTACCAATTTTACAGTTAAAATAAATAATAAATAATAATAAAAAATCACTTTAGAAAACAATGAATATTGGTGATATTTATTTAAATAATTAAAAATGAGGTCATCAATTTTATAGGCAAAATTTATAGTTTTGTTTAATGTATCAATATTTCATATACTCTATGGCAATTATTAATGAATATTTTTTTAAAATAATTATTGTTCATGAAATGTATAATACGAGTAAACATATTAGTATACATAAATTTTAATATATTTATACATAACTATAAACGTACTAAATTTATATATTCAGGAGGTATTTGAGGATACTTAGCACCCACAAAATTATTTGGCTATTTACGCCACTGAATAACGAAGGTATAACTAAATCATAAGAATGAATCGTGGATTATATTTTTTTTAAACCTACATTAGAAGGTTGCTTACGACTAAAGAACTTTTTTTTACAAAAGTTATTTGAAAATACAAGAATAATTCATTTTAAGATTAACTCTTTCAGAAATTCAACTCACTCAAAATATAATTTTTTTTTTCAAATAATATTTTATAAGAATATTTACAAAAATAAAATTTTAAAAATCAATCATAAAAAATTTTTTTTTTATTATAAACATTTTTGACTAAACGATGGAATTAAATTAAATATAAAATAATTAATAAATTCACTGAAACAAAAATGTTCATACGTGATTGATAGAATAAGAATAAAAATCTCTTTTCGTGACAGTATTTGAGGTACATATATTAAACTACATATTTGTCGAATTATGCCTAAATAAAAAAAAAATAAGGCCAGTCATTCAAAACTTCGCATGGATCAAATTTATAATTTTACGCAAGACAATACGACAGCCTATTATAACTGCTATTAATCAATATCACTCATCATAAGTTGAATACATGGTAGAATTAATTAAAAATAATAATCATAGACCATAAAATTACATCCAAAAAATAATAAAATACATCGTTTATTTTTAAGAAGATGCTCACCTCCAAAATTAGGTTAAGACCAATATATAAAACTTAAATTTATCTATCTAAAAATTAAAACATACAGATCAATAACTACAGAAATTTGACCCTCAGGATACTCTAAATCATAACCAGGCCAAGTACATGTTTTTAGAAATGCGGCCTAGTTTAGCAATGGTCAACGAGCTTCTTAGTCCTTAAAATATTAGCAACACTATTACAGTAAAAAAAATGAACAATATCAAACGTACATTCTACGACACTAAAATCCATTTTTATAATTAATTAAACCCAATCGTCTTATACAATTTTTTGTAGTTATATACTACAGACTATCTAAATATAAATTTCAAATGGCTTAAAAAATACGGAGATTCTCTATTACTTATAAAAAATAAGTACTATAAAAAGAGATGGAAGAGAAAGTGAAAGTAGTTTACCTTGGTACTATACATCGACCTTATAACTACTAATACTATTTTGTTTTTGATTCTGTTTTGTAGTCACAGTTTTCTTACACATTTTAACTTTCATAAAAAAATGAAAGATTAATTCTATGCAGTTTAAATTGCTAATAGCTTGTTACAAGCTATTACAAGCTATGATAAAATTAAAAACAAATTATTTAGATTACTTTTCAGTAATTTGGCAAATAATAAGTTTTCATAAATCTAATAATTTATTTAAGATTAATTAATAAAATTAATAATTTATCAGAATCTTAAGCTGTATCATTGGTTTTAAACAGGGGACAGTGTGCAATTATAAAAACTGAAATATAATACAACCCATAAAAATTCTTATAAGTAGTTATAACCAGAAACCTTTATTAAAAATAATTTTAAGTTTATATATAAATTCTACAGTTAGCAACTAGTTTTGGATAAATAAGTCATAGAGCTTCAAAGACTTTAAGTAAAAAGCATCATTTAATTATTCTAAGTGTTTAAAACTCAGTTTTTTAAAAGATACTTAAAAGAGCAAATCATCTAAAAAAGTCTGTAAACTATAATAGCATCTAATCGAGGATATTCATACAGAATACAAGAAACCGAAAGCGCAGTTTACTTTCCATAGAGCATAACTTTGGTAAAATAAGATGATCTAAATATTAAATAAGCATAGCTTTGGAAAAAACGGAAAGAATACTAATATTATTTTTGTGTTTTCTTGTTCAATTAAAAAATTAACTCGATGTCTGCTGAAAAAACGCATCTCATTGTATCATTTAAGAATTGTTATAATATGTTTTAAATTTACTACAATAAGTACCAGATTAATATTTTTGAATATTTTTTTCTTCTGAAAATAGATTTATACGTAATTATTAATAATAATTCATTGTTAATATTGTGAATTATTAAATCAATTATACGAAAATAAAATAAGTGGACAAAGTAGAATAAATGGTTTTTATATTATACTATATAACTTATTTAGAATCAAATTTCAAATGTATAGGAATATTACACTGAAATACCTGAAATTTCGTGTACCGGTATTAAAACTCAAAAGTATTTAAACTAAATAGTAAGCTGTTTATTAAAAATTAAAATCAATATAATGGTGCATATCTATACAGAATAATAAAATTTAAATCCAATACACAAATCATTTGACCAGTTGGCGCTGAATAATATATTTAAGATATAACAAATAAAGTATAAATAATTAAATAAGTATTATTAACTGCCAGCGAATATTTTTATCAAGTAACTATTAAACGAATATGACACATATAATATAAGTTTTATGTTAATTGTACTTTGAAGTAGCATGATGTAACAAAAGCCATTACCAATTCGTTATTACAACTTGCTTTTTAGTTGCTTTTAATTAGTTTGTATATCCCTATGCATTGGAAAACGATTCCCAGTAATTATACTAATCGATTAGACAATATTAAAACTATTTTATTATAATAATCAATTATATAACTGGGTAATATATTATGTAATAGGATTAAAATGTTTTATTTTTGATTTTTTCTTTTATACAAATATAATAAATAAATAAATTATAAAGGCTACTCTAAACAATTATAAATTAAGAGAAACCAACTAATAATTAAAAATAAAATTTAAGTAATTATTTAGTTTTTTTATAATTTTCACAATACTTAAAAAAATACAATCATTTTATTATTGATAATATTTAATTATTCAATTATAAGTGATTTTTTTTTTAACAAAACTCATCAGCATCCAATGTTATTAGTTTTAATGAACTTCAATTTATCTATTTTATAAAATTTAATTATATAAAAACTTATACTTTTATATATTTAAAGAATGACAATTAATGTATTGTATATTTCAAAATTATTCACAAAATAGTTTTAAAGGAATAAAAAAATAAACGAAGGGTGACCGACCCAAAATAAAAGCGAGGAGAAAGAAGATTAAAATAAATAAATAAAAAACCCTGTGCATTCAAAATAATTTCTACACTTTAAGACGTAATTGAATGTTTAAGTAGAACATGAGAAGTCATAAACTTACATTTTATATAACTTTTATTGTTTATAAACATAGGGTGTTTCACAATGATCTAAAATCTTATTACAAGACAGGAGCAGAAAATGAGGCCAACGATACAGAAGCACAAAAATTGTGGCGGTCCTGTTCGTCCTAAAAAGTGTTTGCATTACTCAAAAAAAAAAAAAAAATGCGATGAAAAAAATCTTCAACATTTTTATAACACCCTGTAATTAAAATTTCTTACTAAAATTAAAAATCCATCTTTTTATGTTTTCAAGTATGAAAATTTAGTACATACACACATATTTGTAATAAATATTACATATTAAATATAGCCGGCCCTATTCATAGGGACCCTCGTCGGTATATGGATAAGAAGAAATTGCTCACTTGCCTCCATAGCCGGACCATTCCTGTCACAAATGTATGATAGCAAATTTAAATAATTGATTTCTTTAAGTTCATATTTTTCTACGATACAGTAAATATAATTTATAGAAATCGAATATACAAATTACTCTTTAAAGTTTCTAAAGATAAACTAGTTATAGGAATCAATCAATCTGTAATAATATTCAATTAAAAAAAATAAATATGACTAAAATTGATGTACAAATTGGTATATTTTATCAAAAATTAGTAACATATTATTGAGACTAAACTCGTTTTTTATTTCATGGCTCAATGAATAATTTTTTAAACAACAAAATTTATTCACGTATAATTTTCTGCTAAGTATCCATTTTGGTTGTTCCATAATTCTATCGCCACCTTTAGTTATACTATATTGTTGTATTTATGATTTATACACAGTTATCTATTGTTCTTTAACAAAAGACTGTATCGTACTCTAGTTCTGCTTCTATATTGTACTACAAATACGCGTAAACACTTCAAATGTACAGTAAATTATGACTAAAAGATCATTTACTGGTAAAAACACGAAAATTGGCAAAAGTATGTCATTCGGCATTTTAATTTATCACACAAATACCTTATTTAGTATCGCATTGAAGCTAAATACTGAAAATTGAACATTTTTTTAAATATTTAAAAAAATTTAGATACTCTAACAGTAATTTTGTCATTCATAAACAACGAATTACAACACAATGTGTAAGCACTTTTAAAAAAGTAACAAAATTACTACATAACAAAAAATAGTAAAATTCATAATATTTAACATAATTTTTATTAGAAACATTAATGATTATTTTCAACAGATATTTTTTAAAAGAATTTTTCAGAAAGAAGCAAAAAAATCCTCATAATCATAAATTAAAAAAATGTCACATTAACTTAGATTAAAAATCATTTATGAATTATTGTTTCTAAGGAACGAAAAATTATTTTTCTTTTTTTTATTTATAGGAAAATTACAATCTATACATCTGTTGTACAATAAGCAAATATTATAACAAATTTATTTACAATGACAAATGAGGAATTTAAAAATTCCCTATTTAGATTTTTGCACCAGCAGTAATTAATGACTTAATAAGTCTAATATTTATAATTAATGATGATGTAAAGGCGTACATTTAAAAAATAAAAATAGACACGAATATTTGCAAATTAATAACTTAATATAATGGAAGACTAGGAAATGAATTAATCCTATGAAAAAATTCTGAACTCCAACATAATGCAACTCTGCATTATTATCATTTAGAAAGAGATGTTTTATTAATATTATTAGAGATTTCACATTTTCCGTTTTAAAATTTTAGAGTGCATTTCATATTATTTAATCACATAAAATGATTAGTTTTTTTATTATTCTTTAAACAACATTTGTGTATGTGTGTGTAATCTCGTTGAATCGAAAAATTCCCGAAAAAATTAACTGTATTAATATGAAATGAAAAATTAAACTTTTAATATACTAAGCAAAATATGATTAATATGATTTAGTCATAAGATAAATTATTATTTATTTGAGACTGTTAATTTAAATTAAGTCTATCAGACTTTATAATTATAATTACTCATAAAAATATAACGAGTGAAAAATTATATGTAATCATTAATATATCAATGGTATTTATTAATTGTTGTACGTTACCTTTTTATAATAGTATGTTATATCAAAATTTAGGTTTTCTCAATTTGAATAACATATAAATGGTCATATGAAGGTCAAAACACCAACAATGAACAATCTACACGACACCATTTGAAACATAAAAGATTAAACAAAAATCAACTCGATTTAAAATTTCTATTAGGCGTTAAATAATCAGAAAGTAGTTGCTAAATAGAAGAAAGTAAACAAAGACGGTCCGGATGTGTGTATTACGTTCAGTAAACTGAAAGAAAAATGTGCCGCACAGTTTTTATGTCGAATACTGAAGAGTAGGAGTGAAATGTAGTTAAACTAATACGAAAGATTGTACAATGCAATTCAAAAAATATTTTAATATACCATAAAAAGTTAATAAAATACATTAAAGAAACAAAAATGAAGTAAAAACTTTTCTCGTCTCGATTTGTTAAAAAACGGTTAAAAAAAAGTTAAATAACATTGATAACAATTTTTCGCTGGGACTTATATGATAAGCATAATACTGTTTAATTGACTTTTGTACAACTTTTATAAAGGGGGACGTATTTAGAATACATTTTAAGGGGTTGACTTATTTTTTTTATTTAGATAAAAGCATACTAGAGATCATTATTTTGCTAAAAAGTAAAGTGAAAAATAAGGTCTTGAGATCATATTTTGTAAATTTTAACTTTAAAAAGTATTGATAGCGCGGGTCTGAAAGAGCGGTTACCCCCATTGTCCTCCCCTTAAATACGCTCCTATCTTATATTATAATAAGAATAGTGTGTTTGGAAACTTTTAGGTTAAAAAGTTGTAAAAAAAGTACGAAGCAAAAAGAAGTTACCTTAAACTTTAATCAATAATATAATTACTTTTAATAGTGTAATAAATGTTCTAGATTTTGTGTGTACTCAAAATAATTGAACATTAGTGTTTTGGATTTAATTGTGAGAAATAATACAAAAACCAAAAATATTTTGCTACCCAAGCAAAATTTTTTGGCTACTCTCATTTATATCTTTAAAAAGATGCCCTCAGGGTCGTATCCAGAATATTTTTTCGGGAGGGGTCAAAATATGTGTACATATATAGAGGGTTGGGTTTAAATATATACTGAGTAGCACTGATTCAATTGAGAACTTTTAAAACAATTAAAAATTCTTTGTAATTTTGTTTTGGAAAATGTCTCTTTCTATGTTTTTTTTAATGTCAAAATAACCTGTTTTTAGCAAAAAATTTAATGGGTCGATAACAATTTTAGAACAAATAGTTATTGAGGTACAAGCATTTTAATATGTGTAGAGTGAGTGAAGTATGGATTATAAATTTCAAATAAAACAAGTTTTTTTACTGTAAAACATCATACCCATTCTATGTACGAAAATCCTTGTAACTCAATAATTTAAAATAAATAATGTAAAATAATACATTATATTTTAAGAGTTGCATTTAAATAAAAATATAAATACATCTGGCTTCTGCAAGGAGAGTGTAGGGGATGTCACTCCAAGATTTTTTTATTATTCTAATCAGAATTTCTTCAATATTCTTATAAGATGAATTAGACACTTTAATTTAACTAACTGGTGTAATTTCTCTACATTAAAAAAAAAGGTGGGTTTATTTTTATCATTAGACATTTTATGACCTCATTTCTCCTCTTATATGGGTAAGAAAATGTTAATAATTTTAATCATGAACCAATCATTATCTTAATTAATTTTTTTCTATTTTATAAAATAATTATTTATTTATTTTGCTAAAAAAATTAAGTTGGCATACTTATAAGATAAATAGAATAACATATGTCATAACAAAAGAAAAAAATCATAAAAATAATTATTTTAAAATATATTAATTGACTAATGTAATCCCTCTGTATATGAACTAAATATAAATACTGTATATAAATATATTAACTTAAAAATATTATTACTTGCTAACTAAAACAAGAAAAGATTCACAAAAGTTTCTATAAGAGAAATGTTAAATTTTCAATGTTTACCTATGTTTAAAATCTTTTCTAAAAGCTATTGCTTGTGCCATAAAGAATCGTTAAACCTATATTGCCCAGCACAATACAATCAATCACTGGTACGTACATTCTAAGGTATGAAGTGTATCGACTGAGCTAGGTAGGCCACAAAATCAGTAACTTAAATAAAATAGAAAATATGATTAAAAAAAAATTTTATAGATTCTATTACAAAGAAACTATAAATAAATGGTCTAAATTTTATTATAATTATTTAATAATAGCAACAATTTCAAATATAAAATAAAAATGTTCTTTGATATTTTTTTTAAAGTAAGTAGTTAGTTGTATTATTTTTTTTTTTCAAAAATGTATCAAGAATCAAATCTAATGTTTAAAAGAGTTGAATTAATAAGATTAAAGACCTATATGTAAATAAATAAAATCGAAAATTTAATTTTCCTTCTTAGGATAATAGCTATATTTTTAGATTTATTTGAAATTATTTTGATGCTGTAATTGTACCTATTTCTTAATTATGAATCTCTAATCTATATTTAATTCCTAAAATCTTAGGTTTAATAAATCAGGTGAAATGACCAATGAAATAAGCCTTTCTTTTATTTAAAAAAGAGTTACTCATAAACAGTTGTTTATTGTTAGGATAAAAACTATCAATTTTTTAATTTAATTATTCAATAAATATTTACGTTTTTTAAGAGATATGAATAATATATAATTTTAATACCTTAGTTTATGCTATTTGGATAGCAAAATTGTTAAAATAAAATGAGAAAAAATATTATAGCTAAAGATAAAATTAAGATTCTAGGTCAACAATAAAGTGTCATGATTATTTTGGCAGAATTATAAAGATTAATTAAATTATTTAGCTATTATTATTTCAAAATCAAATAAATTTTAAATAGGTAAACTTACTTTTGCTTTTTATGACGGCTTACAATTTTGTAACATGTCATTACAATTGTTTTGTTTTAAATATAAGTACAAATTAAAGAAAAACTAAACAGTCTGATAATTACAGTTAAAATTTTACTATGAAAGTAAGCAAACTATTCACCAATCAAAAATTATTACAACAGTTTGCGCAATCATTAATAAATGTAAATTTTATTAATATATATTGCTTCACATTTTCTCTAATGAAAATTTGATAACTGTTCATACATACTCATCATATGACAGAATGTTTTTTATGACATTGTTGTTATCAGGAAATTATGAAAGCGGTGATAACGATTAAAAATAATCAATAGTCCAGCTGTTAACATCGCTCTTCTAAATAATAATTTCTTTAGTACAATTTTTTTGCTATGCATTCAAGAGTCGAATTGTTGAAAAAGGTTGAATACATGTACACATTTTAGTATGAATTTTGAACACATATCAAATTTGCAAATACATTAGAGAATAAGCTAATCTAATTAACAAACTTATATTAAAAAATTGTTTGCTTTGTTTTAACATACATAGCTAAACATTAACTATTAAGTGCCAGCAATGTGCTAGGTCCTACGTCCCGTTCTCTCGATAGAACAGTAATTTCTAGGAGACCCGGCAACGACAGTCTCGATAAGTGTTCGAGAGCAAAGTGATAATCAATTATTGATTATCACTGTATTATTACAGTAATATATACAAAGAATATATGAAATGTAATCTGTGGTACAACACTTAAAATACCTCTATTAAATATATAAAAGAGATACGGAAAAATAATTAAGTGTTTTAAGAGTTAAGTATTTTTTTAATGAATTTGACATAATCATTTAATTTTATTAACCTTAGAGAAAAATGAATTTTGTATAAATTTAAAAAATAAAAACACAATATTAAGTCTGTAGCTTGCATAAAAAATTATAGAAAAAAAAATGTTTTAGGCTGCTCTTCAAAAAAAGGTAAAAATACACTTTTCTTCTTTTTACACTAAGACATCGATAAAATACATAAAAATGATTGCTCACTGCATACCAAGTATGCAAAAAAAGATAACATTGCATTGAAATTTTCATATAAATGATTATACATCAAAACAAGTTAATTTTATTATGAATTAGTTATTAAAAAATAAATTCAGGGAAAATGAAAATATGCAGTACATATTATGCACACATCAGACATCCCCTTAAAAATATGCTTATAGACATGAAAAAAAATAACATACAGAATGGTCAGAAATTTGTCTGGATGGGTCTGATTGGAATCAAAAAGATGTATTATAAATACTACTTCTGCTGAAAAAATTGTATTGGTCCATACACTTTTCAATAAGTTATAACATTATAAAGTTAAAAATGTAAAAAATAAAATCGATAATTTTCATACAAAAATATCAAATGATAGATAAAGACAATATATTAATAAAAAAATTATATTGATTTGATCATTTTAGAATGAAATAATTAGCGATTTTTAAATTTGTAATTTTTTTTGGAGATTTCCTCTCCCATTTACGGAAAACGAGGGAATTTTTTCAATATTTGAGAATAATGACTTCGACTAAATACGATTTGAGATCTTTTGACGTATCGTTAAAAGAAATCGGTTCGGTGAGAGCTGAGAAAAAGTGGTAACAGACACACACAAAAAAAACACATTATAGTAAAACCAATACCTTCTCAGCATTGCATCGAAGTTAAAATTTAATTACTATGGAAGTTCCTTTTTTTCATTTATATGTTAAGTATGAACTTTATTTGAATTAAATTACTAATAAAAAAACCTAGCACAGTGGGATTGCGGCACAGTGAGGGCGTGGAATAATTGGGTCCAGTATAGACTTACTCTGGCAGTGATTAAAAACACACTATCATAAGAAACACTTCGATCCAAATCTGTAGATAATGTTTAATTCTAAGAAATTGGTGGATTATTACAAAAGCAACATCAACTATTTCCTTAATTATATCCAGATTAGTAATTCTTAGATTCAAAAATATAATATAAAATTATATATTAATTAATTGTTATATTGAATTGTTTTCGAATTATTATTGATATTGATTTATAATATGTTAAAAGTAATAATTATTAACCTCTTTATTTCGTCCTTTAAAGTAAAAGTTTATAATACAAAAAAAAAAACGAATTTATTACAATAACTTTTAGCTCAACTTGTAAGTTTAAAATGGACATTATTAAATAGAAAAAAATGAAATTGTTAAGATTAATAAGTAGTCAGGAAATTTTATAATTACTATTTTATTTACAGTAAATTTATCAGAAAAGGTCGATTTTTTTTTGATTTTTTTCAATAGATCGCTTAAATAAAAATCATAGTAATCATTTCTAATTAACATTTGGTGTTTAAAAAGATTCTACATGGAAATATTCAGAACTTGATAAATTTTAATGATTTACATTAACTAAAAGAACCAATAAAAAAAAAGTTGTTAAAAAGATCTATTTAATTGCGTGTATTATAAAATTTGATTATAATTGTAAAAATCCATTGTTAAATTCAGGTGAAACTAAAAATCATTTTCTTTTTTAGATTTATGATTTATATAGCAACATATTACAAAAAAAATTGGAATATTATAGGCTGGTATTAGCACACACAAATTGAGTTAAAAAATTAATAAATTACAAAATAAAATAATTTACTTTTGTAGTTGAATACTTTTATCATATCAAATCTAATTCGACAATAAATACTTTAAAAATATTAGAAATGAATGATTTTAATTGTTTGTATGGAAAAAGCGGGTTAGGCTACTTTTTATTTGAATAAGGGATTTTTTTTCAATTTTTAAGGGTAATATCTTCAACTAAATACGAATTGTAATCATTTGAAAAAAGTAGGTCAAGTGAAGGTTGGGAAAATAAATCGTAGCCACAAAAAAAAACAAATAATAAAGTAATATTAACATAAATAAGAAATTTGTTCTTACTAAGGAAACTACAGTGGTGGGACCTTGATATTTATTGAAGTTATTAAATCTAAACGAGATAAAAATCAAATGATTTCAACATTTTTCTCTAACTAAAAAAAAGATGAAAAATATAATAGCCACAGGCGGATTCGAACCTCCTACCGTAAGCTTGATAGACATAAGTGTTACCGACTCGGTAACTGTACATCGCTTTCTTCCGACAATAAATTTAACAATTTAAGTTAATTCAAATTATAAAATTACTGTTTCAACTTTAAAAAAGCAAAAAAATTTAAATAAGTTTAACTTCTTATGTCTTATGAATTTTATTCTATGTCAATTAAATTATATAATATTCATGAAAATCAGTCAGTGGATTCTCCTTGTAAGATGTTTTTAAATAAAATGAAATACAAAACCCAGAATATTAACACAAAAATAGCATATTTTTGAATACGGTAGCCATTTTCACCAAGAAGAAAATCTATATTTCGATTTTTTCTTTTTTTCATAGTAAAGTATATCATATAAGCTTTAATTTAAGATTAAATAAAAGTGTTAATATTTCAGGAATATTTTTAAAAATTTAATTGAAAAACCTTAACTTGTGAACCAAAATTGTTTTTTTAAATCCCTCCCTGTGAGCAGGTTAAGTTTTAGTTTTTTTAAAAAATGATATTAAATGAAAGGAAAATATCTAAGGTTTCAAATAAAAAAAAAAAATTTTGTTGATTTGTTAATTTTTTAAAAAGTTATGGAATTTTTAAGTATTAAAATATTTCATGTTAAACAGTGATTTTTACATAAAAATTAACATTTTTTGTTAAATTCGACGGCCATTTTTTGATAGAAGATAAGTTGTCGGGACAAATTTTTTTTTTTAGTTTTATAGTACATGACATAAACTTTTATTTGGTATATGTTTAAAGGACACAATATTTCCGGAATATTTTCAAAAGTTAAGTTGAAAAAATTAATTTTTGTAAAAAAGTTGCTATTTTAAATCCACCCCTGTGAGCAGTTTAAGTGTTAGATTTTCAAAAAAATGATATCAAATGAAAGTAAAATATCTAAGGTTTTAATATAATAAAAAGTTATGTTTATTTGTTGATTTCTGACTAAGTTATGGAAGTTTTAAGAAAAAAAAGTGAAAAAAATGACAACATTTACCCATTTTAAAAATTGTAATTACTTTAGAGATTTTCCCCATTTGCGGGGAACGAGGCAAAATTTTTTTAATTTTTAAGGGTAATGTCTTCAACTAGATACTATTTGTGATCTTTTGACGTATTGTTGAAAGAAATCGGTCTAGTGAGAGCTGAGAAAAAGTGGCAACAGACATAAGAAAAAAAAAATACATTATGGTAAAATTAATACCTTCTCAGCTTCGCATCGAAGCTAAAAACGGTTGCATAGTGGGATCGCAGCACGTGTGGACGTCGCATAGTAAAGTATAGATGATAATTGACAGTGATTCCAAATCATTATTATTCGAAATGTTTTTTTCATAGTTTAAGCGTAACATTTTTAAATACATCTCAGGTTTTAACATAATTAGGGACCAGGGGACTATATGCATTTATAAATAATTTAAACGATATTAATAAATGCATATAATTCTGGTCTTATATTAAATAATTTATATTTATATTAAAATATTTCAGGTCGTATAATTATGTTAAATTATATGAACTCGATGTACACATAAATTTTTTTTTCATTTTTGTAAAATTCATTTTTATTTTTTTTTTCAAAAATCAACGAAAAAAACGCATACTGCAAAGACATGCTTAAAAGTAGGAATAGGTCAAAGTAAGAATTAAATAGAACGATTCATTTTTGTTGCATCATATTTATTTATTGATAATTTCTAATGTTTAGAGCAATTTTTCGAATATTAGCTAAACATCCAGCAGAAGCTTCTTGAACATCAGGATCTTTTGATGAAATTGTTTCCATTAAAAACTGCTTTATAAAATAGAAAATTATTATCTTTTAATTAATTATTTAATTTTTAATTTTACGTTACGTTTGAAAGACTAATTTTTTTAATGATGATTTGTAATAATATAGAAAATTTAATAAATAATAAGTATACTAATTAAAAGAGAAAATTTTTTTTTTGAGATAGTGCACTTAAACATAAAAATATAAGGAGTAAATTTATTTAAGTGTAATATGTAGTTTTGGTTATATTCTTAACTTTTTTCCATCATATAAAACTTAAAACTAATAACTTGTAATCTTGTATTAATATTCGTATCATGAAAGAACTTTTCAGTAAAATAAACTCAATTTTATATATGAACAATACTATTTTTGTTAAATAAATTGTATTTTTTTATTAATTAAATAGTTTTTTTTATCATACTAACGAAAAACTCACTGGAACGACTCCGCATGATTCCATAGCTATACAATTTGATGCATCTCCAGATAGACCATATAAAGCAAAAGTAACGTTTTCTTTCACTAATTCAGAAGTTGAATAAATATATTTGGAAATAGGCAGTACTACATCGAGTTTCCCAAATATATGGCAGTTACGACTTAATAGACAACATGAACCTATAGCTCGTGACAAATGAGCTTGGAGATCTGCATTGTTCTATGAAATAATCATGGAATCATAAAATAATCTATAATTACTTCTAAGTCGGTTTGATTGTACCGTATACACTAAGGTTGAGAGACGTTGTACAATATCATAATCAGTGAGGATCGCTAAGTTCTCAGATTCTTTAGCTAATATTCCAATAACGGCACAAGTAGCTGCCAAAACATCCGTATCACATGATTTTAATAGATCAACTAACATAACTAATCCAGTCACTAATGAACTCATGATATCGCTAGAATTCTTCAGCATTTATAATAATTGGCATATTAATAAAATTAATTGGGCACACAAATCTTAATCTACATACTTTAGTATTTTTAAGTAATGTCACTAATGTGTGACCAGCAGTGGATTGAACCATTGTAGAGTCGAACTTCATCATAGACCACACCAAACGTATACCGTCGTTGTTAATTATCTGTTCAATGCACTGTGGATCAGTAGCACAATTGTTGACCACTCGACATACGTTTATGAGAAGTTGTTCGTGATTAGAGTTCTGCAATAGTTTAATCATAGGAACCAATCCATCAGCTGCTCTTAGAGCTACTTTATTTCGACAAATTTTGGTGCATTCTGCCATTGATGCCACAGTATTAGCTATAACCTCAAATAAAATATTTATTTAATTTATTTGTTATAATTTTTTAATTAATATATTCAAATTCATAGTAAAATTGGCAAAAATTAAGATTCATGTGTGCTTTAGTTTTTCTTTTTAGTATAGTCCCTATGTGCATAATTCAATGAAATAGAGGTTACACAGAGTTATTTTTTAATGATGTGAAGTTACAAAAAAAAAGCCTATTAATATCTCTGCAATATACCTGATATGTCAAATGCCTGGTCGAGTAATATTAAATATTTTAAGTTCATAAAAACTGTACTATGCAAGATTAATAGTTATTACTTTGAAATTAAAAGACTTCGCATAGAACTCAAAAGTTTTTAAAAGTTATAAAGAAATCTATGTGATGATATTGAGATATCATGTTTAAGTTAATTTTTTGATTACATTCCAATTTGTAATGTTTGATGTTACATTTCACTTATTACTTTCTATAATATTCTTTATTAACATAAAAACTCAATAATCAAGGCGTATCCCTCATTAGTTAGTATGTTGATTATTGTACATTTTAATCAGTTATCAATTGTCAATGTGAACACTCGGAATGCGTGACACTGAATGTCATGCATACGTCATAGTGTAAGATTCATTACCTGTGCATTTTATGGTTTCTTAAATAGTTGTTGAGTGTATAATAGGGGTGATATATTTGTGATGTTATAAAGATGACCCAGAGAAATTATTCGGTCAATATCTATTTATAATTAATAATATTGACATGATTTTTTTTTGTATATTTATATTATAAATGTTCTCACAAGTTTTTATAACCACATTATACTTTACTAAACTTTTTTGCTACGGCAATATTTTAATTGCCAGTAGTCGTTATACTTGAATATTCAAATAGACATTAGATTTAGGAAAATCGAACTGGTGATATTTATAAAAACTTTAACAAATAATTACTCAACGATTTTTTAAAAATATCATCGTATAGTAGTAAAAGTTTTAAAGTTACATAATGAAAGGTGTAAGCAACTCTACATAGACATTAAAATGTTAAGTTAACTTAAAGAGCTAATTTAAAAATTTCAGAAAAGGGATGTTACTTATTTTTCACTTAAGGGTAATACTATATCATCATTCAGTCATAATACACAGAATCTTATGCTTTTGACATTAAAAATTTCTGTTTAATTTTCTAACTTGTTCGCTATCAGAATCTAGCAGCTTCACTAAAACATGTATTCCATTAATATCTTCCAATCGTTTAACATTATCTGAATTCATTAAGCACTTCCATATTGCGCCAGTTGCAGCTTCCATTAATTTTACATCTGATCTATGTGATTCAACTTTTACAATATTCACCAATGAATTTAAGCCTCCTTGTTCTTTTATTAGCTTCCGGCTCTCAAGATCTTCAGCACACTATTAGTGGATCTCGAGTGTTAAAAATTTATTATTTAGATTTAAAAGCCAAGTTTACTCACATAAAGTGTTATTTCAGCTGCATTTTGTAACATTAAAGGATCTGGACTTTTTAGTAATTTAAGTATATCAATTAACATTCCTTCTTCTTTAATAGCATTTCGAAAAACAGACTAAAAACAAAAAAAATAATGTATATTTCTTATGAAAATCGTTAGTAAATATTAAACGTGTCCAAAATAACTTTATCAAATCAACCTACTTGAGTTGCACAGTTAACTATAACTCCCATAATAGAGCTAACCACATTTTTGTGTATTGAATTTAAAAGTTTTGCCATTACTGGTATGATACCTGAATATCTCATTGCATCTTTATTTTTATCAGACTTTGAAATAAACCATATGGCTTGTGAACACTTACACAATAAAGTCAATGATTTTTGTTGTGCAGGAAGTAAAAGGTCATTATCTGTTTTCAAAATATGATCTTGTACGTCCATATATTTTACCTAAAAAAATATATTTATACTATAAATTCTTTTTTATATATTTAATTTCAATAATTTATTATTTCAAACATACCATTAATTTTATACCACCTGCTTTTCGTATAAACTTTCGACCTTTTCTTATCATAGCGATATTTGCTAATGTTTCTGCTGCTAAAATCTGAATATCGGAGGATCTATCTGATAATAAATTTACTAAAATTGGAATGGCACCCAAATTGGTTAGATTTCTTCTAGTACCCAATAAAAATGACATTTCATGAAGAATTGCTAAGGCACCATGCTTAATAATACAACACAAATAAAAAATTATACATTTCAAACAAAAATAAGTAAAAAGGTTAAAAAGGAAAAACATAAAATACAATTTTGCTTATCAAAAATTTGATGAAAAATAAAAAAAACTAAGTATACAAAAATATGCAATATGAAATTTTTGATTTTAATTCGTTGTAGTACGAAACAAATTTGTGTCTATATGATGATATTTTGATGCTTCATGACATATGCTTTACTTTTAATTAATATTGTAATTATGTTACATTTATATAATAAAGTTGAATGAATTGTATTCAATCAAAATCAATTAGTTACATGACGATGTTATAAATGATTGCAAATTCATATTATGTTATATTCACAAGTAAAGTAATGTGAATTATGTAATTATATTTACTATAATAATATATACATGACAATATTTAATTAATCAATAAAATAAAAATATAGTGCATCCTTCAATTTTTACCCATGAACTCATATTTTAGATTATCTAAGGTATTTTTGTTATTGTGTAATTATTACATCGCCACCCAGACTGTACTAAAGATAAGCGTTTTGCAGAAAAAATATTACATAAGAATCAGTGTAACAAAAATATATTAAAAATGTTATTTTTAAAATCAGGAAAATTCAAAAAGAGAATATAGTAAAATGTATTGGGTATAAGGTTGACATTTGTTAATGAGGTATTCCCTTTAGGCCTATTCAAAAATTATTTTAGGAGGGTATTTAATATTTTTTTCTTTGTTAAACATGTTATAGAATTTTGTTTGCTAAAAATCAAAGATATGTTGAAAAGAAAGGACATAGGTCCTTATTTATTAGAAGTTGCCTAAAAAAATATTGATAGCGCTGGTTCAACGGGGCCCATATCTCCCTTGAATACACCCCTGTTATACACACAAATTATTAATATTCTAATTATAATAATTGTGTTTATATTATAGAATAATTACAAACAAATTCAGCAGGTTATACGTGGGACTGTGTAAAAAATTAAATGTTGATAAAAATATTGGTAACTGCGATTTAACGTTGGACAGCATAGTTGTCATAGATGAATAGATGAATCCCAATTTAATCAATAAACTCATAGACTCATACATCATACATGAGAAAAAAAAGATTATTAATAATGTACTGTTCTGATAATGAATGTACAAACTTATATAATTATAACCGTCTTGAAATTTATATATAATATATAATATTCCTCGATAAAATATAGTGCTATGTGCAAATGCAAAATAGTGTCCTAATAAAAATTTATATTACACCATATAATTAAGATTCATAATAAACGTATGAGAAGAAATGAATCAATGCGCATACTAAAACCATGCGCATGGACTAAAAAAAAAAAAAAAAAGCTTGTAAAACGGTGAATAATGAACGGATTTTTTTGTCATATATCAGGATTGTTATTAGGCGGGTATGATGAAAATTTCAAATCTTAAATCGTAAAACGCTCGCGGGCGATCGGTAAAAATTTTCCGACCTTCGCCAATAATTTTTCCGGAGTATAATAACCGAGTACTTTCATTGAAAAAAAAAATTTTGAAAATCCAAGCACGCTAAGTAATTTTTCCAGAAAAGCGTTTTTTTCCTTGTTCTATTATATTATGCAGTAATATCTCCAAAATTTATTTTTTCAATTAGATTCAGTGAGTAAAATCTGTATGTAATTAAGTAAGAAAATTTTTACTTGGAAAACGAAATTGATATTAATTTGAAAAAATTTTCATATCTCTATGCGCAACAAAAATGACACTAACTCAAAAAAATTAATTTTGAGATTATAAGGTATTTGAATTTAGGTTTTACTCTTCTTATAATAACTTTCATTATAATATTAATCATTTGGATTAAACTACTAAGAAAATTGATAAACATATAGCGTGTAGTCAGAGAGTAATTTTTATTTCGATATCCTGTTAAGAAGTGAGAAAAAGTAAGTCGTTACCTTATTCGTTGAGCATACCGATATATGTTTTTTAATATTATATGATCGAGTTCTGATAATGGTTTTTTTTATTTAAGTGATAAAACGACATTTAGTTAGTCGTTTCCGTGTTTTGTGAATTTTAGGACGATTTTTTATTAACAATAAACAATGAAATGTTTGTTTAAAATTTTTTAATATTTTCTGATCAATTTTCAGATGATTGGATTAGATCATCATGATTAACAATGATGTCATGTCCGAGTTAAATTAATTATCTGAAATAAAGTATTCTTCATAAGTATGTGAGTGGGCACTTCTTCACTTTGAGAGTCGTAGTTTAGATAAACTTATTTTCCCAAGAGTTTTTGCTAATGCAGGGATTAGAACCTTTGAGATTTTTGGGAAGCAGGTTTAAAGAGGATCCTAAATAAAAAATTAATTATTGTAATATTATTAATGAATACACTATTACATTTTTTTTTTAAATGTTTTTATTACTTAAAATATATTATAAAAATGTAGTAATATAATAAGAAAAATAAATTAATTTTTAAGTTACTTTTTGACTAGGGAAGCATTTTAAGACCGCCTTTTGAATTAATATAACAAAAATGTAAAAGTTAATATTTAAAATGATACCTATGATACCTACACAAAAAATAATAATAATAATAATAATAACTAATTAATTTTTAACTAGAGCCATTTTAGAACCCTCTAAAAATAAATCGTTTAAGACACCTTAATATATATTGAGAGTTGGGAAATATTTTACTCAAACTATGCCTTTGAAAAATGAAGAATTTCTGGCTTACATTTTTTTAGAGTTACTGTATTTGCAGATAATTCATTTAACTTGGATATCATATTATAGTCAATTTTAACATCCAAACATCTGAAAACTTTCACGAAAATATTAAAAATCCTTAACCAATAATTTCATTCCTTATTGTTGGTAAAAAATTGTTCTTTAATTCGCAAACCATAGGAATAACAAACAAAATGTTGTTTCACAATTTAAAATTAAAAAAAATAAATAAAAATATTATCAGAATTTATAGTATTAAAAAACATTTATAGGTAAAAGTTAATTGTTTTTTTCAAATTATTATTAATTTTAATTTTTTATTCCATCAAAATTTCATTTTATTTAGTTTTTATTTATATTTTATAAATTTCAAAAATATTATAATACTTGTATTACAGTTACTAACTTTCTTTTATTAAAATTATTAAATTATATATCGACAATAAAGGTAAGAAACATTGTCAGTAAAGTACATTATTATCTTTCTTTAACTGAGAAAATAATTCTGCAAATCTCTCTGTCTTTAAAAATAAATATGTTTTATTTTAGTTTAGTGTTTTGTTTAGACATAGATTTAATGTTTTAATTAAAAATAAAAAAAAAATGATCAATTTCTTTGTTTATAAATTCTATTTTATATAAAAGAAAATTAACACTCTTCGTAGATTTTATGATTAAGTCATTCAATTTATAATAATAAATTTTATTATATTACTCTTTATCATAGGCGTTAAGGATAATCATTCAAAAAAGGATTAGGAAAGACAAACAAACATTTATAGCTTTTGTGGATATCGAAAAAGTATTTGATAACGTAAATTGGAAGATAATGTTTAACATGATGAAAAGATTGGGGTTAAAATACACAGATAGGAAACTTCTGTATAACCTATACAAGGATGAATCCGCAGTTATAAGGATCCAAGATGAGGAAGAAGAAGTAAAAATAAACAGAGGAGTTAGACAAGGTTGTACATTATCCCCAATTATATTCAACGCATATATTCAAGAAGCAATAGATATGATAAAGGAAAATGCCAATCTAGGGATAAAGATTAACGGTCAAAAAATAAGTATGTTACGCTTTGCCGATGACATAGCTTTAATTGCTGAATGCGAGAAAGATCTGGCTCAACTAATTAAAGCTATGGATAAAACATTCGAAAAAGAGTTGGAAATGAGAATAAATGTGAAGAAAACAAAAGTAATGGTATGTGAAAGGGAAAATAATACAAGAATACAGATAAAAATACGAAACCAATCAATAGAACAAGTAGATGAATTTACATACCTGGGAAGCGCAATCAGCAAGGATGGAAGAAACAGAAGTGAAATTATAAAACGTATCTGTCAAGCTAAAATAGCCTTTAACAAAAAGAAAACTATATTTACATCAAGAAGCATGAGTCTAAAAATAAGAAAAAACCTATTAAAGACGTATGTATGGAGCATTGCTCTGTACGGGTGTGAAACCTGGACAATAGCAATGGAAGAAAAAAAAAGACTTGAGGCGTTTGAAATGTGGTGCTATAGAAGGATGCTAAGGATAAGTTGGATGGACAGAGTAACCAATGTAGAAGTACTGGAAAGAATATCAGATGGAAAGTTACTATGGAATAACATAGTCAGAAGACGCAACGAATGGATAGGTCATGTAATGAGACATGAAGGATTGTTGAAATTGATAATAGAAGGAACAGTAGAAGGAAAGAACCGTAGGGGTAGACCAAGATTGGAATTCATTCAACAGATAATAAAGGACCAAGGATGTGACTCATATGTGGAAATGAAAAGGAAGGCGGATAAGAGGGAAGACTGGAAGATGGCTGCAAACCAATCTACGGATTGAAACCATAGAGAGAGACTCTTTATCATTCAATAATACTCAAAGAATTTCATAAATTAATGCAATCAACTTTAATTTGCAATATATGTATTTTTTTAAATAAATTTATGTTTCATGAATATTTTGACCATACTTTTTACTATAGAATTTTAGTATATTTTTAACATCCCTTTATTTGTAACAAATGAAACAAAAGTCAAGAAAAATATACTTATTTATATAATTAAATAACTAAATAAAATTATTAATATAAAAATTAATTAAAAATTATAAAAGTAATATTCAATAATAATATTATAATCATAAATCCATCCGGAATAAAGATAATAATATCCAATACAACACCTAACATTACAGATAATATTTGCATTATATTGAGTTATTCAGCTGATGGAAAACTGTAGATTGAAAAAAACTGTTAATATATATTTAAAAATATGCGTATTTTTTTTTTTTTTTTGATGTACAATCATAACTTGAAGTAAAAATAAGTGTTAAAAAAATTATTTAAGACTAGAAAAAATATTGGCGAGATAAAATTATTAGTACAGGAGGAAATATATTTAAGTTTATTTGAACGATTATTATTTGTATAATAAATAACTCTAATTATTATAAATCTTGAAAATTTCAAAAGAATCACCTTAGTTATTTTAAAGAATAATAGATCAAAACGAAATGTATAAAATCCTCTTGGTGCTTATAACAAATTATTGTTATAAGCTACCATATAATAAAAAAATTTGTCATCACATGATAAAGTAAACTGAATTTTTGTATACGTAAGTTAGTGTGTGTGTATTCAGTTGCTTCGTCAATATTTGTGTTCATTTTTTGATGATGCAAAATTCTATTATGTTGTAATTTTACGAAAATTTTTAGTTATTATAACATCATTTGAACATTTACCCGACATTCATTGTGATCCGTTTCTAATAAATTGATTAATAGATCAGTTCCTCCAAATGAAATTACAATACTTTGAATAGTTTCATCACCTAGATCATAGTCCCCTAGAGCTGCCAGTGCTATCGCCGTGGCAGTTTGGTTGCCTACCTGTAAGGAAGTACTATTAGGTAAAATATAAAATGATTTTTAATTAATTATAATTATACTTATTAGTATAATGTAGTACAATTTACTATCTTGTGAATTAATTAGGTGATAAATTATGGTTTAAGCACGTAATTCAACATTTCATCATTTTTAAGAGAAAGATGATTTCAATATTTTAACTTCGAAGCTGATTAAGTATTAATTTTACTATTATTTTATTTTTAGGTCTGATGCTACTTCTTTTGAGCTCCTACTGGGCCCATTTTTTCAACGATACGTTGAATGATCACAAATCATATCTAGTTGAAGAGGTAAACTTAAAAAATTTGAAAAAATTCCTCTATTTATCTATGTCCTCAAAAAAATTATAATTTTATTTTAAATTTTAGAATTGGACAATTTTTTTAATTTTCTTTACTTAAAACTATTCACATTTTTAAAAATGAATCAAAAAGGTTTTCATAAAAAAATACTCGTTGCACGATTTCGCCTATATAATTAATTATGTATAGATATGCATTTACTCGTATATATTTAATTAATCGCTGAATATTCTCTACGTCAGTTGTCTCATTGGTTAAAGATGTTGGATTGTGCCATCGATCTTCTTCAAATTCACTGAGTGTCATGCTATAACTTGAACTATCATCTGATGCTATAGGTTCTTTTACCATGAATGAGTTTATAGTATTAGAGTTCACCTGTGAATTCCAATAAAAAAAGTTAAACATTTGCTCTATCAAACGATGTATAAGGAATACGAGGAAATTAGAATTTTACCTAATATACCTAATAATTTCTCTCCCCCTCAAGTATTACGAATAAATTGAAAAAACTTATTTGGAAAAATATATGAACAATTTAGGAACATATTCATAAATTGAAAAAATTTTGTTGAAAATAACAATTTATTTTTTAGTCATTAAGGTTTTCTAGTTAGCAAAATTTCTTCAACGCCCTCCAATGATTATCTCTTGGATTGTCCTTGTAATAGACTTATTTCTCAAAAATAACATTTATCATTAGTATATTTTGACAAAATTTAAATATTTTTACTAAGGGTTGAGAAATAGTATTGCGTAGTTTGGCATGTCAAACTTTTTATGTGAAAAAAACGAAATATGCATTTCGTGTTATCTAAATTAATTGATATTTTCTAAATTTAAAATGTTAATATATTTTATCAAAATTTAAATTTTTTGTAAATACAAGGTTTTTAAAATCATACAACAAATTGTTAAAAATGATCGTTATAATTTAAAAACAAAAAATTAATTTGAAGTATTTTTATATAAATATGTTTATTTTTCCCATAACAAAAAGCGATAGTGTAACAATTCTTATTTTGATTATCTTATAACAAAAATTAATAACTTCTAATTTGTGTGTTGAATTCTTCATTTTGTAAATTTCATTTTAATTGGTAATTATAATATTGTGTATATGAAGTATTTACAATATATATATAAATTCAAAACATGAATAATATCAACTTACTTCTGTTAGAATGTTAACAATCGGGGAACCATTTTTTTCGTCTGGACAATGACTTTCAATACATTTTTGATTTTTTGGACTATTAAAATTTTTTCTTGAATTTTTCATTTTAATATTTAAAACTTAGAATTATATATTATTTTACACAATAAAATTATAACTAGATGAATCATACGAAAGATTAAGAGTTGAAATCAGCGAAAATATTGTTTATAAAAAGGGCGATTCACCCGTTCATGTTATATAAATAAATAAATATTGATCAAACATGCTGTTGATATCATTTATCGTCATTGACCTTACTTAAATTTAAGATTATGTAATTCTGTTATTTCTAATAAAGAAGTTTTTAAGTTTACATTATAACTTAATTGTGTAGATTAGTATCAGTAAAAGAATTATGTTATATTAACATTAAAAATTGATGATTGATTATTAATGATGTTTGATTTATAATTATACAACGATATCATATAACATATTATTTAGGTGTATAATCTGTTATTTCATTACACTTCCTGACCAGTATGATCAGACACTAAGCAGCGCGGTTATTTCGTCACAATGTCGATCACACTAAATTAATGGCATACGAACAAACACTGTAAGCCATCGACTGCTATTTTAGATCAGTTAATAGTTATACCTGTGCAACACCTGATTGTTGGATAGTGTACGTTGAACGCGATAGTTGAGTTCGTGTAGTTGTATATTTAAGTGGATCATTTCAAAGATATTATAACTTGTTATTTTTAAGTTATTGGACAGTGTTATAGAGTTAATTCAAATTAATATGTGCTCGTTTGTGCGTTTTATTGTAGCTCTTTTTCATTGGCTTTAATGAACTAACATAACGCTTAATTAATTTACAGGTAAAAATAATATTGTATTTTATCAACTTAAACATTTTTTTAAATAGGTTTACAAATGAAATAAGAAACCAACTTCAAAAAGAAGTAGTTAATTATTCATTAATTATATTATAATAAGTGCAACCTTATTTGATAATTCGTATAATAATCATAGAATTTCGCGTATATTTCTATAATAAATTATTGTTAGCTTTTTTATATTTTCACCAAGTTCACAAAATAAAAAAAAAATTTTTCTCTATCACTACTTTTTTCAGCTCTCAATGAATCGATTTTTTTAACAATACGACAAAATATCACAAATAGTTAAAGATATTAATCAACATTATATTTCATAAAATCAAAAAATTTCCCTCATTCCTCGTAAATCGTGAAAATCCCCAAAAAATTACTATTTTTAAAATTTATAAATTAAGAAATTTTTAATACTTTTTTTTATTTAAAACAATCATAACTTTTTTAAAAATGAATGAATCAAAACATTTTTTTTTAAGTACCGCAGATAATTCCTTTCTTAAGATATAATAATTACTTTTTGAAAATCCGACCCTTAACCTGTCCACTGGGAGATTCGATATTATGCTACTTAAGTTAAGCTTTTCAGCTTAATTTTTGAAAATGTTTCGGAAATACTACAAAACTTTGAACATTTATTAAATGTTTACATTTAATAAATATTTAATGTACTTTCCTTTCTTTTTAAATCTGACAATTAGTCTGCCTACAAGGGAGGATTCTAAATAGTAATTTTTGAACAAAAATTTAACTTTTTCAACTTGAGATTTTTTAATGTTCCGGAAATACTGCATCTTTTAAAAATATGTTAAATTAAAGCTTATATTATGTACTATGAATAAAAAAAAAATTATCCTGACGACTTATCTTCTATGTGTAAATAGCTTCCGTACTTAAAAAACAAGCTATTTTTGTGTTAAAATTTTTTATTTTAGATTTTCAATTTTAAATTGTTATAACTTTTATAATAAATAAATGAATATACACCATTTTTTTTATAAATACTTTATATAATCTTCTTTCATCCAACGTACTTTTTTGTTAAATCAGACCTGATTCCTTTATATAGAGTAAGTTCAAATCTTGAAATATTCGAGTAAAAAGTAGAACTTTTTCAACTTAACCTGTGAAAATGATCCGGAAATATATCTTTTAATTATATGTTAAATGAAATCTTATATTACGTACTATAAATAAAAAAAATGTTATCCTGTCGATCTATCTTTAATGTGCAAATGGCCGTTGAAGTTGAACATAATATGTAATTTTCGTTTAAAAAAATCACCTTTTATTGTTATGTTATTTTGATACTTAAAGCTACCATAACTTTTTTAAAGATTAACGTACCAAAATAATTTTTTTATATAAACATTTTACGTATTTCCCTTTTATTTGACATAATTTTTCTGAAAATCTGACCCTTTATTTTACATATATTATATTTATAAGTCAAAAAACCTTTTTGCTTTTGGAATAATCCATCAATTTCTTACAATTAAACAATATCTACAGATTTTCATCAAAGTGTTTCTTATGATTGCGATTTAAATCACTGTCAGATATCAACTATACTTATCCACACGTGGATTATACGTTTAAACATTGCTAATACGTATTGAATTCCAATGTATTGAAATTTAGATGCGGTTATTTCAATAACAAAATTTGTGTTATAATTATTTTTTAAATTTTCATTTACTTGAAAAAAATTAATAATTTTATTAAGTTGGTGATCTTTACAAAAAATCTTTACTCTGCATTATCTCGGTAGTTAAAATGATGATAGGCGGATGAGGACGGAGTGCCCCTTTTTATTTGGAGTATAATCTAGTGTCTCCTTTAAGTAGAATCCAAAATACTGGGGGAAGTTTTAATTTTGAGCGTTGAAGAGTGAAATGCGTTAATATAAAATATTTATTTCGAATGGTTAAAATTGTTAAAAAAAATGAATTGCAGAAGAACTTAAATTATGAAATTATAAGAATATGACAATATGACTGTGATAATATAAGTACATAGAGTACAGTCAACTATGACGTAATAATTGTTATTTATTTGTTTTTGGATTATTCGAAATGTTAATTAATTATTTTTTTAATATAAGTTTAAAAGAAAATGTAATTAATTTATGACTACAAATAGAACTAAATTATATTAAGGGTTGCAAAGTGATAAAAATAAAAATTAAATGTACTTTTATATTTGTTATATGAATAGAACCTACTATCATTGTTGATATATTTTAATTTGTTGAATACTTAAAAAATTATATTATAATAGTTGTTATTTCATATTTTTATGCGTAGATACCTACCTAAATTGGTAACTGTCAATATTATTTTCTCAACTTGTTTCTGTTATAATATAATATTTAAAATTTAAAAATACAGTTTTCCATTTATTTTCATATAATATTAAAATGTTGATACTGACTTTGTGATGTTTTGTATAATATTCATTTCTAATTGATTTTTAATGAAAAACAAAAATTATAAGTAGGAACTAATCCATTACTTTATTGAGATAAATTTTTTTTACAAGCTAAAGTATATTTGCTTATGACGAATATCATTTTTAGCCTTTAAGGGGAAACAATTCGGTTTGACTCGAAAACGTTCCACTTTTTTGAGGAACTATTGTTCCCTTTTTTAGTTTTCCCACTTTAATCACTACACGATTTATGTGAAAACTTCATGACAACAAATAATTCAGACATAGAACTACATTAATGAATAAACTAAAAAATTAAAGATTTTTCGTTAAAATTATAAAGCAGATATTTTGAAAATTTCACTACATTGTACTGTATTTTTATCTTCGACGGATAAGAAGTCATATTAACCATAAAACAGTTTTTCATGAAATAGTCAAATATTTCTCATAACCCATTATAAGCAATATTAAATGTAATTTTAATGAAAGAAACAAAAATAAAAAATGTTTTGTACATTGTTTGAAGCTATAAATGTGTGTTCATTACAAAAATAAAGTCATTTTTTTGTGGCTAGGCTTCGCCAATATTTTTTAATTAAATATCTACTTGAAAAAAAATATATAATAATAATATTGCTACAAAAATATTAAGGAACATCGGTGTATGCACAAATATATTAAATAATAATAGAATGTTAATTATTTAGCACAGCAGGTATGAAAAAGATAATTTTATAATTATAATATAAAATATACATAATATATTGCAATACGCTGATATAAAAACGTATCCTAATAAAAACTTTGGACGTGGACTTAAAAAAAAAAAGCTTATAACTCGGTTAAAAATCAACTGATTTCCACCAAATATTTTGGGTATCTCTGATTGATTATAGGCTAGCCTGGTAATAATAACAGGTATTAAATTTATAAACGCTAAACGCAATGAGCGTTTTTCTTTTAAAAAGTCTGATCATTTTAAACGCTAGAAGAACGCTAAAAAAATGTTCTATTCTTTCATTAATAAAAAAATTGTTGAAAAAGTAATTTTTACAGTATTTGCAAATTTTTAAAATATTTTATTATATAGTAAGATTAGAAGAATCGGATTAAGATATAAAGCTAACGTATACAGAACAATTTGTGACATTTTTTTTATCAGACCTCCAAAATTAATTACATAATTTAAACTTAAATAAATTAATTGAATTTTAAAATGTTAAACTAACGTTTACATTATTTTAATTAATTTTTTTTAATATTGAGCTCTCAAGAAAAAGAAAATTGCTGTAAAATTTTATTTAGTAAGTAGTTAAACTTTACCATCCGAAACAAATACACTTGGTAATCAACTAAAAAAATAGAATTACCTTTAAAACTGTTATAGAATGAGAAATCTATATAGGTATCAATATATCAATGAGAAATGTATTGTATTGCCAATACAAAAAAAATTATTAGTAATTCAATATTAATATTGATAAGTATTTTAAACTATGATAATTATCAATAAACTGAAAAATTGTCATAGTATTTCAATAAAACCATATGTTTATATTATAAATCACGAGTTCATTGAACGATATCCTTTAAAATAATTGCAGCACATGCTTTATTTAATTTTACATGACATTAAAAAATTACAGTTTAAAAAACATTTAATATTGTAGTTTTGATAAAATTAAATTTTTTATTTTAAATTTTACTTAAAGGAATTTCAAAATAAAAAAAAAAATAAAATCAACTAATACAAAAAACAAAAATTCTGTTAATATCCTTTTTAGTCATATGATTCAAAATAAGTTGTCTAAAGTTTTTAAAAGATAATGTGAATTTTTTTCCAAAATTATATTTGTAGAATCAATATTTTAGTGAAATAAAAGTTAGTATATGGACTGGTGCACTATTCAATATTTAGATAGAAATTCAGGATCTCATAGTCATTTGAATTTAAGAAATTTTTTCCTTATAGCCAACACCATAACAAGGTTAATTTTTTATAAAAACAAAAATATAAAAAAATATTTTGTGAAGTATGAAGGTGTTTTATGTTTTGTATTGTAATTTTTAAATTATAATAATTTTGACTGAGAGTTACGGTTGAAATTTATTATTGTATTAATGATTGATATATGTATATAAAAACACTAAATTGAAATACTTTGGCCTTGGCAAATGACAAAAAATAATTTATACAGTTAAATGTCACTCAGTATATAGAGTGATTGATTTATCACTCAGAACTTAAATTCTCATAAAATACTGGTCGATGACAACTTTTAAACTGTTATTTCGAAGTTACAATCATTTTAAAATATTCACTGGAGATGTAGCACGGGTATGATAATATTTATAATTAGACATTTCTTGCCCGTACATCTTCTTCCGTTAAGGTATAAAAATATTAAGAACATTCGAAGTACTAGTCCAAAAGTTTTCAACCAGTCAATATATATATATATATATATATAAATTTCGTATGACACCAGTCAATATCTTAATTAGATAATTTTTTATTTTATAAGCAGGTCAAATGTATGTTATCATTTAAAAAAAGTTAACACCCTTATAGTCATAAGAGATGAATTAAAAAAGTAATTAATCGAGATGAATATCAATAAATTGAGATATATATATATAAAACTAAAATTTTTGTTAACATAATTATTATTTTAAGAGAAATGGAGTACCATTTTTTGAATATTATTAAATAGATATCTTTCAAAATAAATAATTTAAAAAAGATCTTTAAGTTTATATTTTTAATTATAATCCATATAATATTAAAAATATATATAATAATAATAATTTAACAATAAATACAGTATTTGAACGATATTACAGCAAATAGAATAATAAAAAGGGCTTTGATAACTTCCTATACAGTGTACATTTTTTGGTTCGGCTATATGCCTTAAAGGTGACAAACACAAATAAACACCGAATTAGTTTTGTGATTGTAGTTCTGTAGTCAACAATAGTTATTATATCTCCTACATAATTAACGGATGTTTTAAATGATTAGTCACGCATATAATGTTTTAGTTTTTACAATATTATGATAATCAACATGCTTGTTGTGAGTACTAATGTGACATCATAGCTTTAATTACTGTTTTGTTTACATCACGTTATAATACATAAATCCTTATAGATCTTTGATACTTTTGAGAATTTACATAAAATCAATTTTTCTTTTCTTGTGTCGTAAAATAATGTTATTTCACCAATAGAAAATTAATTGGCTATTGTATATAGGAAACTAGTAAAGTGAAGAAAATCCTTCGTATCATTTCGCCACAGAAAAAAAATCATTATTTTATCTTTGTACATTTAAACAATTTCTTCATTTATAATTTTCCTTACATGTATAACTTCAATTTTTAGACCTTGATTTGGGGGGAGGGGGAATGAACAGTTCAAGGTTAAAATATTTAATGTGTGTACACGTCAAACAGTAATAAAATTTACGAAGTGCATCTTAGCCGATTTTCAGTTATTTCTATGAAGTATTTTGTATTTTCAGTACTTTGTACTAATAATACTAATAAATTAGTGAAAACTGAAATATTTTTTATAAGACACCAGTTATAATTACCAAAACCATATACTCTATGTAAATACGTATTTAAGATCAATTTGATGTGCCAATCTCCTTAATAAAATGTATAAAAATGTAATTGCCGAAAAAAATGCGAGGGTAATTTAGTATAATAATTCGTACACACAAATTGTTTTATTTTAATGATATATTTATACATATTACACAGAAAATCTGTATTACAACTATATATTATAATCGTATGAGCAGTTTCATTTTGTCCGACCTTGTTAATTGTTGACAGTACCTCATCAAGAGTTAAGCGGTTTACATTCCCCTGTCCACAATAAGTATTTATACAATTTATACCAGCACAATAGTAAATCATACAATTTAGTATGAAAAATTGCATGTACAAATATAGTAATACATCTTCTAAACAATTTGTTCAACTTTCAAAGGCTTAATAAAAAACTGTAAATCAGTTGATATGTTCATTCGTTATTGACTGTCTTCACTGATTGTTTATCAGCTCATATGCTTTATAAGTTATATTATTAATTCACGAAATAAAATTAGTTTTTAAATGTCATAGTTTATATTATGTTGTAGATTATATACGAAATTAAAAAATAACTTTTAGTTAGGTTGACATTGAAAACTTTAATTCTTTAACATCGGAAATTTCAAAATGTTGACTGAGATCTAAAAAAAATTTTCTATAACTCAAGAGCTTTGGCGAATACGTTATTTTTCTAACATTTTTTCCTGTTGATATTATTAAAAGAATACATCACATTATTGTTGATTACAAATTATTATACATTACAGTCATAAAAATTTGTTGGTGTGGGTTATAACTTGCAGCCTGAAATTTGTACTACACATAAATAAAATAAATCCCTATACGTCAAAATTAAAGACTAGTTTTATCTAATTGTAAGATGAATTAAATACGATTAAGCTTACCGAAAATAATGTTTATTTAAATATCTTATTGGTATTGGGGATTTCCAAACGTAGTACTTAGTTACTAAATTAGGTGTATATATTTTTAATCCTTATGAAAATAATTTTTTTAAAAGACTGGCAAATTTCATGTTACAATTACTTGTAATTTTAAAGTACCTCTTTGTTTATCACTAAATTTAATTATTCTCACAGTTTAACTTTAAGAATTAATGGTGTAATTATTCAGGACCGCACAAGGTTTTTGTATTATACTCAGAAAACGACATGATAAAGAAAAGCAACATTGTAGTTTTGTCACCATTTTGAATATCTATGGGTACAAGTTGTCTTATTAATTATTGTTCATTAAGTCACTGTTATTTTAAATATTTACTATACTTAAACAGCTCAACCAGTTTCTGCAAACTTTTGGAAATTTTGAGAAGGAGAAATATTTCTACCCCTTAAATTTCTTTCCAAATTTAGCCTATTTTTATCGTTATTTAATTAATATTATACTATATTAAATTTAAGTGTGAGGGTAAATAAAATATTTAAGGTCAACTTTTGTGTAAGAAATTCATTTAAAAAAATGAAAAATCATACACTGTGATTTAAAATTATAAATTTTAAAATTAATTAAATTAAAATAGTGTTGATAAAAATTTTACCCACATGACATTAATTAAACATTCGTTAGTTGCAAAAACAATTGTTTTATAACATGATAAATATTGAGCGATACCAGTTTACAAATTGCTATTGAACATAATCCACACCTAATAGTAATTTAAAATAACTAATGAATCTATTGTTTGAGTCCTTGATATACTATTAAAAGAAATCAAATTATTCAAATGTTCAAGGATTAAAATAAATTCCAATAAAAGAAATGTGATTGTTAAAAGATAAAAATATTATTTTAGGAGTTATAAGTTTCCTATGACAATTTAAAATTGTAAATATTAATAATCACAACGCTTAGTTTACGAGCTAATGCTTATATTTTATTATTCTTGATTCAATTACATCACTCAGTAAATGTTGATTACGTCATTTTATTTTATCGTCTAGCTATGAATTTGGAGGATATAAATGGCACATAGAACTAGTATTTCAAAACAAATTATATTCGAAAATGTTCGTTCTACATCTTAAAAAATAAAACTAGATTATCTGTTGAAAAATACAAAAGAATTTTGACTACTGAGCAGTAATTTACTATCCTTCTTTAAATAAAATAACCCAAGACTATATATAGTTAGTACCAATAGTTAATTACTAGGTATGAGTGTTTTTTTAATCATTCACTAAGCTTAATTAGGGAGAATTCCTTTAGAAATAAATATTTTAACATTGAATTTATAATAACAAAATGCATTTTTATTTATATACATATTACGTTAGTAAATACACGCCCGAGGAAAATAAGTAATTACTTAAAAAAAATTTTAATTGTGTTTCAAAACAACAAAAAGTAGGAAGATAAATATCAATATCAATTTAACAAGTTTCAAAAGACTAATTACTTCTGAAAATAAATTCATTTTTCTTTTTAAATTATTAACTCATCTATCAATTTAAGATCTAAATTCATAGTAATTTCAAACAAGTAATACACCATACGAATGTGTCCTTCCTTTTTGCTTTTTTTTAATTGACCCTGGGTTTACAATAAGTTTTCGTATCAAAAATGAGTTAAGATTAAGAAAGTAAATATTTTATACTTGTAGTTCTTAATATATCATATTTTTCAGTACGAAGTAATCTTTGGCATTCGAAAATGACAAATCATGAATTTCATTAATTTCCTAAAAATATAAATAACACATGAATATTTTTATATAAAATTTAAAAATTGTCATATAAAACACAATTATTTTTAGGGATACTTCATTGAAAAAAAATTTTTTGAGGATTATACCGTTTAAAATACATTATAGAACACACATGAAGAGATTTTATTTAAGTGACAAGGTTAACAATTTTGTGATAGTATCACATTATATTAAAGTTACAATTCTAAATATCTGTATCTCTAACTATACAAATTGTATACATTGATCACACTGAATGTTTTTTTTTGAAAAGCTTTCAAAAGAAACATAAGTTTCAGTTCATTTATAAATTTAATATTATAATTGGTCCTAAATTTAATACGTCTAATTTAATTTACAATTATTAAAAACCTATCGTTGCAACGGAAAGTTGACTACTCTCCAATATTCCAGTATAAATAAATTTCTTTAAATAAATTTATTTTTAATGCTTTTAATTAATTTCACTTTAAATTTATAAATTTATGGTCTAAGTACAAAATTTATCAGTTATTGTTAATTTTTCAGTTAACAATCAATTCATAAATTTGTTTAACATACGAATGTTTTAAGTGAAGTTTTTTAGTATTCTAAAATAATCTATTCTTACCATTAAATAATTAATATGCTTAATAAATTCTTCTTTGGCCGACTTTAAACAATCATTTCTTTTATTAAAATTTTCAATAATTCAATTTATTTATTTTAGTTTATAGTGTACAAAAATTAAACATGGAAAATAGTGGAATGATTGATATCAAAGTTCCATCGAAAGGGAGGAAATTTGGTATTTGGAAGGTAAACTAATAAAATGTATTCATTTAAACTTAAAATTTGTCATTGTTATTCATTTAATTTATTGTCTATATTTTACTAAATATTTTGATTTGAAATTTATATAAATATATTCATTTAATTTCGTCTTTATTATTCTTTATCAAATTAATTTTTGTGGTAAGTTTTGAAAAAATAACAGAATTTATCAATTAATATCCATTGGTTATTTTATAGAGAAAAAAGCTTAGTACTATAAAATTGTTGCTATAAGCTAAATTTTATTGATTTTTTTTTATTGTACTATTTAATCCCGGTTGTTGAAATAAATTTTCAACTATCTCATAAAAATGTAGAATGTTTTCATTTCTAATATTATTTATTAAATTAATTTGAATTAACACACTTTGCCTTATTTTAACTAGTTTAAAATAGGTGTATTAATGTAAATAATTTAAATCAACAAGGTTTATACGTGATACAATTTTATTTTATTAGGCATGGAAGTATCAATGGTGTGAGATCACATACAAAGATGAAAACCGTGTAATTATAAATATAGGAAACAATAAAACAACTATTTTTTCATGTTTTGCCGTTCCAAATAACGCTGTAGTTTACAGAATAAAATCCAGGTATATAATTAACACCATTGAAAATAGTTATTATTATTATAGACTATTTGTTTTTATATTTAAATTTTTAGTCTTTTAAGGTACTTTTTAAATAAGTTTTACACTAAAATTATAATTAATTTTAATCACTAAATTGTTTAGGACTAAAGCATATGGGTTTGGAATTTTTTATACAAAAGAAAAAAATCAATATCCATTAGTCTTTTTAGCATCAAAATCTGAAACTGAATCACAAAAATGGATGAAAATAATTAGAGATATGTTGCAACCTCCAAATACTTTAAGTATGGTGTACAGTATAATTTTTTACAGTTACTATGTGTTACTTGTTACTAAACGGTTGTTTAGTTGTTATTAAAATATCGATGAGCTCGTTAAAAATAGAGCTAAAATAAAATGCTCTTTGAACTGTTCTTTTACTACAAGATCTTTATAAGACTTTTCTATATTCACTGATATCTATTTTATTTTTACTTTTATAGGAAAGGTGGTCAAGTATAAAACTTACTTTATAAAGTAATTAATACTGATCACGTGTTTTCCTTTTTGAAGTTAGGACATGTTTCCTTAAATAATAATTGTTTGATGATGGTTCTATAGAATGATTAATTTACCTTTGACTGCCAATTTGACCAATTTAATTATCAACGATAAATTAATCAACCTGTATAATAAGAAATAATATGTGTCTTTAATATTATGATTAAATTTTTAGAAGAAAAAAATGAATACGATATTTCTGTAATCGATAACGAGCATTCCAAATCAGCTAATCTCAATGGTCTATATGGTAGATTAAGTGTAAAAACTGATGAAATTTTAGTGTCGGACCCTCATTCTGGTAAAATTAAGGCAACTCTCCATTGGACTCAAATGCAATGTAGCTATTTGCCCCTTCCTGCCACTTCAGAAGATTTACATAGAATATGCACGATACGCACGAACAGGTAATAAAAGTATAAATATATAGTACGTTCATTATAAGGAAATTAGTTTGGAACAACAATCTTTATAAACAATAATTATAGAGGACTATATGTGTGCTTTAATCTTTTCGGCAGCTTAATGTAGTAGTACTGAATAACAATTCATACCATGACGTGTTTGTTTTTTCTTAGAAATATAATGAGTTTACGAGTTATGTCCTATACTTTAGATATAAGGTTAAAGTAATTTAACTAAAACCTATGAAATATTCATGTTTATAATAATCAAAAATTCATTATATTATATTAAATTAGTATATTATCTACTTGAACCTTTAAAAAATGTAATTGATTAACTGACTTATTAATTTATAATTATAATACTTAACAATAAATTAATTAAATAATTGTAAAATAATTAATCGAAATTAGTAAAAATTTTAATGTCAAATAAAAAGTAACTAGTTGGCAAAATCTTCTAATATATTACTTTGAACGTTATTTTAAATTAAATAAAATACCTCTGACTATTTTATTATATATTTTTATAGAATGAAGTTACTAATTATACTGTACAGCAGGATGATACACGAAAATTATTAAACTTCATTTTATTTATCATTATAACGTACCCAAAAATTGAAAAATTGGAATATCATTTGAAATTCCTTTGAATATTATTAAATTAATTTTGTTTTGTCAAAATATTTTTTGGTTAAAAACGATCAAGATACCATTCTTGTGAGAAGATATAAATTTGAATTTTATGTTTTCCATTGAAATGTTATATTTATATTTCTTCTTCTTTTATTTAGCCTTTATTCCTACTACTTGGGGTCGGCCATCCTTATCCTAAACTTCCACTTGACACGATTTCCTCATCATCTACGCACACATCAGTCGTCCTCATATCGCATTCAATAGCATCTCTCCATCTTTTTTTTCGTTTCCTTCTACCTCATCTTCCTTCAACATTAATTTCTATAATTGTACTTATAGCTTCCGATTCCTCTCTCCTTATAAAATGACCATCTAAGTCTGTTTTCTCTCATCTTATCCACGATTGACGCTACACCTATACTCCTCTATCTTATAGCTTCGTACCTTATTCTACATTCTTTAGTTACTCCATTCTAAGCATTCTCATATCTGCTGCACTGACTCTCTACTCTATTCTATTGTCAACCGAACCTAACCTTGTTCTGAACCATACATCATAGCTGGTCTCACTACAGTCTTAAAGAACTTACCTTTCATTCTCATTAGAATTCTTTTATCGAATAATACACCAGACCCTTCTCTCCACTACACCCACCTGCACTTATCTTGTGTCTTACATCCTCGTCAACATCACCGTTCTTTTGCAAAACTGATCCTAAATATTTAAAACTTTCCGCCTCTCCTACAACGTTCTCGTTTATTGTCACTGATCTCATTTCATCTACCTCATGTTCTCCTTTGTCTCGTACTCTATATACTATATCTTACTCATGCTTATTCTTAATCCTTTTTCTCCACATCTCTAGCCATTGATTAATTTCCTCCCTATTTTCTCCTATTAACAAGTAAGGGCTTATAGCAGAACCTTGGTGCACTTCTACTCTTACCCTAAAATCTTCTACCCACACTTTTTACCCTGGTACAAGTGTCATCATATATACACTCTATTGTATTAATGTACCTTTTCGGCATTCCTTTTCTCATTAATACCCACTTTAAAACTTCTTTCTATACTCTATCATACGCTTTCTTCAAATCTATAATATCATACCATATGCAGCTTTTTCTACTTTTCCCTATACTGAGGTTGCGAGGGTGACTTAAACTTCCAGAAATTAAAAAAATTAAATGAATTACTATACAAAAATAATTTTTTGGAAGGGGAAAAATTAAATTTAACCCTCTAAACAGTTTAACCACCTACGCTTATGAGACCATAGTTAAGAGTAGCAAAGGTCGATTTTGCTGCTGTGTAAATATACCTGTACCATAGATTAAATAAACATGTGTATTTAATTAATTAGTAATAAGTAATTAGTTTGATACGGCGATAGCACATAAATTATTTTCAATTTATCGTATAAAATCTGTTTAGGAGTAGGGTTATGCAGAGTCAAAGCCACCTAGCTCTAATGTTTAAAATATGATTATTTTTTAGTAAATTCAAAGCTGGCGAAGGTGATTTAGAAATATTTTGTATGGAGGCTGATAAACTTCACTTGGATTTATCCTCGTGTCCTCGGCCTCTGCCAAAAATCGCTACTACGCCGTTACCACCTACCCCTAGAGAGAAAATAAGATTGAACGAGTCATCGGAATATTCTCCGGCAGTTACACCACCTCGTTGTCTGCTAGAAACTAGAAGAATGAGTAGAAGTGAAGGCGACTTACAATCTTTTCTTTCACAGCATCCTTCATTGAGATCTTCCAGTGGTTCACAACAACATTTATTATTATTACCTCAAAATACTTTGAAGAATAAAGTGATTAAATTTTCATTAAACATTATTTGACATAATTTTTTTATACACAAATTTTTTTCAGAGTTCTTCTCATTTTCTTTTAACAAGTGTCGGACTACTTTTAACTACGCCTGGAATTAGTGAGCCAAATTCTATGCAAGACTTACGATATCTTGATCAAAATCAACTAGGAAAACATCTTCAAAATATTGCGGATGATGATTACGCTGATATCAAAGAAAATAGTGAAGACGAGGACTATACAGAAATATTGCTTATCAATAAGAGTCCTTCGCAAGATGAAATTCCTCCACCTTTACCTCCAAGACAACCTAAGTATGTTGTGTACGACAGTAGATTATAAGAAAATTTCTTTATTATACATTTACATACTATAAATATATTTCTTTTATTTTAATATAATCTAGATCTGAAGAAAAAGTTGAATTCGATGATACATATCTTCCAATGGACGCCACTCAGAGATATGTAACTATGGCCAGTATAAGTGGAAACAGCAAATTATTTATATCTGGACCTGTGCCTATATAGTTTTTACTGTAAATTTTTGTTATATATTAATGTTATTTTATTTAATTTTATGCTGGAATATTAACTACCTAAATAAATTTATTTGTGTAATTAAAATAATTTATATTTCATAACCTGTTTTTTTTGTCCAACATTGTAGAGAATAATTTAATATATATTGAAAATGTCATTATAAAAAAAAAAAATTAAATAATAATCATTTTAATTAACAGGAAATATTACTTAATAAATGTGATGCTCACATGTATAATATACAGTGTGAAGATATGTATCATCTTATATATATCACAAATCTGTACTGGATAATTTAAAACATCCAATGCCTCTTTCCTTTTTGTATTGGAGACAAAATACTTAATTTTAAATACTTTATAGGGTCAAGTTGGGTAAATGGAAATTGGGGCAAAAGGAAAAAAATATTATTTAAAATAAATTATTAATGATTATAGAATTCGGTATCATTATAACCACAGTACACATAAGGTATAATAGTGTGCAATGATAAAAATATGGAAAATTTGAGGATATGTAAATTGTTATCACTCGAAAAAGTGTTTATGATTTTTTTAGATTATATTTTCTGCTCAACGGCTTTTGAAAAGGGCATCTTCATCAAAAATATAAGTAGAACAGTATAGTTTGAACTAAATTGTCATTTCATATTTACTTATTTACTATACGGCCCTAAAACTAGTTTAATATCATTATTAATTAGTTTAATTATATTTTTTTTGTAAAATACAAAATAAAAATCAGTTGGGGTAAATGGAAATTTGGTTTTGGGGTAAATGGAAATATTAATAACAAATATAATTTGAAATATTACGATCTTTATCATTTTTTTTTCAACTTCAGAGTGCGTAATTATATTTAAAAAAACGGTAGCACAGTGGGGTCGAGGCACAGTGTGGACGAGGCATAGATGGGACAAGTATAGATGATATCTGACAGTGATTAAAATCATTATCATAAGAAACGCTTCGATGCAAATCTGTAGATAGTGTTTCATTTAGAGAAATTGGTAGATTATTCCAAAAGCAACATCAACTCTTATTTCTTTAATTATATCCTGATTAGTAGTTCTTTGATTTTAAAATATAATATATGAATAAATACTAATTATAGTTTTTAAATTCAGTATGAAATTGTGAGGCCAGCTATGATGTATGGTTCATAGTGTTGGGCGGTTGATAAGAAAGTAGAGCAGAGAATAAGTGTAGCAGAGATGAGAATGCTTAGTTGAATGAGTGGAGTGACAAGAGAAGATAGGATAAGGAACGAGCATATAAGAAGTAAAGGTGTTGCGTCAATCATGGATAAGATGACAGAAAATAGACTTAGATGGTTTGGTCATGTTATGAGGAGAGAAGAATCGGAAGCTGTAAGAACAGTTATAGAAATGAATGTTGAAGGAAGAAGAGATAGAGGAAGACCAAAAAAGAGATGGAGGGATGCTATTGAATGCGATTTGAGGACAGCTGATGTGAGCGTAGAAGATGTGGGAGATCGTGTCAAGTGGAATCTTAGGATAAGGGTGCCCGACCCCAAGTAGTTGGGATTAAGGCAAAGAAAAAGAAAAATATTACCAGATATTCCGGTGGCAATTGACATAATATGATTGTTATTTCGGAATGTACAATTTAGCGTTTAGTTGGGTTTAAATAATATAGCGTCAAATCAATTACCTACTCTATCGGTTGTATCTCAATATACACTACACTTTAATGATACAATAAATAAATAAACTCACACATACACACATATGCATTTATAACATTGTGTCTAATGTAAGTATAACATGATAAAAAGTAACCGTAAAATGAAAAAAATGGAATATAAATTTTATTACTCATATTAAATGTAATGTAACTCGAAAAATATTTGTTTAAATGAAAAAATATAAGATTATATTTTTATTTATAATTGTCTTTTAAACAACTTTTGTGCGAAACTTTTTTTTGTAAGTTAAATATTTTTTTTTGAGAAAATTAAGAAAGCTCATATTTTTGAACTTTTGCGAGGATTTAAAAAAAAAGCTCAATTCCAATCTTGAGGACTATTAGTATGTCATTATACATATTTTAATTCAACTTTTAAAAAAACAAAATTTTTTCCGCAATTTTTCCTTTGTTGACTGGCCTAGATGTCAATTTTAAACTTGTAATTGAGCTAAAAGTTATGGTAATATATTCAATTTATTTTACTATAAACTTTCATAAATCTTTATCAAAAATTTTTCATCAACTTTAAAGAACCAAAAAAATAGGTTAAAATTGAAAATTTGGACTGATTATTTTTAACATATTAAAAATCTAATCAGTAATTATTTGAAAACAAATTTTTTTTTCTTTTAATTATTATTTTATATGTAATTAGTAATAATATTAAAAATTAAAAGTGATAGAAAAAGTCTACTTGCAGNTAAAAAATTAGAAGTGATAGAAATAGTCTACTTGCAGATTTGAAAACAACGCGAAAAGTTGATTTAGAAAAGTATATTTTTGCTTCTGATGAAAGTTCCTTGTAGTCCAGTGCATTTATTTATAGTAACAAACAGTTTTTATTGAAAATTATTGTATTCAGCCTTTTAAATTTTTATACACATAAAAGTAAAGTAAAATATAAGTTCTTTATTATTTTTATAATTTCTCCGTTTAAATTACAATATTTAATTATTCAATAACAATTTCATACTAAATTTAAAAACTATAATTAGTATTTATTCATATATTATATTTTAAAATCAAAGAACTACTAATCAGGATATAATTAAAGAAATAAGAGTTCATGTTGCTTTTGGAATAATCCACCAATTTCTTATTTAAAAAAAAAAAAAAAATGGTTGGGAATTTTTTCTGCTATTCGCCAAAATTACTCCTTCGTTGACTGGCCTAATCATTAAATAGAAAATTTTATGAGAATTAAAAATATTGTATCGTTAAAATTAATATGCAGTCAGAAAGATTTATAATTACTATTTATTGTAAATTTATCAGAAAAGCTCAATATTTGTTTGCATTTTTATCGTAATAGATAACTTAAATAGAAGTAATAGTAATAATTTCCTAGTAACTTTTGTT